AGTGACGAAATCAAAATTTGCACGGTATTTTAGGATGGTTGTTAAGCAAGAATTGAGGTTTAAGAAGACTAGAAAAATAGAGAGAATATTATTATTATGTTGAGTAGATATAAGAGAGGGGTGGATTACATAGATATGGCCGTTCTTAATTGGAGTAAGTATAATAATAATAGGTACTTTCCCCATTTTTTAATATACTTTGTTTTAGGGTTTACAAGATTTTTTAAAATATATGTCGTTTTACAAAATCAAGGCAACTTTTATCCTATTTTTTCAATATTAACCTTATATTAGAAATAAAAATGACATTTAAAAGAATTTGTATTGGTTAGTGATGAGTTGTATGGAATAAATAAGGGTAATTTTGTATTTTAAACACATGATGTAATGTTCTATTGGTATTGATTAAATTGCTAGAAAGACATATATTTTAGAATGGAGGGAGTACTTAACAATAAGGTGGTAGCTTATTTTTCAAGTAACCCGACCCAACCTTACTAGGGTTAGGGTTTAATTTCGAACTCTTCAGAAAGTCTAAAAAATAAGTACAATTTTACTCATTGTATAAAATTATTTCTTTGTAATGGTCCACTATCATTTAGCTCTTCGAGAAACTCTTCTTCTATGTCGTAGATTGGGTCTCTCTAACATTGCTGTCCAAGGTGATTCTTCTATAATCATCTTTGCTGTGAATAATGAAGAGGATGGTCCTTTTGCTTGTTCTCCAATTCTTGAGGATGTAATTTATATTTGTCATAATCTCTCTGTTCGTCATTTTATCATGGATCCAGAGATTAGACGACATAGTTGCTTATTCCTTTGCTAAGCATGCCAAGTCGGTTTCTGTAATTAAAACCTTATGGAGTGAACCTCCAGACTTTGTCTCCCAATTGGTGCTGGACTTTTTCAGTAATTTTAATGATAATTATTTTCTTCAAAAAATAAAAATAAAATGTGCAATTGATTGTCGGTGAAAAATTCGCTAAAAATAGATTTATTGTTTCTCTCTCCCAAATACTTGGGGGTCGTTCGGCCAAAAAAATTTAAAAGAATTGACGTGGACAAAAAAAATTTATTTTAATTTTGGTGGACAGTCTAATTAATCAGACTTACGGATTTGGCAAATCTGAAACAATAAAAAATAATAAAATATTAATTTTTTTCTTAAAAAAAAAAGAACCAAGATCAAAATGTGTACAGTAAACTCGGATTTCCGAAATCCGAGAGCTTCCCCAGTATAATTTTTTTTTTTAAAAAAAAAACTGAAGGACAGGAAAATTTAAAATTTTATTTATGGTGGGAAAGTTTAAACGTTTAATAAATGAACAGTGAAATTGGATTTTGGAAATCCGAAACACCTTTCAAAAAAAAAAAAACTTTTAGTGCAAAAAATTTGAAATTTTGAGTTTTGATAGGAATTCGCATTAAATTGACATATCCACTTTTAAAAAAATAAAAACTAAAAAATATTGTATTCGATATGATATTAATAAAAATCTTTCATTACTAATAATTACTTGAAATTTACATTAAATTGATGAAAAATATATGTTACTAATGTTACCTAGTATTATTAAATCTGATAGGAATTTGAATTAAATTAATTCAGTATAATTGATGAAAAATATATATTACTACTGTAACGTAGTGTTATGTACTATCTGTACGTACGAGTATTATATAGTAAATTAATACTATTACCCCCTATAAATCACTGGTACTAGTGTTACTTACTACTGTTAAATCTGTTAGTCATTAGATATTATCATTAATTCAGTATAATTCATTTGCACTTGTGTTATGTACTCCCTCTGTCCTAAAATTATTGTTCAGTTTGAGATTTCACTCTTAGTACAATTTGAACTATAAATAAAACTCTAACTGGACAATAATTATGGAACGGAGGGAGTACTTTTTATACGTACTAGTCCTATTAGTACATTAATAACTATTACCCACTATACATTATTGGTACTAGTGTAATTTATTATTGTTAAATCTGTTAGTCATTAGATATTATCATTAATTCATCTATACTAGTGTTATGTACTATTTATACATACTTGTATTATGTAGTAAATTAATACTACCCCCTAATATGACACATTTTGGGACACTTTTATGCGAAATGTCCCAAAAAAATTTATTGAGACACTTGAGTATAAGTGTCTCATTATAAATATCTATAAGAGAATGCATTTACGCGTCCCACTAAAAAAGTGTCCGAATATACGTATAAAAGTGTCCCAAAAAAAATTTATTGAGACACTTGAGTATAAGTGTCTCATTATAAATATCTATAAGAGGATGCATTTACGCGTCCCATTAAAAAAGCGTCCGAATATACGTTGGGACGTTTACATGCGTCCTATCAAGTGTTATATTGGGCGCTTAAAAGTTTCTTATCAGTTAGGGTCTTTTGTTAATTTTTTTAATTTTTTTTGGTTATTGTAGTTTTTGACAATTCTACTATGACACGCTAAAATTTATGAATCTACCCCATATGAGACTTGTTTAGTTATATTTTTCATTTTAAAAAGTTTAAAATATGGTAGTATTGTACCCTAATGATTATATTTTTGTCCCGTAACATTTTAAACAATCGATATCTTTTTCATTTTCGATTGTTCGATGCACCGTTACTTAATGAGATTGAGATTTATAACTAAATGGATTGCTCTTAAGCCCATCAACATTGCATAAACAGTTATTGTGATTCGTAACATTGATAACAACACGTACTAATTTGTGTCATGTTTAATTTTATAGTTGATGGTTAAAATTGATAGAAATAATTCACGTTCAATTAAAGTTGTCAAGTTTGTTCTACTACGTAGGATATTATATAATTAATAATGATATAAGAACATAACATACTTGTCAATCGTTAATTATGTATTATGTCTGTTTATACTTTTCTATATAATTACTAGTAATGTCTAACTACTTTATATTGTCGTGAATACATGGCTATATGTTTTGCTATCTATTAACTTCCCTTTGTCCAAAAAAATAGTTTAGATTAGATTTTGAGATTTGTATTAGTTTTATTACAAAGTTGAAAATTCAACGTGAACTATTTTTCTATGATGGAGAGAATATCATATATATATATATATATGTCTTTTAAATCTTTATGCATGAATTCAACATTAATTTGATTGTCATGTTATGTTTTTCAAAATATATAGATAGAATATAAACAACACTACGAACTCACAATAAAAATGCGTTATATCTTCCCATTGTTGAGAATCGAATATCTTTTTTTTTTTTAATAAACCAGGTAATAACCTGGGAATTTTATTTGGGATTGGGTGTCTAATCCATTTTAATACTTTATTAAGAGGTTTATAATTTATTACTAACCTTGGTCTTTCTCTTTCTATTTCACTATGTTTATGGACATAAAAGCCAGTACATGACCATGGAGAATTTGATTTTTTAATCAATCCTTCTAATAACATATTCATCTCTTTTTTACATAATTCCAAATATTCAGAATTCATTTGACAAGGTCTTGCCTTTGTCCTAATCATTGTTTTTTCATCAAAATCATCTTCATATGGAAGACTAATTACATGCTTTTTTCTATCCCAAAAAGCATTAGGATGTTCATTACAAATCTCAGTAGAGATATTATTATATATCTTCTTAATCTTTTCCTGTAATTTAGGATTTTTTAAATCTTCTTCAATTGAAAATCTTCTTCAATTGATACTATCAATATTAATATGAGTAATAGGGAAAATCCTCTTTATAAAAGGAGTTCCAATTATAACTTGACTAGTTATATTTTTAGCTATTAAGAAACTTTCAGGATACAAACTTGATTATTACAAATATATCTTTTAGACAATTTATAATTTATGTCTAATGCTTTTCCACCAGCATGTCTTAAAACTTTAGGCTGAAACGTGAAGGTTTGATTAAAACTTTAGGCTCCGTTGAGATCTTTTTTTAAGTGTTTTTTTTATTTAATTAGAATTATTAAAAAAATGTATTACAAACGTAAACAGTAATCGAATCTGTTATGAAAATGTTTACGTGAAAGATTTACCTATCAAAAAGAAATTTATTCGGTTCTAACTCGGAGTATTTGTCACAACAGATTTAGACACTAAATGTGTAACATAAAAAAGAAGCAATTCTTTCCCCTCCAGAAACTATTTGCCTTAACCGGGTGCTGGAGTAGACAAAATAAACTCAGACGTGCGGCATAAGAGCCTAAGACTTTGGATGGAAACCCAAAAATTGGTACAAGTAATTAGCAAGAAGTCAACAAAAAGTGCAATATGGATCGAAATCAAAAGAGCTTGAGGAAGGAATCAGGAAACGCACATGCAACACCAAATTCTTGTCTCATAAGTGCTGGCAATTGGCAAAGAGCTGAAAAAGGGTTGGCTTCCTGCATTGAAATTCATTGCCGCGCCTGGGCCTCCAATTGATCAGTTCCAAGGTGTTTAATTCATTGTGATGCGCGTTCCAATCCGTATAGAAATTGAAGGGGTTCACCAGTCATATAAAAGGAAGCAATGAACAATTTCCAATGGAACGGTGTGGAAATAAAGGAAGTCCTAACGGGGACGGTTTGGAAAGATTGAACGGCGCCGGATCTTGAGGATACACCTCCGACAGTGAGCGAGCCAACATGGCATCAATTCGGGAGTGATAATTATCGAGACCCATTTTACCCGTTAATAGGAGAAGAAATTCCTTAATTCAATGAGAGGAACTGTTATTTTACGACCGAGAATCTCCGGCTCCGGTACCAAATGTAACGAATTGAAGGATTTAATTCGGAAAAGAAAAAAGAAATAGATTTTCAGAATCTAGAAAACTGAAAGAGAGCAGGAGAGAAGGGATAAACAAGAAAATTCAGAGAGAGAACCGAGTGTCCACATCGACGAAACAATACAAGTAAGCTTAACTGGAGAATGGACTACGGAGAATGAAGAATGTGCCATCTCGGGTTGCTGTTCAAACCCGACCTTAAATTCTCAAACTTGGACAGCCTCGTCAAGCAACTGCTCCTCTGGAAAAGAAGGCGGCCCGTCCGAATATCCAGGCCATGTCCCCCCAAAATCCAAACCAGGTCCCACCTTGGAAGGATCGTACTCCTTATTCTTATAGAAATTATAGAAAGGCCAAATGTCAGGGTTCGTCTCCACTTCACACAGGAATCTCTCATACTCGGTCATCATCTGGTAGTCACTCATTATCACCTCTTCATCATCACAGAGAGGTTCCTCCAGGGATTTCTGGTAGTCACTCGTTACTGCCTTTTCATAGTCAGGTTCCTCCAGGGATTTCTCATACTTGGTCTTCATCTCCTTTTTGTCATCAACTTCAATGTCGAGGCGTTTCAAAACCCACGGGCGAGGCTCCCCTCGTTTATGGTTCAGCTCTTCAACAAAACACCTTTTTACCAATATCAATTCAGGAAGGCTTTTGTCAAGCTTAAACTTCCCCTTGGCAAGAGCCAAATCATGACCAAGGGCAGCATCAGCTTCGTCTAAGACACCACCTAGATGTGACCACACATAGAAATGCCGATTATTTGTCCAATAATCTCTTAATCGAGCAACAATTGCTTTTCCTAGTTCATACTGTTTGCCACAAACAGTAACTTCTTTACCAAAACCCTTGCCTATGTCTACCGTCACACAGATCGTGAGCTGATCACAAGTAAGCAGAGACTCGAAAGGTGTCTCCCAGTACCGAGCACCATCCAAAATGCGGTGATCCAAAGTAAAAGGGTTCATTAAGACAATGGAATTGGTAACTTTGATGCATATGACAAGTGGCCCGAAATTACCCAGACCAGCAGCAACCTCATGCGGAAGATAGATGAGATCATCAGGACAAATTGGACAAATGGTGACAGGGAGAGCACAGTTGTTCCCATGTAGACTGAGATCATACTTAATTGGAACATGTGAGGCCAAAAACTCCACAAACTTGAAGGCATAACCTTGGCTAGGAAAGATGAAGTCTAGACCCTGATCCACCTGCTTGATTCTAACACAATCAGCAGCAGCATTATCCTTGAGAATGAGCTGCTCCAAGTGGAAAAAGGTTCTTCTGTGAGAGACACTCTGCCTCAGCTGCACAACAACTCCCAACTGATCATGGTCAGCATGAAGCTCCCTAGAGCAAAACTCACACACCTTTACCTCAGGGGAAGATTCACCACCTCTACCTCAGGGCAAGATTCAGAAACCTTTTCCTCAGGCTGAGATTCAAACACCTTTTCCTCAGGGCGAGATTCAAACTGTTCTTCAGGGCGAGATTCAAACACCTTTTCCTCGGGGCGAGATTCAAACACCTTTACCTCAGGGCAATATTGACACAACATTTTAATAACCCAAAACTTCGTAGTGCAGGACTTCTCAAGAATTGTACCGAGAACCTCCTTATAAACAGTAAACTTAACATTAATTACTTTGGAGTCAGGTTCAGTTTCAATGAATTCACACTGTACAAGCTTGACTTTGTTCCAAACCGGTAATCTTTTCAGAAACTGCTTGTACACAAATCCAAGTGATTTGCGCAGCTTCGACATTGTTAACCATCGAGCTGTGCCAAAGGCCATGGAGGCTACGTATTTCTTACATTCATAACAATGGAAAACCACACATTTTTGAGACATAAAGCCAGCATATACAATATAAAAGCAGTCTTCACAGATATTAGACACCTCAGCAATATCAGGCTCAATCACAATCCCACATTCACTGCACAAAACACTTTTGATTTCTTGAAAACATGATATTCCAGCTCCTTTAGCCATATCCGCCAACAAGGACATATCAACTCAAACCTTGAAAACAAAAGTTCCCAATCAATCGAAAGCATGAGAAGAAAAACAACAAAAATCGTAAACTAAAAATACATCGCAGGGAAAATAACAAAAGCAAATACTTACAAGACAAAAAAAAAAAGCAGCAAAATTAAGGTATAGCATGTATCCTAGAAAAATTATAGAAAAAACATTTAATAATAATCCAATAAATCACAGAGAGGGTATCATAATCATACGCGGCCAAAGAAAGAAAAATCAATCATCCGAACCCTGAACCCTAAGAGTGGCACCTTTCAGGGAAAAACTACTGCGAAAAGAGGAATTCCGATCCTGGAAAGCGAAGACTTTAAAGCAAATCCACGGGAGTCATGAGGGGAACACAAAACTAGCTAATGAAAGGAACGCATATGAAGATGCAGACAGATTGCAAAGCACATAAAACAACAAGATCATACCACAACAATACAATAGGTAAGGTAAATTTACCTGAAATTTCAACGATGGGAAGAGAAACCACTCTGAAGAGGCTGAAGAACCGAGGAAGGCCTGCTGTGGGGAATTCGTCTATATACGTGATGTCATGCGCGACCCTAGCCCATTATATCTGTAGATCTTAGAAATATTTGTATCTGGAAAAAAAATATTTTGTATTTGGCCCGATATATTTTAGAAATATTTGAAGAATTTAGAAATGTTTTATAAGTGTGATTTTTGCATTTGACATAAAAACAAATTGTATTTGGCCCGATACATTTTAGAAATGTTTGAAGATTTTAATGTTTTATAAGTGTTACTTCTTGATCAAATATAAATAAACTTGATCAAATATATGTCTTGAAGTAAATGCTAGACAAAATATAAAAATATTCTAATAGGTTTAAATATTAGTAAGATAATTTATTGATGTTCTCCATTGGTTGTGCCAAATCTATACTTAGTTTTGGAGATTTATAATAGCTTTGTAGTTAGCTTCCTCCAACGGATATACGCTTAATTGTTGGAACTATTTCTTCTAAAAGTTTATAGATAGTAAAATATCAAAAATATAATTTTGAAATTGGTTAATTGTTGAAACTGGTTGATCACAAATATGAGAATGAAAATAATGTAAATTTGCATAGGTTTCAAGATATAGCGAAAAAGAACCACCTCACCATGGCAAATAAAAAAAAGAAAGTAAAAGATAGCCCATTAAAATTTGAGATTTTTTTTTTCTGTAGGTAAAAATGATGTATAAAAACACAAATAAACGTAGAAACATTATTCGTTCCCTCTCCACCTCAAATTCATAAAAGGCTTCCCCATAAATTAGTTAGAAGAAGGGACCTGAACTATTTATATGATGAGAAACTAAAAAAAAAAAAGTCCAAAAACCAAATCCAAAAAAGTATATTCTTGAAACCCCGAACACAAAAAAAAAACGCTTCATTTGCAAAAATAATAATAATAATAATAATAACAATTGGTCAAATGGAAGTATGAAACAAAATCAAAAGCAATTAAACAAAGAAAAAACACACTTCGTAACTGGCCATCTATGAAAAAAAACCTGAGACTCCATAATTAAAAAAAGAAAACCACTCTAATTGAATGAAACATAAAAAAGAAATTAAAAAAATCAAACTTTGTAATAAAAATCCAATTAATCAATTCAATCCAAACATAACTAAAATCATACAAAAATTCTAAGCTAACTAACAAACAAATAAAAAATCACATTATATTACCTGACAACGGCTCCGGTAGCTGTAACGGATGGACACATAAAAATAATACTCCCTCCGTCCCAAAATTATTGTCCAGTTTAAGATTTCACTTTTAGTATAATTTGAACTAGAAATGAAAACTCAAACTGGACAATAATTATGGGACGGAGGGAGTAGTAATAACACGATTCCTGAACGGGAAAAATAAAAAATAATAAAAGCCAAACCAATGATCTGTAATGCCACCATCACAACGGCCGAAGCAAGATCAGTGAGAATTTTTTTTTTTCCTTTGTGTTTATATAGAGAGGTAAAGAGAATATTTTTTGAAGTTGAAATTTTATCCGATTAGGATGTAGTTGATCATCACTAATAAAAATATTGAACATGCTAATAGGAAAGGAGTATATTTCACCACATACTCTCAATTGATGATTGATGAAGAATTTATTTATTTTTAATTGTGGAGAAGGGATTGATTAGGGAGTCGATTGTCGTGGAGATGGGGATGAGGATGAGGATTTGGATTTTTTATGAAACCGTAGTTTTTTTTTTTTTTGGCGAAAATAGGAGGTGAAGGTGAATTTGGACTGCATTTGCCTTTTAAGTCTAGGAGATGTGGAAATAAAAATTTATTTTAAAAATATGATGTGGAAATGACACATGGAAAATAGTGGTGCTTTCTCTTAAATGTGATTTTTGTTTCTAATATAGTAAGAAGTGCGATAGGGTGTGGCTAGGCGCTACTCACAAGAAGTCTTGTGAAACCTGGACTAAATTATTGAGGGCCTCTGTCACGAAGTGACCTAAAATTTCCAAAAATTCGAAGAAAAGAGGGTGAAAGGGGAGAATAAGAAGTGGAGGGAGTAGATTTCAGATCTATAGACGGTGATATTAGAACCCAAACAATTGGGAGATGAGAGTAAAGGGGAAGAACAGGGAATTTAGGGGAGGAATCAGAGTTCAGATCAAAATGCATTAGCATTCATGAATTCATCGATCTAAAAGGGGTAAATTAATCGAATATCTACACAGAATATCAAATTAAAATTAAATTTGAAATTTTTATATTTTGTTATTTTATTCACGAGGACTCAACTTACTTCCAAAAATAGAATGATGTCATTAGATAAATCCATTATAATATAACTAAAAAAAGCGTGAGAAATACACTAGTTTACATTTTTCTGAAAAAAATAAAAGTGAAAATACTATTATTCACCTCGTAAAAAGACATTATTTTTACTCATTTCTTGTGAAACTTCCAATTTTGATTTTTTTTTCTTTCTTTTCTTTTTAGGGGAGAGGAAGTTATTATGTAAAAAATTGATTATATTCTATTATTCACCTTGTAAACGTATTTTTTTTCTACAGTTAAAATGCTATTTGTATTTGTACTAAATTATGAAAAATATTTTTCACTATATTATAGCATTACTAATGTACGCGCGAAGCGCGTTTATTCCATCTAGTAAATGATAAAAATGCCCCCAGGTGTTCTAACGATGAAAGTCCTATACAAATAAAGTAAAAGAAAAGTAAAAATACTCAAAACTAAAAGAAAAGTAATAATACTCAAGTTTTGATTGACAAAAGAATTTTACTCAAAACTTATGGGTTCAACTTTTATATTTTAGTATAATATTTGTTAGTTACCTTTTATGCCTTTATGGAAAACCAAAAGGGTTGAATACAAAACTAATAGTAGTCAAAACTGGCTGTTAATTTTTTTGGTGACTAGGTGTGCAATTAAGCCAAACTTCGGTGATCAAAAGTGAGTTTGTCCATTTTAAAATGGTTCAAAAACAAAACTCGTTAGTTTCGTCGCATTTCATAATTGTTTGATGGTGTTATGGTTAAGTACAATATTTATAAATTATATGATTCACTTTTTATGGCTACTCGTTTTTTTTTTTTTAACATTAAAAAGACGATAAAGTATTGACGAGTATGAATATAACATGTCATATCGTAGATTAATATTTCGAAATATCATGATCAATTGTACAATTGTTTTATACCAAACTTAAGATAATTCACTAAATTTTGTTCTTTGTGATCAACTTTCACAAGTGGACTAAAAACTAAACTTAATTCTAACATTTCTTTTTTCAAAAAAATTGTATCTATTAGTTTTCCAATGTGTATTGAAAAATTTCTTTCTTTAAAATATTTTTTTTAATTTATCAGTATCAATATAAAATTCTCAAAATATTTATTTTTGTTGAATTTACTGGTACGACTTTCATATTTCTTAGTGAAGCTGACTAAGGATTCGATGAAAATCAAAATTTATTGTTTTGTATCATTGTTGCGATAGAATTTTTTTTTTAAAAAAAAAACAAGATTGGTAAGAAAATTTTGAAAATAAAAAATTAAAAGAAAAAAAAAAACTGGCGTCGATTTATCTAACTCGACGACATACATAGTGGATGAAATGTGAATTCTGTACTTTCAGCCCAGGATCGATCCTAGCTGGCTAATTGCCAAGAGAAATCCATAAGGGTGGACAAAGTGAACTAAGACCCCCCTGAATATATTCAACACTCTGGTCTACAACATTATAGATCCCTGTATCCCTTCCACCTCCTCCCATTCCTACGAATGATTCAAAGTAATCGTCCGTAAAATAAATACAATCACCCTTGATTCCACTTGTCTCAACCTCAAGCTTTGAAATAGAAATTGCGCCATTAAACCCAACAAATATGGCGTCTCCTTCTAAGTTAGAAAGCACCTCGCAACTCAATGTCACGGTATCCAATAGGTACACTTTGAAAGTTGTAGTGCAAAAATACTTATGAATATCTTCATCTGACAAACGACCGGAATTACTGCGGCCCAAAAAATTCTCATCTCTATATATCAAGAGTAACTTCCCTGCTGATGATTCCACCAGATATGCATGTCTGCAGCGTAGGCGATCCATGGGATGAAAGGAGAAGAGATCGCAAGGAGTTGATGAAGTTGAGGCTGGATTGTCATCCCAAATCCAAACACCCCCGAACATATTGATTGCATAAAATTTTCCTTTTGAAGTAATTCACATAGAAGAAGGGGCCTCAATCTTCTTCAATATGAGTCCAAGCCCTATCTCCAGACCTCCAAAAGCCTAGACGGGAATCACCACATTGCAGAACCAGTAGTGTAAAATAGACATCTTGGAGGGATTGTGTAACAAAACAGCTTGTGGGATAAAGAAATAACGTGGATTAGTCCTGCATTCTTTATAATTGGGAAAAGTTTTGAAATTGGGGAGATGAATTTGTTGGCGGGAAAAAGGATTTAACAAACGTAACCACCCCTGAGTTGGTGAGAGTTAATAACCATCAGAACCCTACTTCAATGCATCGTTTACCTTTTATCTCTGGGAGGAGTAACCTCATGCAGATTTTTCTTTTCGAGAGACTGTAAAATTGGCGTTCCACATAATTGATGTCTTCCTCTCGTTTGTCTGCCAACATAAGGAATGAAACTCTTGACCAAGAACTAGAGGCGAACTTATCCTTAGTGGCAACAGCTCGCCAGCAAGTACACACGCTTCTAAACGCCATGAAATCTTCCAATGATGGTATTCCTGTGGCTATCTCCACCAACAGATCAGCTGTCAGGGCCGACCATTCGCTCAATATTGGTTCCATGGGCATGTGCATATATTATTTTATTATATATATATATATATATATATATATATAATTGGTCGAAACTTTGGGTGTAAGATCTGGATTTCGGTTGAGAGGTGAAAGAAACGGGGGGTGAAGGTTAGTTGATATATTTATAGGCAGCTACCATCAGCATCAATCTGATCCCAGTTGGATTCGATTTTTGATTGGCAACATATAATCCCTGTAGTATTTGGGAAACCCAACCGACTCAAATATATATACTCCCTCTGTCCCATAATTATTGTCCAGTTTGATGTTTCACTTTTAGTACAAAATGAACTAGAAATGAAAATCCAAACTGGACAATAATTATGGGACGGAGGGAGTATAAAATAAAAAAAAGGAACTTTGCTCTCCTCCATTCTCATCATCGTTGTCATCTCGACCAACACCACCGCCAGCCGCGATTGTCTCCGCCTCTCTTTTTGCCTTCTATCCTTCAACCTCCCCGAAGCTCGGTCGACTAGAGACGGAAAGAGAGGGGCATTAACTCAGAACTTGGATTGACTTTGGGGCTTTTGTTTTCCTTGACCAAATATTCTTTCCTCTCAGGAATTTTATGTCTGTTATCTTTTGGTTATCCAAGTGTACAGTCAAACTTTGCACGCCACAAAGTAATTGTCTTACCTACTAAATACTCTAAAAGATATTTACTACCTCTCAACATGATATGGAATCATTCTTACTCACAAGGAATTGAAGGTCTAGTGACAAGTTTGTAACATGTACTAAATTTAGCAACCTATAGTGAGTTTAGGAACAAGACAATAAGGAATAATACCATTTACCATCCTTTTTTAGTTTGGAGTAGCGGAACTATACCTACTTGTTTTATTTACAGATTCTCAAACTACTTGATTATCATCATTACCTAAATGTGTTTGCTTTTCTTTGGCAACAGCAGCTACAAGTCTGAGTGCAAGTTCATAATCTTCTTCTAAAACTCCAGAAGGCTGCGACCCAAAAGATGTCGCCGCAAATGAAAGGATGTCGATTTTCTGGGATTTCAAATGGAGTAAGTATGCCTGCTGTGCTAGTTTCATGATAGTTGTAGCTGGAAAAACTGGAGGATTGGGAGAAGGGAATTTTTGGTTCTGGACCTTTTTCGTATATTTTGTGAAGGTTTTTCTTTGGGATTTTCAGCTCTTATTCGCTTTGTTGCTTTTGTACCAGCTGGATAGTGCTTCAGAAGTTGTAATTGTTTCGTGTGAAATGTGAATGTCTTGTTTGGAGATCCCACTAACTAAAACTGGATGAATGTGAAATGTGAATATCATGCAAATGGAAATTTAATAATCACTGCCCGAGTTACTATCTCTGGCTTCACTTCTCAAACTTGATTTCAAGAACAAGGTCACTGAGCTCATGATCACGGAGAAGAGGGAGCAAGCTAAGCATTGAAATTTCTTCTAACAGGTGGCAGTTTGTAGTTTTAACTTCCACGAGATCATTTATTAGCCTTGAATGCCTTCGTCCAGCGGATACAGACACCCGTGGTGGAAATTGATCACCCAAGAAGAAATCAATTATCAAACTTCTGAAACTGGGATGAAGCGCAGAAGGCCATCCCAGCACATCCTTATCATGAAAGCTTTCACCTTATTGCCATCCTCGTCAACAAGGACATGCATCCTTCTGTTGAGTTCTCCTATGCGAAGGCACTTAGCCTCTCACCAACATTGTAGATTGGTGTACTCTGAAGTTTTGTCAGTTGACGAATCTCCCATGGCATATGGAAGTGCTCACTATAGTACAGATGAAGGTGCCTTAGGCCATCAAAAGCTGGACTAACTGCATCCTTTCTATGGCTGAATTCCTAGGAAGTATTGCTCTAAACGAAGGCAAAACATATTTGGATAAGAGGAGACAGCAGGTATTCAACCACCAATTTCTCTAGAAAGTAGCACCATCCATGTTTTCTAATGTTCCATCATTTATCTAAGTTTTTACAAAATCAAATCTCCTTGCTCTACGAAAACCTTAGCGTTGGACTGGATAAGATTGGTAGTTACTGTTTTATGAGTTTGGTAGTTACTTGTTCATCGGAGGTTTAGTCAGCACTGTCCACTGACTTGGTCTTAATTGTAGATTGTGGATCTTTGCGCTTGCTGGTTTAAAAACTATTTCCAAACCGCCTCTTTGGCCTTGGCTGGTCCTAGTTTATTGAGAATTTCTGAAAGGGCTTCCTAACTGGCTGGGTAAAGCTTTAAAAGAAACCTTGTGGATTGCGGAAGTCATAACAGTCATGTTGATAGAATGAAAAAAAGGTACATCTACGGAAAACGACGTTTATGGCAACTAAATATGATATTGGGAATACGACGCTAATTGCTAGAGTAGGTGTTCAACAACAGCTGTGAATCAATGAAACTTGCTTGAGCTACAATGGGCTGTTGAACGCTGCATTTCAGTTTTGCGTTTATAATAATTGTGGGGTTCAACACATCCTAACTTGTACCTTTCTATTTGAACTAAGTATGTCAATTACATGTGAATTGCAATGGATCCAAATCATGAAATGCAAAATTCCATATATTTTGAAGACCGTACAATTCAATACATACACACAAAATCACAAATCTTATTGAGCATCAATCTTGTTAGTTTAACTAGGAGATTAAATGAGTTGGTTTGAATTTAAACGTTAATGATAAATATAATTTCTTTTGTCTCGACAATAATAATCTTGACAAAAATAAAAATATTTGTGTGTTTACCTTAATACAAACTGTGAAATTATAGACTCTACTACCATGATTCAATATTCGGTTTGAATAACTTATGGCACATGATTCTCCTTGACACAATCCAATTACATATTTTCAATGTATATAATTTTCATATTATATCAATCTTGTATTCCTAAACTAAATCCATGGGTCAACGGTCAACCCCTCAAAACTCAAAAGGGGAACAATACGGAAAAACAAATCCAAAAAGCACCTACATATTACAAAAGCTTTGGACGCTTTCTCGGGTCGGGAGGTCTGGTTAGGAGGAAGCTTCTTCCTCTGTTTTCTGTTTCCTTTTTCAATTTTCTTCATATTTTCCCTTTCTCCTTTCCTATCCCCCAAACCTTCATCACAACCTCATTTTTTGTTTTTTGGTTTATGTATATTTGATAATTATTAAACTTAATTTGTGCTGCAACAATTTGTTTTCATGCTTTTGTTTATGGTTGTTGTTCGTATGAAGGTTTGGCTTTTGGAAAGATTCTAATTTTAAGAAATCGTCGTTAATTTAGAAAAAAAAAAAAAGATAATGGATTCCGATTCATCATCGTCACCGTGGATACGGATTAACCCTTCTTCCAGACGCCATCCTCCATCGCGAGGTTAGTTCAATTATTCAGTCACAAAGAAAAAATCGCCACTCATTTTATCTTTAAAAGTTTATTCCAGTGAAATCGAGTTCAAATTTATGTTGTTTTTCATGTTGTTTTTTCTCTTTGTAATATGAATCATTTGGGTGTTTGCTGTTAAGTTTGGAGCTCATCTATTTCTATCTTGTTGTTTTTCTAGCTGCCTTGTTTAATCGATGGATCGTTTAATTTTTGTTATCCAGCTGAAATAATGACATGGTTGGGTTAATTTTACATTTTAGGTGAACTTTTGATTCCGTTTGGATGTAGAGTTTGGAGCTTCAGTTATATGAAGTACGAAACTTCCTGGGGTCTCATGGAATTTTGCTCTTTGTACCTAGAATCAATTTCTCTGGATGATAAAATTTTTCATATCTCGCTGCCTCATCTGTTGAAGGCTTTATGTCGATGTTCTAGAGTTGAGCTGAAATAGCAATATGGTGGGTTGGCTTTAAAATGTTTGGTTTAGAATTATTCCATTTGGATGTAAAGGTTGGAGCATCTTCTCACTTTTCTTGTGGTTTGTGGGTGTTTTATTCCCGTGTTCTCTGTGTATTTAGAATTAACGGGTTAAGGGTGGAATGCTTGAGAATATTTATCATGAGGTATTAATCTAGTTCTGAATTTGAGTGGAAATAGGATGAAATTGCTGTGAAGAATGAAAGTTGGGGCCTTTTTATTTACGGTTATCTTTAGATTTTACGGTTATCTAGTTCTGACTTTTGAATGATGATCTCGTCCAGATATATACTGTGTGGGAGAAGATGATTATTATGAGGGTCGCGAAGAAGATTCGAGGCCAGAATATCTCTGCCCTTTCTGTGCTGAGGATTTTGACATTGTTAGCTTGTGCTGTCACATTGATGAAGAGCATCCTGTTGAAGCTAAGAATGGGGTATTGCTTCTTTCTACAATTTTGAAGTTAATTAATATTCAGGTTTTGATATTTTTGAGAAACATGAATGCTAAAGATGGCATTGCGATTACCACTATTAGCTCCTCTCAATGGAGAAGCATTTTTGTGATTGATTAGCCCAAAAAGAATGAAGCTTGTGAGATTCTACAGAATGTTGCATAAGAATGTTTCTGTTTTCGTTTGAGCGTTTAGAAGGTGCAAAACACCTCGTTTGAATAGCCAGAAAGAGTTATTGTTGGGGTTTTAAATGTTTTTAAATCATTGCCAAAATGTGCTGTAGATTTAAGCCCTTGGCGATAGTTAAGTACACATTATGACGAATACTTTGCCCACCTACTCTCATCAATGTAAGTACACATTATGACGAATACTTTGCCCACCTACTCTCATCAATGTAATGATCCGCATCCTATATCTTTTTAGTTGCTTGTAAACCACTTAATTCCCTTCCTTAACATTGTTAAATGCAGATTTGTCCTGTCTGTGCCAGAAGGGTGGGGATTGGTCTAATTGATCACGTCACGGTGCAACATGGAAGTCTTCTAAGAATATCCTTTTCATATTGGTGCTTTATTTAGTTTTACTTTAGCCCCTTTTGCTTTTCTTTAACTGGAAATTACGTGCCGCGCAAGAGGAGATTACGGATAGGTGGACCGAATGCAGCATTATCAGTCTTGAAAAAGGAGTTGCGAGAAGGAAATTTACCATCTCTACTGAATGGTTTCTCGAATTCTCTCTCTTCCACCAGTCAACCTGATTCGCTGTTGTCTTCATTTATGTATAATCCGCCAGCTGTTAAAGAACCATTGAACTCTCACCCTTTATCCTTGCCGGGAACTCGCTCGCTTCCCAAAGTTTATACTGAGGACTTGACCGAGAGGTACTAGGCTCTGCGCATATTTCATTATGATACGCTTTTAGGTTGAACATTACATGAAACACCTCTTGGCGCGTCTTGAAAATGATTTATAAGTTTGAAACCTATGAACCAGAGCAATCTATGTGATGATTTAGTCATGATTTGCATGCCTGGGCCAAGAATAATTATTCGTTGTGTCTCTGGCTATTTTAACATCGCCCGACTCTTTTCCTTTTGGGGAAAGTCAATTGCTGAATTAACTGACCTTAGTATCTGCTGGATTTGTTGCCTGGTATTTGTTATATTTGGGCACAGGATAATAAGGATTCGTTCAATGACGTGCCAGTATACTACACTTGTTTTTCTGATTTACTCACTTTTTATGATTGCAGGAGTGTTCAACTACTGCAACCTTTATCAGAGAAAGACCATGAAGAGAGAACTCGAAGATGTGAGTTTGCACAGAGCCTGCTTCTATCTACTTTTCTGGACGATGATATATAAGGGAAGGACTCAATGCCTCAGACTTGTTCATGTTCTAGGAAAATGGAGTCTTAGTTCATTAGAAAGGGAGGTGCAAGAACATGCAGTTAACGTTGTAGTAGTCAGACTGCAGCTTATAATGTACTGTAAGATGGTTTGTCTGTACATATGGAAGCCTCATAAATGTATTAGCTTTTCTTGGTATGCCATTGAATTATATGCAGCCTTATCTTGGAGCCTTAAAATTTTGAATGGTGGTGGTAGCAGATTTCCTTTTAGTCAATGCGTTTGGCATAACCTTGGAATGTGGCAGAACTGAAGCTCTGAGAGGGTATGAAGAGGAAAATGACATTAGGGTAAAGAGGTACAGGAAACAGGAGCAATTCAACTTCAGATTTGGCCTTTCACCCATAATGCATTTCATGAATCTGAATGGTAGTGTCTCGCGGATAGTTAGCAAGTACTCCCTCCATCCCAAAATTGTCAAGTTTAAATGTTCACTTTTAGTTCAATTTATACAAATAATGAAAGTCAAAACTGGACAATAATTTTGGGAGGGAGGGAGTATCCTTTTGAGTATCTAGCAGGGGGAAATGAGCAAACTGACATGGAGCTGGCTATTTCTCCACTGAACTAATTCCATTTGACCAGGGAGCAAAGCAAACTATATATTTTAACCACCCCATCAGAAGAGTGAAATAATGAGATGATCAAAGATCAGATTTGTGTGGAAACTACAGTGTACCCATTCATTCATGGTCTGCTGGAATCAATTGATAAAACATAACTGCGGATTGCCGCTTTCCGACCAAATGTAAAGGGACCAGCGTCGTCTGATCTCTCTGGTCTGAGGAATGTGGTTCAATCATGCCAACAAGTAATTAGAGAAGCCACCAACCATCTAATCTCTATGACTTAAAATGAAATCTCTCCAAAACTCGCAAAATAATTAATTAAGATTCACAAACTAAGAGAGACAAAGCAAAAGAAGAATCATTTTAATTAAACAGATACATCTACAGTAATTTGAACCCGTGATGATGATTCAAACAATTCAAGAGTGCGTCAGTCAATTAGAAGATAATTCCGAAAAATTTAGCAAGTCTGCCATTGATGAACACTGGAGCTCAAATATTTGCGATGTGGAACAGGAAGGGCATTAACCCAATCATCCCAATCCGGAAGGGCCCCTGTTAGCGCCATGAAATTCACGTAACCACCCATCTCCACCGTATCCCCCGCCGGGATCTTCTTCCAATGCAATTCTCCCGCCGGAAACACTTCCTTCATTGCTCTAATCGCGTTGTTCCGTTCCCAACCCAATCCAAACCCCGCTGGTTTTTCATCAGAAATCCCGCCGCAATTCACCATTATCCGACCACCGGGCATCAATCTTTCCTTTATCTGGACCCACGTTTGGGCATCTTCCAGCTCCGGTAACACCCTGCCTTCTCCGAACAGGTCCACCACTATCCCGGCATATCCTCCGGCAACGGTGGACGACCCGGAAAGTGCGTCACCCACGCAGACTTCTAAACACCCGCCGGCATCGGTACCCTTCTCGAGATCAGCCAGCCCCAGATACTGTCTTGCTTTATGAATCAGGACCTCGTCGATTTCCCATCCCTGGAGCCTCAACTCCGGCCATACTTCCAGCATGAGCCTCGCCGCAGTTCCTCCGGCCAGACCCAGCATCGCAATCGGGCCGCCCGGGACAACCGCCGGCAGAGTGACGAACTCGTCCCAATAAGACTGAGTCCAGAATTGGGAATCATTCATGTTGAGGACGCTGTGAACGTTGTGGGTCGGGTCGAGAAGCAGTAACCTGGACTCGGGGGTTTCGAGGATGACTATGTTGTTGTACTTACTCTGCACCACGGCTAATACCTTAACATTATCTTCTTCTTCTTCGGGCTCCGGTGGTGGCTGCTCGTTCAGCTCTTGAAGCTGTGGCTTCGCCAGTGGTCGGAGGGGTGACCGGAGAGACCCCGAGGAAGGGAAAAAGCGGGTTGAGTAACCGGGTATGGAGCATGATTTGGAGGGATAAGGGAGAAATTGGGAAGGAAGGGAAGAGAACAGGGGAAGACGAGTGAGGGACAGCATCAAAGATAAGTTTTGTGTTTTTTTCCCCTTTCTTTTTCATTTTTCCAATTTTGGCGGGTCCTTATTTTGTTCCACTTTTATTCTTTTTTTTTTTAATGAGAAAATACCACTCTTGGCTTTAATTTGTGCTTAATGGTATACTACTATATGTCCACTATTATAATTTGGGAGTTTTTATTGATTTCTAGTGTTGTATTCTTAATCAGATTGGATAAATCTATTTATATGAAACTCAACAATGACATTATGATTATGATTTATGATCGATTGTAGGTTGTGTTTTTTTTACTATATTTTTTTATTAATGTTCATTAGACGATTTTCAATAAATTAATAAATTTTTATTCTTTTTTTAAAAAAATTGTGCCTTTACACATATGGGTTGGATCCAAGAAAATCGACTCTTATCATCTCAATTACAAAATAAATAAATAGATAGATGGAACAATTTAATGTATTGTAGGTTTTTTATATGTTACTTTATCTGTATGAAAATGCTTATTTTGTGTATTCTATCTTCTTAAAAAGATAGTTCATATTAAATTTTAAGATTTGTACTACGATTTTTGTACGATTTCAAAACTCAATATGAACGTGTACAAAAAAAATAGTAAACAATCAATATACACTCTTTCTTTCATATTTTTTCGAGAAGGAGATGGTACTTAGTCTAAATACAATTTGTCAGTTCGGAATTGCAATTTTTATTGAAAGTGAACATCAAAGCTAAACAATGATCTGAACAATATGGATGGGAGTACAAAATCCAATACACGCGCTTTCCTTTTTATCATCCAAAAACAGTAGAGGAAGAGACGTACAGTACAACCACTTTTTTACCCGCCACTTTACTCCTTCCTTCCTTCCTTCTTAGTTCCTCCTCCCCCAGTAAATCCCCCCACCGCCACCGCCACCGCCACCGTACGCTATTTCTCTCCTCCCCCAACCTTTCTATTTCTCTATGATTACATCTGGGCACAGCCCACTCCTTGCTCCTTCGCCGCGTTTTTCATTCCTTCTGATCTCATTTCTTTTTGTTTATTCTTTTTTTTTTAATTTGATCCTCAATTTCGGGCCTCCCTGTCCCATTGAATGCAATTGTTCAAAAAATGTATCTTTATCTAGATTAATTTAATTGGGTTGTATTATTGGTTGTAGTTAGCTAGCTACAGGGGTTTTAGCAACTCTGATCTCGATGGCAACCACCACGGTGGCTACCGCCGCCGGCGCTGTCGTTCTCTTGTACTATGTTTTGAATCGGAGGTTATCATCGAGGGAGGGTCTAGTGCCTGTTGACGAGGCCGGCGATAATTACTCCAAAACATCTGCTAGTAAGCGGCGGATGTCCTCTCGGAGGAGGCCAGTAGCGCAAGCTCCGGCCACTTGGTTTGAGACGATTATGACTTTAGCGGACACCCTTAGGTTTACATACTCCGAGACTTTGGGGAAATGGCCTATTGGCGACTTAGCTTTTGGAATTAACTATTTAATTCGAAGGCAGGTTAGAACTATTTCTTCCCTTTTTTAAGGCAGAAATGTTGTTAGATAATAAGTGCCATCTCTTTTATGTTGTACTAAGCTTGAAAAGTTGTGTTCTTTATTTTGGGCATAAGCAAATTCGTGTCGTATCTGCTGGAATGTTCTACGGAGCTGCAATATTCATTTTTTTTAAAGCTCTTAGCTCTTCGAGTAGGCATTTTTTCTGCCTTGTTCGTTTAGGTGTAAAAATTCAATCTTTATTTTTATTTTTAAATGTTGGACATATTGGTTTTCTAATTGGACTTGAATCATAGATACTGTCCATTTTGTCATCAATATTTGAACCTGTCATTTCCACTTCTCTTATACCTTTGGTGCATCACTACTCTGAAATTAAACTAAAAAGTATTAGTGCATGGGAAGATTCTTTTTGAGATATCAGAATGTTTGTGCTCTTTGCCATTGTAAGATGAACTCGAAACTGTGTTCTTTTTGGAGATGGGGGATCAAAACGCTTACATGCGTGCTTTCTCTTTATCCTGTGCTCACTTGTGTTTCTCGTGCTTTTGTTTCAAGTTCCCAACTCTTGCTTTTTAGCTCTGTGATTTTTATATAACAAATCAATCCTGGCAGGGAAACCTTCAAGTTGCAAGTGTATATGCTGGAGAAAATTCTGTACAGTTGAAGGGCATCGAAATAATCACCCAATTGTATCATTATTTGAAGTTGCTGACTCTTTGCATGCTTTTTTCTAAGAAACCATTTCCAGTTTTTTTGGATACTGCTGGATTTTCACAAGCAGATGTTCTTCTTCAGAAGCCTAAAGCAGGGGTATTGTTTGTTCCCTTTCCCCCTATTATGCTTTGGTGCTGCAATTGTTTTCCCTTTGAAAATATTCACCTTTGAAGTTCATTTTTGCAGCTTTTGAAGCCTGCCTTTACAATATTACATGATAAAGATTCAAAATGCTTCCTTCTTCTAATCCGAGGAACTCATAGTATCAAAGACACATTGACCGCGGCTACAAGTGCAGTGGTCCCCTTTCACCATTCCATCATGAATGATGGGGGGATATCCAATTTAGTTCTGGGATATGCACATTGTGGAATGGTTGCCGCTGCAAGATGGATTGCGAAGCTCTGCACTCCCATATTGCTCAAGGCTCTACATGAAAATCCTGATCATGAAGTCAAGGTGGGGAGTACGTGTAGACTTTATACTTTAAATTCATTTTGAATAAAAAACGTTTTTAAGATTTAGAATCTGTATCGAAATATCTCTGTTATTTTTGTGATGAATCTCTCATATTTCACTTCCCGTTGCTGTTATGGTTATCAGGCCTTGTTCTTGTATTTTGTTTCATCGGCCTCACTGTCATTGTTGATTTGCAGATTGTTGGTCACTCACTTGGTGGCGGAACTGCAGCTCTTCTTACATATATCCTTCGAGAACAGAAAGAGTTGTCCTCAATCACATGCATTGCTTTTGCACCAGGCACGTTTCTTTCTTTGTCAGTTGTGCAAACTGGGATAATGTGTCTAAGCCTTTTCATAAAGGCTGGTTAGATTTGAATCAATGTAGCTTCTAAGTTAGGATAAATTTGGTTGTTTCGCTTTCATTGGAGTCTGTGTTTCTGGTCTAATAAGGGTTTGTTAAAGTCTCACTGGGCTCCAAATGAATATTGTGGAAGCCTACTGACAGATATTTGCTGTCTTTTCTATTTGAAACTTCATTAATCTATGTTTATCCCTGTGTATGCTTTTCTTCAGCTGCCTGCATGACATGGGAGTTGGCGGAATCTGGGAAGCATTTCATCACGACAATAATCAATGGATCTGATCTCGTACCCACATTTTCGACTGCTTCTGTTGATGACCTTCGTTCAGAGGTAAATCTGCTCCATGTATCTTATACTACAAAGTTCAGGTGTGAGATGTTTCATGCATGAAAATTAGGAATATTTGATGATACTTTTGATCATATACATTCAGGTAACTGCTTCATCTTGGTTAAATGATCTTCGTGATCAAGTTGAGCACAACCGAGTTTTAAACGTGATTTATCGCTCGGCCACTGCTCTTGGGTCTCGCCTACCATCTGTGTCTAATGCAAAAGCTAGAGTCGCGGTTGCAAGTGCTCTTCTGCGGCCCGTTTCAAGCAGCACTAGTGTAAGATATTCTGAGAAATATTTGGCCTTCAGATTTTCATTTCGCATCCTATCTGAGCTCCAGCATAAAGTAAATTTCTATTTTTCTATGCCTTAGATACTTGAATCGGCATATTTTTTTAAAAAATTTATTTTATTTTATTTTATTTTATTTAATTAATTTTTTAATGATTCCTTTGTAAAGCATGGAGCATGGTGGCGATTCTTCTGACAACTCTCTCCTAAATGCTGAACAACTCTATAGTTTACTTTAATTGTGGTTCTGTTTTCTGGCAATTATTAATAGGTTATAGTATTTCTACCTTGTTATATCATAGGTCGTTATGAAGCGTGCTCAAGATGTAGCTCAAGCAGTTGTAAGGACCCGAACTTCTTTTTCATCATGGACATGTATGGGTCCTCGTCGCCGTGTAGTGAATAGTCCATCAGAATGTAAAGCAGACGATTCACCCGAGACTATTTCTATTATTACCGAAAGAACATCTGTATCTAGTGTTAGTGAAGCTATAACCAGAGACTCGAAGGTCTGCTCTTCTACTGTTTCACTGCATGAAGAGACAGATGAAGAAGAAGTTTTGACACGAGAGGACCACCACAGAGTCATGGCGGCTTCCACCCTGGAAGATATTACCGAAGGTGAGTTGTGGTACGAACTGGAGAAGGAGCTCCAGAGACGGGATGACCATGATTCTGATGTGCAAGCCCAGGAAGAAGAAGAAGAAGAAGCTGCAGCAGCCGCAGAAGAGATTTCCGAAGAGCAGAAGGTGTTGGTTGACGCTGTAGAAAGCCATACACCAATATCAACTTCAGATGTTTCAGAGAATCTTCAGTTTTACCCTCCAGGCAGAATAATGCACATTATTTCTGTGCCGGCTCCTTCGTCATCTGAGACAAATGATGATTTGGGCCAGGATGATCGGACAGCAGAGCGGGTTTGCATTTACGAAACACCAAGAGATTTATACAGCAAGCTAAGGTTGTCGAAAACTATGATAAATGACCACTACATGCCCATGTATAAGAAGATGATGGAACTATTGATCAAGGAATTAGAGAATGAAGAAGAAATTTAGTCGTGTATGGATTGGAAACAAGAGTTCAAAAAAAAAATTAAGGTTACGCACATAGAAACAGTCCATGTGTTTTCCTTTTCTGTTGCCAAACTATCACCATTCGTCATTTTACATATTTCTCACAATTATTGGCCAATCCTATTTACAGAAACGCGTAAATATTGACGAAAACAATCGGCCTTAACCTGTCAGTGTATGTTTAGTGATTTCACTATTCTTGGTTTTGGGCTGGCACAAATATTAACTTCGAATCTACCAAAGAGCATGAAACGAATTTGAGGAACACAAACTTCAGCAAATAAGCCTTCCATCCATTGCTAAGGCTTAGCTTCATCAATTACAAATATAAATCAACTATCTGATCATTCATTCCTAAATCAATACAATAAGCTAAGAAGAGGACATTACGCCAACGAAATGCTTAGCAAACAAGAGGTTCAACACCAATGCTTAGCAAAGAGGAGGTACAACACCGCTTCAAAGCGCTATATCTACCACTATCAAAGAATTGGATAAATCTAACAAGTTCATTCCTCACCTCAAGTTACTAATAAAATAAACTAAAAAAAAGGTCTATGAATGGTCTCAAAGTCGTTTCCATGTTCACATCAACCACCATACCGCATCTTTAGTGATTCAGGCGGCTCCTCCTCCATGATGCCTGAACCAGTTGTTGCCAAGTATTCACGAATGGTAGTTTTACGGTCCCCAAGATAAGTGTGATCGAGAAAGTTGTTGTAGGCATCAACGCCGAGATTTTCTGCTGCCAATACACTGCAGTATGATTCAATTAATTTAGGTTAAAATATGGCAAACAAATATATGGAACAGATAGGTTTCCCAGCACAAGAAGAAATTCGTGCCGAACTCATCCCTTCAATTGGAGTAAACAATTAATCCAGCATGGTCATCCAACCACATTGTCGCGAGGCAGTAACAAAGAAGACGATGTGATTGCACAAAGTCTGAAGGAGATAAAATTACTGGAGTTAGCACTTACCAGTGACGCAGATAAACACGACACGGCAAGATATCATCACGCCAAATTTTTTGAATGCCGTAGCGTCCATACCGCTGAAAAAAGATCTCCTTGTCACCTGAATAAATTTCTCATAATAAGCAGACAGATAATGTTCACTGACCACAAATATCAAATTCGGATGTAACTTAAACTTTAAGCCCAATCTTATGAAAATCAATTTATATTCCAAAACTACACAAACCACAACTATTGGCTGCTCCGTGATTCATAAATAAAAGATGTAAAGTATTAGACAACTGTTCAAAAAGGAGGGAAAAAAGAAAAAAGGATGAATCATCCAACCTTTGCATCTATTTCGGAAATACTCTTCGTCAGTGTATCGAGCACAAAGCACCTGCAAGAATGGCAACAGCGGGACATGTCAAACGTCATTGAAAGGATTTCGAGCTACTACTGCCATAAGAGAAATAAAAGTATAGCATACCGCGGGATCGGTATAAAGCAAACCATTATATGTCTCAGGTATTACCTACAAAAAGGTTAAACATGTAGGGATCAGATCAGTAAGAACCTTAACATTATACGACACTCTCCATAAATTTTTCATAGCAGGTAAAAAGAAAGCACAGCACTCACTGCTAAGAAACGGAACTCATGCTCCCTTTCAATGAATGCTGGAATCTGATTAGGCAAATGAAGAATGTTAGAGAATTTCAATAAGCATGAGGTTTACTACTACTTAACGAATGCCCAGAACTCAAGAAAAGGAAAACTTATCAGTACCTCTGATCTTGGAATCTCAAATAGACTAATAACAAGAGTTTCACCTTCACAAGGCTCCACACTCAAGCTTGATATCTCCTGAAAACATAATATAGACATTCAATCACGAGAACCTCAATGCAATACAAAGGAAGTTTTATCACGAAGAGTAGAGCAAAAATGTAAAGCAATTGAAAACGTGCAATCCAAACTCATAATTTCCAGCCCAACAAAAAGCAAAGGAGAGAACATGAGGAAAACAGCACAAATATAACACTGCATTCTGACATTTACACGTATAGTTGAATCAAAACAGTTTTTCAAAGTACATCTTCCTTTTGCCTTTTTGGCTTCATAAACTGTCTCCAATGGAAGCAGGATAAGTTCCTAACTGCATTTTCAAGGCAGAATCATTTAAACCCAAAAACTTGTTTCCAAAAAGAATAAAAACATTGAGCTTTTAGCCTTTCGAAACCCAAGATGACGGACAAAGCCAATTTACAAGCGGGGATTAAGAACCTTTAGACTAAAGAATTTGCAAATGTCTTTGAAATTGCAGGTCCAGAGTTTCACTTTAGTAAATGATTAACAACAAGAAGAGAAGCTAAACTCTTTATTTTTTGCCTTTCCCGTTGTCAACCAAATAACTTGGCTCTAAATTAGAACTATTAATAGTATCTCAAAACATGAAAAAAAGGGAAATTAAAAAAAAAAATGGAGAAAGAAAGGAAAACCTTAGTTTGGGGTTTGGCAATGCCGCGCTCGAAGAAAATGGGGGCAGAATGACCGAAAACCCTCCGGAATCCACTGAGTTTGGCTCCTCTGAAGTTGATCAAACCCGGGAACGTACTCTGAGCACTCGCCTCTGTTCAAAGAACAAACAAACAAAGGGAACATTTTTTTATTTATTGTCTTTGAAAAGGGAAAAAAAAAAAAAAAGAAGGAAGAAAAGGAAACGAAGAAAAACTACTAACTTGAAAGGAGAGAACCAAAGCCGCAGATGGAGATGTATCCATCGGAGTTGAGAATCTGATCAAAATCGGACTCACGGGTGAGTTCCACAGGATGCCGGAACAGCTCGTTCACCGACATGACGGCGGCGCTCCTCCGGCCCATGCGTGTCATGGAGGAGGAACAGAGTTTTGGATAGGGAGGGAATGAGGAGAAGGGAAGGAAATAGGGAGGCGCGGCGGTGGCTGGAAAAGGGGCGGAGGAGGGGGAGATGAAATGGGCGCGTGTTTTGCACGTGAGGGGAAACATGAGGGGAAATTGGGGAAATTGATGTGTGAATAAATAGGAGGAGAGAGATAGGAAGGAATGAGGAATGATTGAAAACACGTTTTGGAAATTCAAACTGAAGAAAAATAAAACACGTGCCCAAAAGGCAGCCTGCGCCTTTGGTGTTCTTAAAACAACACGTTTCAAATGTTTTTGGAAAATTGGTACGACGTCTACTAGTCTACTACTACTATACTCCTCCTGTTGGTTAAGATCAGCTCTGTCTTATCATTACACGAAATGTTTGAAATTTTTTAAGCACAAAATTCATTTTGCGTCCCCTAACTATTGGAAGAGACATCAATTTTGATGAATTAACGGCTCAAATGCTAGTTCCGTTAATTTTCTATTTTTTAAAATAATTTCTTACTGTTCCTTGCGCCAATTCCTTTGACCTAGCAAAAAAAAATTATTTTTCCTTTTTCAATTCTGCAAAAAAAAAATAAAAAACCATCGCCGCTCTTCAACTCCGGCCGCCGCTCCGACTCAATTACGATTCTATCAATTGCGGAAACCAACCAGTTCACCACCATTGTGCAATTCACCCCAAGATGCGTCTCTAATAAAAAAAAAAAAACTTTTTTCTTTTTCAATGTTAGAAACAACCTTCTTCAAGACATGACTAGCATTCAAACAATGTTTAACCATCAACAACCCAAATTACTCTTTCAGACCCAAAAATTGTTAATTAGATATCCAAGGACATCTGTTTCACAAGATTTAGTCACAAGGGACAGAAACACCACATAAAAAAGAACCATACATTCCATCAAAATTGACAGATAAAGTACTGAAGCTCAAAAATTCATAAGTTCCAAGGAGTGACGACGACAATGCGGCCAGCAACTTGGTCAAGATCTCGTTGGCCACTGCATGTAATTCTTCTTCCTCCTTTAGGGTCCATGTCGATAATGTTCAATTTAGCCTGCTGCTGAAGGATGTCACGACCAATTCCACCACTGGCTTTACCAAAATGTGGTGGACGCCTTCCGTTCCTCTTGCTTCCACCATTAATCCTCCTAAATGAACCAACTCCAAGGCCTTGTCTCAAATTGATCTTCCTGGCTATAGAAGCAGCTCTCATGTAGAACCAATCGGGATCCAATATCAAGTTATCAACCCAGGATGAAGACAGGGTTGATTCTTTTTAATAAGAAAATTAATTAAAAAAAAAAAGAAAAAATATTTTTTTTGTTGGGTCAAACAAGTGGACTCCACCATTGATAAGAAAATTAATTAAAAGTGACTGATAAGTCTATAAAGATTATGATCAAAATTGATGATAAAAATATTTTAAGGGATTACTTTTGCCAATTGAAATTTCATAGTGACTCGATCTTGCTATCCCAAAAAGTTGGGTGACGAAAAGTACATCCGGTCTTTTTTTTTTTTTTTTAATTCAGATGCAGAAAATCGACCAGGTACGACTCACAAATTGTATGGAGCAGCATTGACCTAAATAGGCGAGATCGTAACTACTATTTTTAGTAAATATTTTCTTTCAGAATAGAGAGAATATAACTTAAGTCACGATGGATTATTACATTTTCGATCATGCGTACAGTATGCATTCTAGGGGGAAGGGTCGATTTGGTTGATCTAACTTTATGTTCGATGATTCAATTCTTTAAACAAATTTCTTTTAGTTTTTGCACGATAAAATTGTTTTAAAGTGGGAAGGCTCCTTTGGGACATCTCATAAAATTGAAACCACAGCAGCCTGTCTGATTAAAACACCATGGACACAAATACAGAAAGTATTGGCTTTTAGATCTTGTACTTTTATTAGCGTATTTGGAGTATGTACATCGTGTATTTACTTCAAAAGTGAGAAATTACAAGATTTCACAAACATTCAAAAGAAAGCGAGAATCTAGTGGTGATTTGATTTCTCATACGGTATTTGGTTTTGTGGAGGTGGAATTCGATGGATCTAACTCTAAGCTGCAGGCTTTTCAGGAGTGAAAGAAGAGGCAGATGGCAGAAATGTCATCCATGGCAAACCCAGGCCTCTTACATTTCCAAGCACAAACTGCGGATTCCACCAGCCTCTTGGCTGCTGATTCTGGGCACCTTTTTGAAGCTGAAGCCGTCACAATGTCCACTGCTTCTTGGTTTGACATCACATCCCACACCTACATAATAATGTACACAGAACCAATAGTTATCATCACTGCAAGAAATTGCCATGTTTCAATGTCAACAGCAGCAGCAAATGAAGAGTACTGATTTCTAATTAACACATACACCATCGGTTGCCACTATCAAAAACTCATCCTTGCTACTTATCGTTCTGTGAGTCAATTCTGGGTCCGAAATCAGGCCGAACTCTTTCATGTAATAGTCCCCAAAGGCTCTTGATATCGCCAACCCAGGACCTTCATTTGGCATCCACACTCTGTACACTCCTGGTTCATCTCTTGATGAAAATATCCTTCCTCTTGACTCTTCGATTCGCTTGCTTTCTTCTGTATCCACCATTTATCTTTTTGGTGTTAAAAACCATAAACCTTGTTCACTCAACTATACACATTAGTATGTTTTAATGACGCAGAAAAGAAAAAGCAACTCATGACTTACGAGGTTGATTTGGCTTCAGGTCTACTGTGAGCTGAGTTGCAACCAAGCAACCATCATCACAAGTTGTGGCCAACACGGCCCTGGAATCGCCAATATTCGCCACATATATCTCATCACCCTGATATGAAAGTTCATCAATAAGTATAAACTACTTAATGATGCAGAGATTTAACCATGAAAGAAGTGACATTTCTAGGGTGATCAAGTTGCTTACCTGTTTGACAACTGTCAAAGCTGTTGATCCACTATAGAAAGAGTCAATCCCGGGGAGCTGCGAGAGTCGGTAATCTACAGCGGAGCAAGTCCTCAAGTATGATTCTTTCCAAACCTCAAACTGCCTTTGGCATTCCCCACCATCATCTATAACCTCCTCCGGTGGCTTCTTTAGCGGCGCACACTGACAAGCAACAAGAGTCTGTTGCCAGTTGCAGAGCAAAAGGGATGGCATCAATTTCTTCACTTGTTTAGCCACAATATGTCCCCACGACCCATGCCCATCAAATATTCCACAAAACGTCATGTCTTCTTGGCATCCAAACTCCTGCCACCCAAGCAAATAAATCAACGAAAACAAAGACGATCTCATAAATACATTTTGCTTCTGTCTTATCATTATACTGTCTGATACTTTAACTCCATGTACCTGCCACACGACGAGGCGATCTTGATTTGGACCCTTTTGGCCCTTCTTTGAATATGCAGAAACCATAACATTATCATTACTGGACCGGTTTGAATTGATAAAGCCAGAAGAAGTCAGAAGCATTCCATTTTTCCTTGCTTCTTTGGCCATCGAATCTGCTGCTTCCTTCCCTGATCCGCCAGCGACATCAAGGATGCTTACTTTCCTTTCATTCTTAAAGGAAATGGTCCTTGCCAAGCTTGAGAAAATACTAGTAAGCTGCACCATTGTTTCTCCCTCTATTCCGACTTCTCCTGCAATATATATATTAAGTCGGCTACAATCATCAACATAGCCAAAACAAAATGTCACTTTATAAATAAAACAGAAGTATTTTTTCAGGCCAAAAGGACAAGCATTTCAAGTTGTGCATTCTCTATGAGCAGAAATTCATATTGAAGAACAAGCAGTCTTGTAACTATTATATGTAGAATTTTGTGAATTTTGCAAGAATTTCAGATTGCATATTCCTTTCCAGTAACTTAAAGGAGGCAAATAAAGATCGTTAATTCAACCACATACCAAGTGAAAACAAAGAGAGAAGAGGACTTCAGACTACGACTGAATCTAACAATTGCTCAACTATTACCAAAAGATGAAGCTCAATCATTCCACCTGATTCTTCTGCAAAGCTTGAAGGAAAAAAATTCCATCTTGGCAATTCAGTTCTTATTCCATATGAAAACATCGGAAGATTAACCAGAAACATGAAAATGGAAAGGAGGAGGATACTATGCATGAGCTTGATGAACAAATTGTAAATGTGAAAAAGAAGTCATGCAAATGCATAGGCATTTACCTTTTTGTTACAGCAAAAGGCTCTCTTTGACTTCAAACCAATAAAGAAGGAATTACAAAAGCTTTTCTTTGCAAAGGTTGTCTATAATACTTGTTCCTGCCTTATTAATGCAATTTTGTTTCGCAGACTTGGCTGAAATGGAAGTGCAGAACAACCCTTTATCAGATAGCCAAAATCCAATGAGAAATCATCCATTTTAGACATTCAACACATTGGGGAGGGTATTTTGCCTGAATTATCTATCACCTTTAACAATTAGCTCCTTCTCTTCTTGGTAGCCAGATCAACCGAATTTCCTTCCTTTTTTTTTTTCTTTGGCAGCTATAAGTTTGATGTTCTTTTGAAGGTTTGCCAAAGGCCAAATATTGAAATGACCTTCAAATTGATTATGACCAAGTGATGAATTTGTTTAAAGGGGTCTAATCCCAAAAAAAATCAATGAGGAGAGAGTTTAAGATTAAGGACACATATATGTTTGTTTAATAATGTGCCTAAAAAGTTTGACTATGACGTTGATGGATTGAACGATTAGGCCAAGATAATAGAGTGATTAAATAATGGTATGTTAGTGGCTCAAAGCATTAAGGCGGTTTATAGTTATATATGTAGGAAGTGCAGTTGGTAATCATTAGTATTAGTTTAGGTTATCATTCCGTGTTAAGAAAATATTTTATTTTCGGGAGAAGATAAAAGTCCGCTGACTTGCATCATCTTCCTTATTATAGTATGAGTTAATACAAAACTGATTACCAAAGATTAATCAGTTTGCATGACTAGGTCAGGTCAGATGTCATGAGGCTTTGACTGGGAGGAGGTGATAAGTTTGTAAAGAATTTTGTAGCGAACGACCGTAGAGCTCTTTCGTTTGCTGTTTGGGTATTAACGTAGTTTTACTGTTTGCAGACATGTTTTCTTAGGTAAAGAAAACTTCAATATAATCCCCTTAAAATAGTTGAATGGATTATGACTTTACAATTTCTAAAAATTGGACAAAAACCATCTAAAGCTCTAATTGCATACTCATCGAAATCAAAGGGATCAATTAAACTGAATCCTCAACATCATCATTTACATTGTGCCCACCGAAACAACTGATAATGATTTAAGCCGTTTTGTGGTCAATGTGCTCAGCCTGGAAATCTCTCAAAAGTTGCAGAGATTGATGGTAGAGATTAAGATCCATGCCGTCTACATTTCTACCGACCCGCGCCCTCAAAATCGCCTACATTTGTAGATCAAAGGCTACAGTTAGTAAACACATAGAAGTTTACAAATAAACATCAACAAAGAAGGTTCTATAATGCTCATATCCCCGGTCAAATTCTGCTCAAGGGCTTCAAGGAGAAAAATGCTTTAATGTAGGTGGCTCGAGTATCCAAAAGTTAAATATATGAATACAGAGCAATGACAGCATATAACATGCAAAGGAGTTGGAAACTTGGAATTAATGATGTACAAAATGAAGTATACCCTAAAGAGCTTCCGGCTTTGTCAATTTCAGTACTAAAAGATGAAACGAAGTTTAACCATATTGCCTACGTTCTGGCTTTCATCCATATATTTTCCAAAGGTCTTTGGAGCTGTTTATGAATATCTATTGTTAATCATTTTCAGTACACAAAGCTAAGGGACTCTAAACATGATGAAATCGCCATGAGAGTTCCTAGAAATTAGCTTTCTACGGATAAATTGCATTCTGATGGCTAGATAGAAACAAAAATCGTTATTAAGGGTTCCTAAAGATTGGCTTACCATAGAGACATTACACTACAGAATCACTGTAGTTCTACATGCCTGCGCTGATTGTAGATTGATAAAATATAGACAGGTTATACACTTACTTCATTATTATCGGAGTTGACTAGCAATTCGCCTATGAATTGGTATAAGGATCCCACACGAAGATTGACCTTCAAATGCTGCGTGTCAATCTTCAAGGAAGAGTTTGCTTCAACCAGCGAAGCGATTGCAGTCTCCAAGTCATATTCTTGTAGCCTACACACAGTAACTATGCAAAATAACTAATCCATAATTAAGTAAACTAAATTATGCTAGAAGATATCAGCATGTAATCAAGCAAACAGCAACACATCAGATGGAACAAGAAACATCCTTGTAAGGCAGAAAAAAAAAGAGCCAAACGGGAAAAAAGAGAAGATCGAGGCTGCTTATGGATGCATTCAGCTTAGATGTGCATAGTACAAAAATGAAACTGATGGCTTCCGCCCATGTTAAGAAGCCAATTTCAGAACACTTTTTTATATACTGAGTCTTAAATATGTTCCTTGGTTTATACTTTGTGGCTGAATTTTCACATCTATCTGCCCCTACGTTTCCATAGAATTTCTACATTCATTCATTGTTGTATCCTCCCTTCAGCCAAACCTACCTTCAGAAACAGAAATTAAGCTGACTATGCATTTTAAGGCAAGCAGGTCATCTTCAGGCTCAACTGTGTTCACAGTGGGCATCCCGTAGACATTTCAAGAATAAAATCAACTAGAAGCTGTAGAAGTACATTGCAATAATAGAATTTCCAAACAAAATGCTGTAAACGAAAGTTTTTCGACATTCTGTTCCCCTTCATGATTCAGCCAAAATTCAAGTAGCAATTTGTTATCAATGAAAAGAAAGAAAAGGACATTCTAAAACAATATGTTGCAAAAGGGCATTTCACCAAAACCCTTCATCGAAATTCAATCCATTAAATGATCAGTGTCTACCTTCAGCATAAGCTATATGCAGACAGAATCCAAGAACCATCCTTTTTGTTTTTGGGGTTAAAAAAAAAGCAGGACACGGACTGCCAAAAAAGAAACCCAAATTTTCAAATAATCATAATATAATACATCATCTTCTGCATAGAATTTCCATGCCTCGTTTATTCTTCATCAATCAGTTATATCAGTGATTCGTACAAAATCCAAGAAGCCAACTTTGTAGGGGGGAAATACAAAACGCAGAAAGAGAGAGAGAGAGAGAGAGAGAGAGAGAGAGAGAGAAAGAGATGGAAAGCGAAGAAGTAAGAAGCTTACTTGCCAGTAACTCGAAGCGAGGCGCCTTGTTTGAAATGTGGAGAAGTGGGATCATTAAGTTCCTGCAAAGTCACCAATGCTCCAAAGCTCACACCACCGGAGCTCGCCGCCATTCCAGCACAGTCCACCGAGCAGAGAGAGCCACCGCTCCTCGGAGAGACTCAAATTATATAATCATGGGCCACTTGGGCTGACTCTACTCAAGCCTTGACTCTATTTTCCGGCTTCTTTAGTGTTGGGTCAAACTCATGCTTTGCCCGGGGAATTCCTTTTTCTAGCCCAAGTTTTAAAAAGTTTATTTTGATTTTCTAACCTAAAACTAATACCCTTCAAATCTCAAAACTTAATTGTGGTTGTAAGTCTATGTAGAAGTGTAGATTAAAACAAAAATGTAAAGAAAATCATATTAAGTCTTAGGCCCCGTTTGATAAAACTTAATTTGAGTCTGAAGTCTAAAATTTGAAGACTGAATCATAAGTACTGAACTAATTAAGTTTCTCTTGTTTGATAAAATTCAAAATCTGAAGACTGAATAAATGTCTGAAATCTGAAGTCTGAACACTAAAATTTAAAGTATCTCAACTTATAATTTTATCTAAAATAATAATCGATTTATATGAAACTATGATAATAAATAATATTATTATTATAAAATTATGTTATAAAAATATTTAAATTTTATTATGTGATTATTTTTCCAGTTAATAATAATGTTATATCTTTATCATTATCAAAAAAAATATCATATTTTATGGCAAATATAATTGATCATGGAATTTATTCGGATTTTTAATATTTATATTAAAATAAATATTTATTAAATAAAAATAATTTATATAAATTTTAATTTATAACTAAAAGTCAAGATTAATAAAATTATTTCAAGATAAAACATGAAAAATATAAACATAAAAGTAACTAAACAGGAAAGCAATCGTCTTAAGAATTCAGTTTAGACATAAGTGATAAAGCCTATCACGTATTTTCAGACTCACATTTATACTAACATTTCAAAAACACTTAATTTGTTAAGACATCCTATTTTGAATTATCAAACGCACTTAATATTTAAATCTTGAATTAGTTAAGTTCTTAATCAATTAAGTGGTTATAACATTGTGTCATTAAACGGTGCTAATCAATTAAGTACTTAATCAATAAGTATAAGTGCTGAATTGGTTTATTAAACAAGGCCTTAAATAGAAAAAATGACAAAATGCTAACAGTTGATTTTATTTTCCTCTGATTTCTTTTCCTTTTTGTACAAGTAATAAAATTCATAATAAACAATATAAAGCGGTTGAATTTGTATGTCCAAAAAATACAGAATCCACCCCCCACCCCCTGCAAGTCATCTGCTGCATATCAGCACATGCAGTATCACTCGTCTCTCAAAAGAGTACTCTTCAGCACATTGCAAGAGCAGCATAACTGCCCTAACCTATTGAATTCATCTTCAATTCGTTGCCACCCCTTGTAGATCCGAGTTCTCTCTCTCCGTGGACTCACACCAATGAGGACACAACATTTTCCTATCAAGTTCTCTTTTTTTTTGTTTGCTGTGCACCCTGCATGCAAAAATAGTTCGTGGCTGCATGTTGTCTCTTCAAATATTGCCCAACTTGGCAACAACTTAGCCTTAGTCCTCTATATGTGGTTGACTATATAAATTACGTCACCATCGTGCTAGCAGACTAGAGTTTCAGGTTATTTCTAGGGGCTATGTGTAGTCTAATCATCAATGGAAGACAAAATAGAAGCCTTTAGTGGAACACTTGTTGTGATGCATAGTATTCACTTTCATTGAAAAAAGGTCTCAAGTCTTCCTTTGACATGAAATCCAAAGGGAATGAAACAAGATGCCCCTTTACTGCTCTTAACCTTTCCATGGGATCTGTGCTATAAATACTCCCATCCTGATAGGATTCCAACTTAGATGGGGCTATCCCTAAATCAATGGTGGTATGACCTAGTTTTTCTTTCCAATATGCCATGCTTTGTCTTAGTGCAACCCTGCAATGTCATTGGACGATATATTCAGAAAACTTAAAATATACATAAATTGGAAAAATCTTATAAAAACCCAGGCAGCACAAGCACATACCTTGATTGGATCAGATCATTTGGCACACAAGAGAACACATCTTGGTAGATCATGGTATTAGTCTGCCGATAACATTTTCATTCAGTTAGGAGGAGGAAGGAGATGAAAATCCAGCAAACGATTTACAGGATTTTATAATTATTTTAACATTCTATTTTCCCATTCAAGAAGATTACACAGTCATATGGTAAAAAAAAGCTCAAGCCATTCAATTCCAAATTCAACCATACTACAACTCGAGCTAGTATCAAGTTTGATTCCCCTTTCACCCAAAAATTATTAATACAACATACAACCATGTGAGCATACAAGGAAGTGCATATTGGAAACGTGGATAAATTTACACAGCAAATAATAATATGACAATTAAACAGGGAAAAAAAGAAATGCACTTAGAATGCAATCACGTGTCATTTTACCTTGGCAGTTGCCATCCATATATCTTTATAGGTTGAATCAATCACCGGATCGACTATTTGACGGGCCTAAAATAAGATGAGAAATGAATCAGTCAAATCACAAAATGAGAAGAAGACTTCTTTCATCCTTTTTCCACTTCTTCGAAATTAATTCTTATATCCTATGTTCAGACATCCTTCGTAAAAACCATTTAAGAAACAACATCATGACAAAGTCATATAAGCAGGGTTTCAAAACAACCTCCCCAACTCGAAGTCCAAGGTGTTCAGCCCATAGAGAAAGCCGCAAACTTGATGAAAATTTTCCAGCCTTCCAAGGTTTGCCTCCCATAAACGAATCAACCATTTCTTTATCCTCAATAAGTACACCAATCTGAAATATCAAAACTCAGCATTAGCTACAGGAGAAAGATGTGAACCATCAAAATGCAATCCCAAAACACATGTTGCAGCTTGGTTTATTTAATTCAGTATGCTCAATTACTGAAACTCTGATACACAAATAGAAGACAGGAGAATTGTTATCTCTCACTTTGAAGTAACAGGGCCAACCCAATAGATGATGTATGAAGTTACAGGGAAAGGCTAGAAGGACAAACCCTAATTAAGGGACTTTTTGAAAGTTAAATTCAACTACTACAATTTAATCATGATCTTAAAATTAGTACCTCAGAGTCCCTAGAGCCAAGTAAACTTCTGTCGTTGATGTTAGCTGACCCAACCAGGGTTGTACAATCGTCAATAATCATAATCTTGCTATGCACGTAAACCTGGAAAAATGGAAGTCACAAGGAAGCCCCGTGTTGTGAAGTTAGAAGCAGAAATATACGAGGAGTTATGAATATAATATATAGGATAGTATGCTTCTTATTAAAAAAGCAACAATGAAAATATGCTTTTATCCCAATATGTAGGGAGAGAATTGTGTTATTATCCATAAATAAAAGCCTACATGTTCTCCGGAGGTAACAAAGTTCATGTCTTAAGATAATAAGTCACAGAGTCAGGAGAAAGGTGAAACCTAAAAATAAAATGTCCAAGGAATTCACGCAAACAGCGCCTCTCGAAAAATATTATTATGTAATAAGAAACCGCAGCAGCCACTTGGTTTCTAACAATTTTGTCCGTCAATATTTCAACCAAAACTAGAATGAGCCCATCTCCAAACTCAAGATAATTCGCTAGTCTATATGCCACATGCAATAAGTACTTGAACATATATACATCCGTGTAACATGAACCTAACAGTCAATAATCAGCGTCCAAATGAGGAGTGTGCTTCATCAAGAAAAAGCTTAGAGAAACATAGAAAAGCCAGAGTCAGGAATTACCTGACTAGTGGCAACAGGACCACCGTCAAAAAGTCTACCGTGGGATCTAAGACCATAGAAGGATATATAGTCATGCAGTCGAGCCCCAATGAGATCATAAAGATTGTGCAATATTGAACTATGGCCTCTGCATATAGTTCTATACTGCCAATGCATAATAGCCCTCACAGATGCAGCACCACCATCATCCACACCACCCTATCAAAATGTACATAAGATTAATAATAATAAAATAAAAAAAAGTTGGAAAACCATTTTGATAAGTAAGAAACGGAAATAAGAGTTCTTACCTGAAATCCTGGAAGAAGAGGTATGACAACTATAACCCTGAAGCACTTCTTTTCATTGTAGGCTCGCATAATGCGACGGTATAGTGCTTCCAGTACGCGGTTCTTTATTATCTCATCTCCTGAAAGACCTGAGATGAAGAATTGGTTCTGGAACAAGTTTAACAAACACATGTCAGATAACTGGAACTCTAAACTGCTCAAGTCTAGCATAAATGGCAAAAAAGAAAAGGGCAACAAGAAGTACTAGAAAAACAGAACAAAATTGGATAAAGCACAAAATATTGCACAAACCTCAATATACACAAAGTGTTCTGCCTTCTCTATGAGAGAACAGTAAGCATTGTGAATGCTATTTTCTGTTTGGCTAGTGCCAGCTGACCACTGACTAACACTCCTTATCACCTATCAAAAATGAAAATAAATTGTAGGATTAGATTACCAATACAAAGAAATTTGCCAAAGAACTTTCATATACATTGCAAGAAACTTTAAAGTACATGTAATTTCCGAAGGAAGTTCAAGACAAACAAACTCACAGGATAGTTTGAAGAAAACAGAAAAGAAAGGAAAGATTCCCGCCATATCAACATAACTTTTAGAGTGACAAATGGAAAATATGGTTTCAGTACGTGATGAACACGTAAATATAAAAGAGACAATTATTTGTCATGTCCAAAAGCTGAGGAGCATCACACATATTTAACAACAACAACAACATCCTCAGTATATGTCCCAACTCAGTTGGGGTATGGGGAGCCCCATTTGCAATGGATAAACATAAGAAATAATCACAAAATTTATGGATACATTCCATAGTCTAAATGACAACCTTATGAATGTCCCGGGTATCAATTTGAGTACTTAAAAATGTCCAATCCAATCTGAGTATTGTAATTGTGGATTATCTTTACCATTGACGCAAAAAGAAAATAGAGGAACTTCTGTTAATGTCTACTCATGCAAATTATCATACAGAAGGAAAAGCAAGGACACAGTTCGTAACAAGAACTAGTTCATAGCAAATTTTTATTCACCTGGCATCGACATGGTACGCGAGGACCAACTTGTCCAGTTTCATCTGCTGGGTCAACTTGACCACCTCGATCCTGTGTTTCCCACCATTCATTATCTGAAGGAATAATCCCTTTATGCATAGAAGACAACTCTTCACGCATATTTGAGGAGTCAATAATGTCATCCACGAAACCTTTCATTGGCATATCTGGATTCATTGGCTCAATTTTTGATTTTCTGAAAGAGAAAGGACTTTTACTGGGCCTACCAGCAGCTTGATCATGAGAACCATGTTCCTTAATCGAGCCATCTACTTTTAGCAGTTCTCCCTTCGACGAAGCATCATGCCCATCTGCTTCTTGAGGCATGAGCAATGGAATGTCCTGGCAAGATGACCTCGATGAAAACGAATCCTGCCTTTTGAACTCTTTACGAATGTTTTCGACATCCTCATTAACACCATCAATCGCTTTGCTCATTCCCTGATAGTGGGGAATAACCATATGATGCTGTGGCATTAGCAGTGGAATCGTCTCCTCATACAAAGCTTTATTTCTCTATAAAATTGTAAGAAAAAAAAAGTAAGATACTTGAAAGTTGCATTAGAATAGATTCACATGTAGCTACTAGCTAATCAACCTTGGCATAATTCCAACGCTGAACAAAATGACGGGCTATATCACGGCAAGGTGGCCCCCAGAGAGCACAATGAACATCATGCCATGGCATACGTGGATATTTTTCCCGGTCCAATTCGTCTTTCATTGTATCTTCCCAAGAATTCGGTTCTGATTCCCTGAAAACCATTATAAAAGATCAATTATTGAAGATTAACACCTCAAATGAGCAAACTTAATCCAAAATTCTTTCACTAGTAAAGTTAGTTCACAGTTCGAAAGTAGAGTATATGAAAAGGTCAAATCTGTTGCCAAAACAAACGCTAAACAATGATAAATAAAGGAGAAAACTAGAAACCCATATATATTAATAAGATCGTAGTTATCTGACTCAAGCTCAGCAGCTGTAGTATGCAATCAACAACATCATCATCCATGAAACCAGTTCCAATTGGATGAATAACATGCTATTGTATTCATAAGACCCACTCAATTGTAAATTGTCTTCTTTTCAGATAAATTATGAGATACTACTAAATGTACTTTATAAACACATACCTCGGATTGTAATAGTCCTTTCCAGGCCAAATATGGGGAGGATAATCACCAATTCTGTGGTCAAATGAATCATAGCGTCCAAAGCACAGGTCTAATCCACCAATAAAGCATATTTGATGATCAACAATGACAATCTTTTCATGGTGTGACCTGTTAATAAGTAGATCTGAGTATTAGTATAAGTAAACAGATCCATCGGTAAAGGGCATTTATAGAACCGGAAGAAGGGAAAGGCAAGGAATGTGCAAAACACAAAGTCAAGTGGGTCTTTAGGCAAGATGCGTACCACAGATAGACGCCAGAAGAAAAATGATCTGGATACCGAAGTACTCTAACATTCTCATGGATGCCAAGAAGCTTCTTCTTGCTATAGACACTATTAATTTTCAACGCTAGAGCGACCTCTTTGTATAGGAGGATAAAAATCTAAAACAAAATTGAAAAAAATGCAGGATCAAAATTCATTCTTATACCACCAAAAAGAAAAAAGAAAACAAAAACAGCAGAGATGAGAAATTCATATGAAGCCATAAAAGTTCACAGTAGCAAATTCCATGTTGCTTCACGCCATTGATTATTAAATATATAAAACACTATAAACAGAGGATAAGTAAATCATCAGTGCGATCTAATTACCTGAACACCTTGCTTTGCTTTTGTCTCCAACAAAGAATCAAGCCGGGAGGATGTGCGAGAAGTAAATGGACGACGCATGTAAAGTTCAGGGCACAGCCACCAACCGCATATAAATATCTGCAAGAATCCTTTTATTATCTTTCATCGCCTTAAGAAATCAAGTTGGAGATATCTAACTTCTTACAAGGGGAAACAAGCACTCTACCTCTGATCTTGCATCCTCAATTGCTGAAGCAATGGCCTCAAATGCTGCTCGACCATCAACAAACCATTGAGCCTGACTACCATCTGCAGTTAAACCTCGAGGAGGAGCAAATGAACCAAAACGGTGAGGGTGACACCACCCCTCTGGTGGCCTAAGGCCAGCATCATTAATGGCAGCCACCCAATCTTTAGCTTTGGCACCTGTCTTGCATCGTAACTTGATGCGGCGGATCCCACATGACACCTACAAAAAATCCAACTGGTATAAACATCTTCTAGTAGTTGCAACAAACACGTGAAACATTATGCAACACAACACCTGTATTTATACAAGCTTCAAATTTAACTATATTCCGCTATAGCTGCACGGTAATATACCCAGTCTTTTCTGGAAACCAAAAAAGTGCTTGAAAAAAAAAAAAAAGCAACTCTCAACTTACAGTTGCATGCGCTTCAATATTAATTAGTAATACTGGCAATATTGAAAAACAGAGCACCATAAAAAATTACCACTTACTCTAAAATAATGGCGCAATGGATTGCCATCTTTTACTTCTACTGCCAATGATACCCGACCATCACCATTGCCATCTGATGCTGGCAGCACATCAAAGACAATTATGTCTAGAGGTTGTGAATCAAAAGGATCTTTTAGAAAGGCCAGAAATCCAGGTTTGAGGACAGCCCAGACCTGCAAAAGAGACAAACAAATATATTCAACGTATCCAAATTTTAAAAGGGTACACCAAACATAATCATTGCGCAGCATAACTAACTCAAAGCAGATGCTTTTACAAAGGAATTGTAGACTCATCCATGTATGACTTTGATTGGCTGATTAAAAGCCGTTGAGGAACAATACACAAAATAACTTAGAATTAATGATGCCCAAAAACATCCGTGTTTAGCATAATTAATCTTGTTGCCTAGTCGGTATATTCAAAAGATCACTAAAGTACCTTTTGCCAATTGTCTTGGCAACAATTGAACCAATGACATGAACAACAACTCTGATGCTCATCATCTCTATAGATTTTCGGTAAGTGCTTCACCATAAGATAATCTTCCTTCAGCTTAGGACCATACTCCGGTGAGAACGATAATTTTGAGACTTGCAAAAATTTGCAAACCTGCCATTCAAAGACAGAGCCTCAAAAACTTAATACTCTAAACGCAAGATCTCCAGTAAGACAAACATCCAGGTCACATTTCATTGAAAATTTGTGTCAAAAACATTTTTGTGGAAATTGAATCTCTACTAACATAGAGAAATGTTTTTAACACAAGGACATATATGAAAATTACTTTTTGCAAGTATAGTGGCTTGTAACAAAAATATCAGAGAGGAAAAACTTTGCACACCTCACGAGAATTCACGATATCCATATTGCTGAGAAAATGATTCAAATAACCTTGCATTGCAGCTTTTGATTGGTCAGACATAGAATGCTGCCGTCCTAAAGCTGGTCGGATTATTGGCAACGCAGCACTTGATGGTACATCTCTGAACAAAAAACCACCTGTAAGAATCATAGAAATTATGATGTGGGACTCACAGAATGTTGCATTTTCTACTACAAAAGAGGTTCATACAACGGCTGACCTGTTCTTGAAACTTTCATCATTGCGAGCCAGAACTGTTTCATCTTCTGCTTCTTCATCATCTTGCATAACTGTTGGCTGATCACCTATTCCTAGATTTTGAAGCCATTCCCTAACCTTCAGAATGATATGCATCAATCAGAACCGCATTAAAGCCTTGCTATGAAATTAAATGGACAAATAATTGTCAAACAAACAAAAGAACTTGTATCTGAAGAGAAGTCATAAATAAAAGTAGAACAATAGATCAGAGCATACCTGCTCCTGCTTTTCATGAATTTCCTCCATAAGCGCCCGTTTTTTTAATGCAAAATGCAGATAAAATACTTGTGGTGCTTTCTTGATCAACTGCCACTTGAACTGAGAACAATGTACATATCAAAGCAACAAATTAGGAAAAATCAATGTGTTCTTTTCTTAATACAGAACAAGAAAAAAATAACTATTTTAACAAACAGGCCCCAATTTGACAAACCTAGACCACCAGATTGCATGAGAGCAACAACGGATGATTCTTTTGAATAAAAAAATATAAAAATAAATAATAATTCATAAATAAATCACACTTTCAGAAATTCATATTATTCATAAGAAACATACTCATGAAAATAATCGAATTTAGTCCAATGGTTAGGATAGAGGATTTTCCTCAGAGTAGACCCGGCATAGATTCTCAAGGGTAGGGTGGAAGTTTTTTCATATAAATACTCATGAAAGCAGAAATGTAATGCCACCCAACAAGTATGGTGGACACCTTGGACGTGGAGTTTAATAGCTAAAACCATCCCTTATTTCTTGATCCAATTCATTGAAATAAACTATTAACTCTCATCATATGTCTTTGCCTCTTAGATCATGAAACCACTAGCTATTCACGATTCCTCAAGTAGATGGCACATTTACTAAACCAAAACAAATAAGTGGCGACAATGCAGGAATAGTAGAAAAACGGTACATTAGTTGTCTCATAATAAGGCCCAAAATACGGCACATCCCAACAACAATCTAACACAATATGTGCATCGGCTTAAATTCCTTTCTGGATGTTCATGTTATTGTGTTTTGGCTCCAATCTAAATGAAACACTGTACTAGCCTCTAGGACATGCCAAGAGCAATTTATTTACATCTCAAACATACAACATTTTCCATTTAGACCATATCATCAATAAACCGGATATAACAATCAAAAGAAGGACGACCGTTCCATTAATAATTTTAGCAGGAACAAGACTACAACAACAAAGATTCATCCCAAACTTAACACTTTCACTGTTCCTCGCCAACAGAAAACGAAAATTCACTTAAAACCCAAAATTAAAGTGAAAGAAAAAACACAAAACGGCAGCCACCAAGTTTTAAGCATCAACAAAGACTCTTTATTACGCTGCGATTTTCGGAGCTAGCAACTTTACCTCGATTGGACGATAAATTCAATGATACAAGCTTAAACTACAAAGTAATTCTGAAGATAAAGAATCATCGAAATCGTGGAGGTAGACTAAGTAGTACCTGTTTGTATTGAAATTCAATAGTGTAAGTAAGCATGGCGGGGCTAATATCGGCGGCATCGGGGCGAGAGACCTGAATTATAGTGGCCTTGGGCAACTCGTCGAATATTCGAGCTGGCTCGCCTCCGCTTTGATGAAACGAGAGGAACGATGACATCATCATCGGCAACGACGACGGAGGCTCCGATTGCATTTGCACGTATTTAGGTCCGCCCCCTCCTCCTCCTCCGCCTCCTGCACCCAAAACCAATTGCTCCGTCGACGCCATCAGCCTCCCCCGATCACCGTAATTGCAACAAAAAAAACAAATAAACAAAAAAAAAAAAACGGATTTATAAATTTCAAAAAACTTGGGGCAAAATTGCAGAAGGAATCTTCCAAGGAAGAAAGATGAACATAAATTGAGATCTTTTTTTCCCCTTTAATTTGAATGATGGAGTTAAGAATTCAATTTCGTTGGCTAATGGTGGGTTCCGTACTGCCGTGATTGTTTTCGATTACGTGTGGTGGGTTATGGATAGTCCGAATTTTCAGGATCGGGCGTTATTTTCCTATTTCTTTTTAAACAAAAAAAAAATGATATTGCATCAGAACCAACATCAACGGGTAAATAAAATTACTGTTGATTTATTGTTATTATTAAGTATTTTTTTGAAAGATATTCTTCTGCATGCATATCATAATTAGGCAACAATACTAAACAATAAAATCCATAATTGATGGATTTGTACGTCATTGTGTGTGTATGTTTTTCTTTATATTATTCCTTCAAGATATATATCTTCTGGATCGGACATTGACACATTGAGTGGGTACCTTCCCGTAAGAATGAGGTGAATGTTGCAAGAAATTTCGTGGTTTGTAAGCATTTTAGTAGTAGTAGTAGTTATAAACTAGTTTGGGTGTGGGAGGAAAATTGACTATTGTTGCCTTCATAATTCAATTTCCTTTAGCTCCACAAAACTGAATCAAATACTGTATCAATTCTCAACAGCACTGATGTTAGCACGAATTTTAAATACTATTATTTAGATCAAATTTGTGCTCTTGTACATAAAATTAAAGGGAATAGTATGTGTTAATTGAATGACAGTTTAGTAGTTGGGTTGATATCCTTTCTGGTAAAAGATCAGGGTTCGAATCTCACCAGGGCTTGTAAGGTGGGTTTTATCCAGATTTAAATAGGGTCCACTGAGGTGAATTTTTTTTTTAAAAAAAAAGGATTATTATGTTATTTTATTGCTCCTTATGTTCCAAAAATAATTCTCTATATTGTAATTTGTGAATTTGTATTACAAAATATAATGTAGGCAATTTTTTGTAACACCCACCATCATCCTGAAACACGTGGTGTTCATTGACATGTAACCCCAAAGTTGTTCCTTCTCCTTTTAAGGTTCTGTTTGTGAGTGTTTGTGTGCTGCCGTAACTTCCACTTTTGACATTTCCCAGTCCAAATTCCAGAAATCTACAAAAAGAAATATATGTGAATTATTTTTTTTTGGACAAAAGAAATATTCCATCCGTCCTATAATTATTGTGTAGTTTAAGTTATCATTTTTAGTTCAAATTGTACTAAAAATAAAATCTCAAACTGAATAATAATTTTGGGACATACTAAGTAAATAACTACCACCAGTAGAAACCTAAGTCGGTAATTACACAAAATATCCACACTTGAGTGATTGGATGGTCTACCTTGTTTTGTTGACTCCCATAATATTGTTTGTTATTAAGATTTTCCAGCCCTGTCCAAATTAAAATATAGAAAAATAACAAATTCCGTCCCAAAACAAGCAATCTAATACAGTATTTTTCTTGGGGGAGTTAAAAAAATACATATGGGAGTCGGGAATTGAAGGCATGAGGAGCCCAGCAGCCGGTTTTGCAGAAGAAGGTCAAGATTATGATACCCCTAGTAGTAGTAGTAGCAGTAGTTCCAGAGGATCATCATCATCATCATCATCATATACTGCTAATTGGTGGTGGGGTTACTTGTTCAGGTGGCCGGAGATGATTGATTTGTCGGTACCGGCGAGGGTATTCAGATGGGCTGCCGGAATTGATCTGTCATACTTCACGACGGGGTGGTCCTGGCCGTCGTCGGCGTCGACCAGCTTCCGGTGGCTGGATAACTTGATGTGGACACTGGTCACCGTGTTGGAGTCGGTGTCTATTGTCGCCATGATTTGCTGTTTCTTCCTTTTCTGCGGTTGCACTTTGTGAGTGAGATTGGATATCATCCTCCACTGTTAATTAGGCTTTTTAACAACTATTTAGTTCCTTGATTCCTTCATTTTTCAATATTTGTGGATTTGTTTTATTATTATTTTTTATTTTGTGTGGGGAATTGTACATCGTCAGTCTCGTAATTAATCCCAGTTTAGATTGGAATCTTTTTGAGTTTTTTCTTCTTCTTCTTTGTTTTATGTGATGTTTCCTATACCCCAACGTGATGTTTGCTGAATACGTTCACCACCTTGTGAAGAAATGTGATTCACTTGGGGTATGTTTGGTTGGTTTTTTTAGGTTGTGTTTTTATATATTTTTTATATTGAAAATATATAAAAATATATTAGAAATATAAAAGGTTATGCTGGGATATGACATTTATTAGTATTAGCGTTATTTCTTTTCACTTTTCCTCATGAATACTATTTCCTTACACGTATATCACTAAGTATTAGACTCGTCCGATGGACGGGGAGAACATGTACATATAGATATTACAACACAAGCAAAGTAATAAAAATATCACTATTTCTATGGATTTTGTATTTTTATAAAATGTTAATTATATAATTATTTCATTGAAAAATATAAAACACAAACATCAACAACACTTTACAAAATGGTAATAATTTATTTAATGCAAAGAGAATTATTAAAAAAATCTAAAAAAAGGAATATAAAATAGAAAAAATAATTAACTTTGAATTGGATGATTATATGTCCTGCAATACTTCTCTGTGAACGAAATTCATAGTCTTAAATTGACGTTACCACATTCATCGCATATTAGGTTCTTGATTCCTTGTCTCGAAGTGACTATTGATAAGGCAACATATAATTGGTCATGGTTAAAAACTGGACGAAAATGATTTGTTAATTTAAAGGTGTTAATCAGACGGCCAAATAAACTTAAATAGAAATTATAAAATAGAGATTTAATGGATGAAAATTTCTACCAAATATAATATAAATCATAATATAGAGAAAATGAAATTATTCATTATTAGATGAATTTTCTATGAAAAACAAAAATGCTAGTAATAAATGTATAGTAGCTTTTTTATAATGGCTTCATTCATAAAGAAAATATAAAATAGATAAACAAAAACATATGTGATATGGATATTTTCAGCATAATGTGGAATGTTGAGAAGAGAAAAAAAAAAGCATTCAACTTCGAATCGAATAATTATATATCTTGCAATAATTTAAATCAAATTCATTAAACTTAATTTTAATGACATTCTATAGTAGAATCATATTTTTCCTTGATTCTAAGGTAGGATCATTTTTTTACCACATTAATAATATCACTGAAGCTATTTGCATATTTAAATTTGATCTCTCTCAACATGTTTTTAGTAATATCCCACAATTACTTTGTAGTGGGTATTTATTCTTTTTTCTTAATGATATTGCAAATTTACCTTAGGCATTTTTAAATCTAAAAAATTAAGAAAATGACACATAGGATTTAATCCTATGTGGCATGTGCTCCACACCTTTAGATTTCTCTCTTTGGTTTTTGCCTTAGTATAGTATATAGATTATCCAACGTAAAATGTGAGACTCATTACATTTTATAGCTACGGCTATTATGTTTTGTGATACTATTCAAGTAAGTATGAACTTGAACTGTAAATTTTTACAATTATGAATGAATAATACCAACGAACGTACCTCTCGCTCTCGTAAACTACATTCATTTTGTGTTCTACCAATTTATAGTATTATATTAAGAGAGAAACTAGATAGAGAAAATCAAACTTCTCCTCCCATTAACACATAGGACAAAATTCTATGCGTCATTTTCTTATAGTTTGACACAAAAAATATTTACAATAATTACACTAACAGTCTTTTGAATTTTCAGTTAATAAATTGTTATCAAATTTTTAATTAAAGTATATCAATTAATTATGTGGTAAGCATTCTATTTTGCATTCCCAAACATGAGAAGAAAAACAACCAAATTTTTTTTAAAAATCTTAACATTAAATAAGATTGATTTGAAAAAGATTATTGATTGACTTGAATAATGACATTACGTCTTGATTTCATCATTAAACAGTATTAATGATTATTTGAAATTCAAAAATAATAAATACAAAATCATCAGTGATTCTTTAATTCAACATCAAAGGTGATTGATTTGAAAAGATTCTCCAATTGGCTTTAATAATACCATTACATATTAATTTAGTCATTAAACAATGTTAATACCTTTTTGAAATTCGAAAATAATAAATACAACTCCATCAATGATTCTTTAATTCAACTTTAAAACTGATTGATTTGAAAGGATTTTTCGATTTTTTAATAATGTCATGAATAAGGTCATTACATATTGGTTTGATTATTAAACAATACGAATATTTTTTAAAAATTCAGAAAAAAATTAAATATAAAATCACACCAATATTAGTCCATTCACTTTATTCTAACACAATTAAATATAAACGTATGCATAAAATCACTCCAATCGCATTAACCATGTGATTAAAATTATTATATATATATAAAGTGGGTTTATAAAACTCAACTGGCTTGCAATCCCAGTTTACACCGGCATCTTTTCTTCTTCTTCTTCTTCTCTTTCTCTCTCTCTCTTTTTTTTTTAGAATTTATGTTTTTTTTAATAATCATTATTTTTTGGTGTCAAAAGTTTTTTGCTTCTAACTTTTGCAAGCTATGGTCAAATATTTTTCTGCAGCAAGAATTTTCGAATGCACATCCAGGGTGAGTTTCTTTGCCAGTCTTAATTAATAATTTCAATGTTTGATTTTTTTTTAAGGACATCATGGCGAAATATATGATGATGATTCGCGAAAATAAAATCATTGGGTATAGTGATAAATAGACCCATTTAATTGTCAGGTATTAATATGAAACCTTTGCTTCAAATTTTTTTAAAAAATTATTTTACCTTATGGTATAATTTATTTTTTTGGAACATCTTAAACAAATGAATTAGAGAAGGCATCGTGGTTATGGAGATCAGTAGTCAACGTTGTGACATATGGTGTTGTTGCCTAAATGTCACATTGAAATCTAAATCCTCTCATTGAGTTATAATACTTTGCTCAGGATGGTACAATATTATAAGTTACAAGAGTGGTCAAAGATGTCAAATTATGAATACAAAATATATTTAACACGTATATCAGGATCCCTTTATTTTCTTTTGTAAATAAGTAACGAATAAAAGTTACTTTTAATGCAACATTATTTAATTTAGTATTTTAAAATTATATATCAATTTACTAACGTATAAAATATTTCTTTGATTTTTATTATGTTCTATTTTATACATAATTTATCTATCTCGCACATCGTGCGGGTACCATTAAGTAATCAGATATACCAAAGTACAACTTTGAAACTTTTGCTTTCCGTTTGTGAAACATGATCCGATTGTTATTTTACACTATTATATTGTGTCACGTAAATGTGGCTCTATGATACTCCCTATAGCCCTTAATATAATGCATTTTGATTTGACATAAGTTTCACTTAATATGCATTTTTAACTGAGTAAAAAAATTTTAAAATATATTTTCACATTTGTTGTGTTATCGTAATTGTTAGGAAATATATTTTTTTTTCATTTAAAAATCGAACTAGGTGAAACCTTAAACTAATCAAAATGTCTTATATTAAGAACCGGAAGGAGTATGAATTTACTTTCTTCATCTGTATGGTCGTACAAAGAAGAGTTTAATACTAGAAATTAGAAATGACTCTCAAACGATTATTTTAGATTTTTTTAATATTATATTACTTTTTTCATTTTAAAATAATTATACACTATGGATTCTTATTTTTTTGGTACAATTTGTACTAAAAAAAATTAACTAAATTAGATAACCGACCAGGAGTAGCAAAAATGTATGATTCTGTTGACCGAAATAATAAGTAGGAAGGGGGCCGAGAGGGTTATTGGGCGAAAATATTTATTACGGCCCATCAGGCCCTATGACCGTTTATATCGTTAGAATTTGAAAAACATGAGCCGTACAATTCATTGAAACTTTTGGGAAAAGGAAAATGAATTAACAAGAGAAAACACCCCCACAATTTTCAATCCAGGGGAGAGAACCCATTTTTCTTCTTCATTTCTTCCCTTTTCATCGACTTTCTTTTGATTTTCGAATCTTTTCTTTTTTGGGGAAAAAACCTTAAAAAGTCTTCTTCTAAAAGGTTCGGTAAAGCCAAATTTTTGTGGAAATCTCTATTTGGGGTTTCTGTGTATGGAATTTGAGACCGATTGATATAGCTGTGATCATCCTCTAAGAAGAGCTGCAGTTGTTGGAGATAAGGGTTTGCAGAATCATCCTCCTTCAACCTGCAATTCTGGGTTACAGTTGGCCTATCTGGATAATCCACCATTCATTCTCGGATTTTGTCCAGTTAATCCTGTTTTAGCTGGACTTGATGACGTCTTGATCAAAATGGAGGTCCAAAGATCAATGTCCCTTCTTCAGGTATTCTTGATTAGTGGGTTATTTTGAATTTTCTTTTGTTTTTTTTTCCTCGGGGAAATAGAAGATTCGTTGTTCTTTCTTGAAATGAAAAAGACTTTTTCCCCTCTTTAGTTGTAATTCCAATTATGGGTTTTATTTGTTCCATGACGTGAAGTTCATGGCTGATGAGGGTCTGGTGCCATCTCCGGAGGAGGAAATCAAGAGAAGGAATGTTATTGCCAAGCTCAAACAGGTGATTTTACAATTTTTTTTTTTAAAAAAAGACATTTTACACGTCTTTATTGGAGAATCATGTGATGCATGCGGGTGGCAAGCTGATAGCTGTCTAGCTTTAGATCATATATTTCTTTGGGTGCACTTTTTTGGCTTATAGACGAGGTTACTTAAACCATTCTGCATTTAATTTGTTTGGTTTTGGGAATTATTGTAGAATATGTGTTCATTGTTTGTGAATTAATGTTTACGTGTAAGTTTGTTGAAGTTCGATAAACTCGTTCAATTCTTTAGGCTCATTGTTTGTTAATACTTAATCGAGAGTAATCTTAGCTTTTTAAACTGGCCTGTTGAGTGTTATGTGAAAGACCTCTCTATTTTCCATTGTTGATAAATGTATCATGTCTTTAAATCAGCATGGTACAGTCACGCGAAACTTGAGGAATTATGAGTGAATCAATTTTTTATTGAACTAAAATGTTGTTATTTTGTACGGATATAGGCTTGCTTAAACTTATGTTATATGGGACCCCTCTATTTACAGATAGTGAATCAATGGGTTAAAAGGGTTGCTTACCAGTGTCAACTTCCCAAAAATCGTATTAGAGCTGCTTCTGCGACAATTTTGACTTTTGGATCATACGGACTTGGAGTAAGCTCCTGTTTTGCATCATTATGACACCGTAGATACATTATATTACTTTGACAATGCTTTCTAAATTTATATTGACTGATGCAGGTGCACAATGCGGGATCAGATATAGATGCTTTATGTGTTGGCCCATACTTTGCAACACTTGCAGTAAGTGCGCTTATTTGTTGGCATTTTTCATCTTCATATCTCTCTGTAAATACACTGGTTGGGATATACTGAAATGTCTCTGCGCAAATGGTCTAAATGCTTTACTTTCATGCGTAGGATGACTTTTTTGTGGTTCTTCGCAATATGCTTGCAAGCAGGCCTGAAGTGACAGAAATACATTGTATAAAGGACGCAAAAGTTCCTCTTATGAAATTTAAATTTGATGGTCTAGCAATTGATCTGCCCTTTGCGCAGCTCAAAGTGATATCTGTTCCTGAGGTGAGTTCTGTGGTTTTTCTGTGTGCATCATCATAAAATTTTGTAATGATATAGCCGTTAGATTCGACATGCACTTGTTCTTTATCTTGTTGGATGTTGTTGCAACATTGCTTATACATTCTTTTTTAATGTTGTTCTGACAAAAAGAGTCCTAATATTGTTCATTTGTACCTTTACTCATTGGCCTTTTTGAATTCTTCAATCCAAAACTGTAGAATGTCGATATACTCAACCCGTTTTTCTTGAGGAATATCGACGACACCAGTTGGAAGAGTTTGTCAGGTGTACGTGCCAATAAAAGTATTCATCAGCTTGTGCCAAATATCGAGGTAAAACCAACCTCTCTGTGATTATTAGTAGCTATAGTTAATAGCAAGCGATATTTTGACATTGTAATCTATCAAGTTGCAGCAAATCGGAATGTGAGAGTTTATACTAAGTTAATGTTTGTGGAAACTTATTGTTGCAACCTCTTTTTCCTTTTTGCAGCTCTTTCAGTCACTGCTGCGATGCGTTAAGTTCTGGGCCAAAAGACGAGGAGTGTATGGTAATGTAAGGGATATGTCCTTTATGGTTCATCTCATTTCACACTATCTGTGTTGTGTACTAGCAAACTGCCTCAACTCTGCCCATTTCAACTTTGCAGTTGCATGGATTTTTCGGAGGAGTTCATTTCGCGGTACTTGCAGCATTTATTTGTCAAAGGCATCCCAATGCGAGTTTGAGTGTTCTGAGCTCAATTTTCTTCAAAACATTTGCCTTTTGGCCTTGGCCTAGACCCGTATTTCTTCATGGTCGAATGATCCCGCCAACTATACCTTCTGACTCTCGGTTTTTGATGCCTATCCAATTACCATGTAGCCCAAATGAATATTGTCATTCTAACATTACCAGAAGCACGTTCTTTAGAATTCGAACAGAGTTCCTTCGGGGACACACATTGACTAAGGTATGCTGATGATATTTACTGTTAATTCTCTTTTTATTATTTTTTTTCCCACCAGAATGTACCTCGGCATTGGTTGTGGTGATTTAATGTGCCTGTGCTGTAGAGGAAACCAAAGAATACACGCTTGTGCCATAACATGCTTGTTCTGTTCTCTACCACAATGCAGGATTTTCTGAGGCCTGAATTTGGTTGGAGTCCCCTATTTGAACCTTTTCCTTATGGGAAGAAATATGCTCAATTTGTCAAAATTTGCCTCTCAGCATCTGATCAGGATGAGTTAAGAGGCTGGGTGGGTTGGGTCAAATCACGGTTCCGCTCCCTTCTCATCAAGGTTAGTTAATTTACTTACATTTTACTATGTCATGTGTGGTCAGTTTTTCATTTGAGATTCAGTTTAAGACTTTTTTTCCCCCCTGCCAGCTGGAGGAATTACAGGGTTTTTGTGATCCAAGCCCTTTTGAATATGTTGACGTCGATATGGCTGCGCCAAATGTGGTCTTTTACTGGGGTTTGCAGCCCAGCAGGAGTGACATCATAGACATAGATGTTGTGGAGGAAGATTTCATGAAGAACATGAGCAACGGGTATCGTGTTCCCCCTGGAAGGATGAAGCTATCGGTTGTGAAGGCATCTCAATTACCTAAAGGCATGACTGCACCAAACCATGGTGGAGGCAAAGGAGGAACAAAAGCACATTGGAGGGTTTTAGATAGCAGTCAGAGAAAGGTCCCGCTTGTCCACCACACAAACTCGCTATCACGTGATTTTGTTGGGCTCATGGGCACGAATGGAAGCTCAGTTACATAAGCACCAGAGTTTAGTTCATGAAAAGGATGTTAGTAAAGAAGTTTGTACAGGTGTTTGTAGTAGTTGTCTTTTGAAAGGTCTCACAGAAAAATAGGCATGTTACTGCTGTACATATATGCTTTGTAGAGACATTAGAAGCTTAGACTTAGGTTAGGTTTTATACCGAAACTAGTTAATTTGCTGATGCACTTTGTTTTCATCTAATCTTTAAGTTTTGTCGGTTTCTTCCTCAATTGTTCACTGGATCTCGTGGATTGGAAATTTAATCACAAGAAGGCACTGATATGTTTGTTCACTACTGAGATATAGCCGCACACAATCCCTATGGATTAAGCATACTATCTTCCTTGTTTAAAAGATGGTGAAATGTTGAACTTACCGCCTTTTTGTGATGCCATCATCGATCCATCTCATTTTTTCCCCCTCAAATTAAATGCCATATTTGACTGTGAGATCATTGAATAAATTGTGCTTGACCAGTCCTCCTTATTTTGGCATTAGGACAAAGAGTTTGGGTCAACAGAAGCTTGTCTTCATCTCAGAATTGCAATAAATACAACCAAGAAGAAAATATATGCTGACCTGACTGACAATTGTCCTCACATTTTCAATAAATTTCTGTCCTTTATATAACAAGACTCATTCATCACCTGAAGGTCCTCAAATCAGTAATCCCAACGAAGAAGAAGAAAAAGGAAAAAGGAAAGCACAAAAAAGGTTTCCTTCAACAAAGATGAGTGGCTCCAGGGCCATTCTTGTAGCTCTTTCAGTCATTTGTTTGGTACTCCCAATGCTGTGTAATTGTGATCTGATTTCTGAGACATGCAGCGAAACCCCGAATGAGCGATTGTGTGTTGCAACACTGAGGAAGCAAAACGGGAGCAAGGATGCAAAACAAGTTGCAGAGCTAGCCCTGCTCATGGTGGAGGCAGTCCAAGTAAAGGCTAATGAAACACTGAGTTACATCAGAGGTGTTCAGAAATCCGACCTAAAACTGGCGAACACACTGATGATGTGCAATGAGAATTACAATGTGATCTTGAAGGTGGACATCCCAAAAGCCTTGGCATCTTTGAAGGGGAAGAATAAGGATCCTAGGTTTGCTGAACATGGGATGGCCGATGCCGGAACTGAAGCTCAGGGATGTGAGAGCAGTTTCGATGGTGTTAAGGTTGATGGGGCAAACACAAAATCTAGAGATGATTTGTTGGGTCTGAATAATGTTGTATTTGAGTTGTCTGTTGTGGCTTTGTCTATAATTAGAAAGATACTGCATAGATTTGATTAGTTGATTGGATATGGTACTGGATTCACCTAATTCGGTCGACCTCCTGTGAGAAATAGAGGAGGGGAAAAATAAAATAAAATTTTAGCATAAGAAAGGGTTGAATTCGTATGTAATTGTTTTGTTTTGCTTCCCAGAAAAAGAAATCAAATAAGGGAAAGATACAATACTTGGCTTATGATTTCAAAAATGGTCATTGGGAAAAAGAAAAAAAAAAAGAGAAGGATTCTCACTGATCATCAAACCATGAAAGGATGATATGTATTTACTTTTTCACAGATCTTCCTTTGACCGTTGGAGAGGTGGATAAATTTCTCAAGTTACAGTACTATCCGGTGACTTCGAGCCCTTAACCTCTCTCTTTCAGGAGGGTGCTTTTTCTTTTGGTGACCCGGACGACACAGGTCATCCTAATGCTGATAAAGAATAAAGATGGTGAATTTAGTAAGTAAAATTAATTGGTGATGGATGTCACGCTCATATTAAAATACTATAGAATTAGTTTTTTTTTTTTTTTGGGGTACTGTATTTTATAAAGCCGAAAGACAAAAGAGGAGAATGATCACTCACCAAGTTCCAACTGATATTATGCTTGGAAACTTCAATTATACATTGATTTAGTACACATATACATCGCCATATATGGTATTTGTAATAATGGTAGTAGCAAGAAGTCAGAAAGAAACTAAAGCTAGAGCAACATTCTGACTAAAGAAGTGGCAACATCGGCAGTATCACGAGCAGCTCTGTTAAGATTGGAAATAGGGGATAATTTGGAATGGAAACCATCTTCACATTCTTGAACCACAAAAGCAGCATCTCTGGTGGCATCCTCAGCAAATTTTGGGTCACCTTTGGTTAAGGCCTCAACCGCTTCGGTAACATCGTACCTGAGTATGAAATTGTATCTCTTCAAGCACTGATTCAAGCCCACTCTGGAAGCTGAGCTGGTGCTTTTGCTCTTCAAGAGCTGGTTGATGGTGAAGAGCGCAGAGTTGGACTTGGATTTGAGGGAGTTAACCATGATGAGGGCCAGGGAAGTGACATCCCTAGCACTTGAGCTTTTGGGATCAGATTTGATAGTTGAGACACATGTTTGGTAATTTGAGGTTTGTTTGCATGTGTTGTCCACGAAGTCGGATGAAGAACAAATGGGGAGAAAAAAGATGGAAATGGCAAGGGTTGTTGTTACAAGGATGGTTGTGTAATGAGGTGCCATATTTTTTTGTTTGGTGGTCTAGAAAAAGGGAATTAAAGCAATTGAACAACAGAAAGATTGGGTGTCACAAGTCGAAGACTAAAGGGGAGGATGGATTTTCATTGGTGTCTCGCAGCAATCTATATATAGAGGGTGGCTTTGCAAGGCTTAATTGTGTATGCCATGAATCTCTGGCCACTTTCAAAAGGCAAAATTATATCTCATCTTCTCATGCTCGAGATTTTATTATATTCACGTCATTTAAATGTTACACAACTTTCATTTAACGAATATGATTCTAATTCTGGGATGGATCAGAGATGAAACTACATATAAACTTGGTGGAGACAATTTCCCCATCTAGAATTTTTTTTTCTTTCCTTTTGCTAATTAATTACTTCTTGAAATTTAAGATTTTGCTTTGAAAATATAATTTCTGCCGCACTTAAATTGAAAATCTTAAGAGGCAAACATGTTAATTGATAAATATTGAAAATCTCGCCCCGTCAAAGCATTGGGGTTCGACTCCGCCTCTATTGATGAGGAAATCTTTAATTTTATATTTATTTTTTTTTATGTGTGTCGCGTCACTACCCTGAGCTTGTTTCGATGGGGGAAAAAAAGGTTACATTATCTGTATGATTGGGAGAAGGAATTAGGTTAGCTAGCTCATTTCTTAATTAAAAGCAGTTTATGTCCAAAACCTCACGAAACTCGTTTCAGCCTAACAAGGTTCTGGCCTTGATTGAGCAGACAGATGTGGTGGTGTTCAAGACATTTAAGGTATAGGGTCGCAAAGTTAACTTGCATCCACAAGAAATGAACACAACACCATATACATGAGTTTTCTGATTGCCTCCCTTCCTTATAGATTTGGTGCATGTGTCTTTTGTGGACCCTGTTATTCATTATTGGGTTACTACTAATTTTAAGATCACAGAGAAATGACTCCAATCATTAATAATACTACTAGTGTTTGTAAAATAATTTAAGACATAAGTAGAGGAAGGAGGGGGCATCGCTTTTTGATTATATGCCGTATTGAAGTCGCAACACAATAATTAAGATTTAAGATGATGGGTCAGTTTCTTGTAAACCTCACCAAGCAGTGTTTGTGATTGTAATATGCCCATTTTACACTATCCTTGAAGTTAATTCATATTTCGAATAACTAGTCAGAATTCTTATTCATCTTCAATTTCTTCACCCATAGAAAGTCATGTGTTTTGAGCTGGAACAATGCGATGTTTGATTTGTATGTTTTTTTTTTTTTTAAAAAAAAAAAATAAAAAAAATTAGAAGTGGAGATGTCCACACTCCACACTCCACAAGCAAGTAGTATATATGACAAAAGCCTTTACAATTGATTGAATCAAAGATATTGATGGCACCATAACTTTACTTTGGATTGTGGGAAAAAAAAAAAAACCTTTAAAAAGTGCAGCAGATGAGGAAGCCCCCAACTTTATCCATCCCTTTAGTTGGTTTGAGCCTGATATCTCTTTTCCATATTATCTTGCTTTTTTGACAAAAAAAAAAAGAAGTGTAAACAATTATCTTTCTTTCATGGGTAGCTTTATCAAACATCATTTCTATGTCGCAATGATCGACTAGATGTGTTTTTTGTTTTCAATTTCTTTCTCTTTTTTTTTTGTTTAAAGGACCAGTGCAAAGTGGAAAGGAAAAAAAAAATCCAGAATAAGATTTGTTTGAACATCTAACTCATTTTACATTTTCACTCATTTTACCTCTTAAATACAAAATCCAATGAAAAAAAATATCATCCAAACAACTTTCTGATTTACATTTTAAATTTCAACTTGAAACACTTTTTGTTAGTGTAATGATCATTTTAGAACTACAAATAGTTCAGTGACAAATTTGGTAGGATTCCGTTGTTGAGTGATTATTTTTGGAAAAAAAATTTTTTGCAGTGAATATAATTGACACTATTTAATTGTTTAGTGATGACTTGTACTTGATATTTCAAAATGTAGTTCAAAATACTTTTTTTCAAAACCAACATTCAAATAATATTTTTATTTCTCATTTAGTTTTTAATTTGAAACACTTTCCACTTTTAAGTGGCAAAATGAAATATAAGTTGAGGTCCAAACAAACACAAATGTATGATTTTATATTTTACCTTTTTATTTGATGAAGAATGATCCGAATTGAGTCCGTGCCAAGCCCAAGATCCATAGATGATGTGTAGGAGAGTATAGAGGCCCAAGCGGAGGAGGCTTATTTTTGGCATCCTATTTAAGAACATTTAGTGAAACTGGAATGTGTGTAATTTATTTATCCCTCTAATAATTCCATAGAGTGACAGAGATAGATCCCTACATTTATCAACTCTCATATTTACGCAAAACCTATATTGTAGAAATGCAAAAAACACAAGTCGTTCCAACTTTTTCCAATTAATATTAAGCTATAATATATGTATGAAAAGTACATTAATTTGATCCATAGAAAGGGAAGAACTCAAGTTTCAATTTGTTCATACTCAGTCCACCAAAGAGGAGGAGCTTTGAATTTTAATGTTGTTAGTACATCTATTAAATCTCAACCCACAGATCTCATCAAACTCTTGCTGCATCAGATCAGCATATATATATATATATATATATATATATATATATATAAAGAGAGAGAGAGAGAGAACAATTTATTGATTTACATCATTTTGATAGAAAATTGAGTCCATTGTCACTTATCTTCTTTTTCATTGTAGCTTTAGGCGTGTTTTCATTGTTCCGGTGACATTATAAGTTTTTTCCGAGCTCCATAAATAAATAAACAAATCGAAGCACTATTCTGAAACGATATATTGGAACTCCTTTACAAAAATTATAGAATTATTACGCAGTAAATTAAGTGCGTATATATTAATTAAACTTATCATTACCTTTGACGCAAAAGGTGTTATCCTACATACTCTTTGATTAATTAAAATCACAATTTGACAAGTAAAAAAAAAAAGACAAAATATATAACATATGATGAAGATGGTCTCGTGTCAAAAAAAGAGTAGGTAGATAGAAACTACCATTGATTGTTATCCTCAAAACTACTCACCTCTATATGCTATGGATCTAATTATTTTCTATGTGCGCCCCATCATCCTTATTTTTTATTACTCTTTCTGTCCTAAAATTATTGTCAAGTTTTGGATTTCAGTTATAGTATAATTAGAACTAAACAATAAAAATTCAAACTGCACAATAATTTTGAGATAGAAAAAGTATTATATATTGAAACATACAAGAAACTTTTGTGCTTCTTCTTCTTTTTATTTTATTTTTTATTTGTATTCTATTAATCTAAGAGAGCATCAAAAAGGAATTATTCTTCAACCGAGAGCTAAAATCAACGTTATTTTTTCCTTTGCAGACACAGTGAGTAATGAAAGCAAAGTTGGAACATACATATACATGCAACATTAGAAGTGATGGTATGGTAGTAGTAATATATACATGCAACATTTGACGGTTGGGAGAAATCCACAAGTTCACATCCATCCTCAAACCAACCCACACTTTGATGGTGAAACCAAAGATTTTTATTATTAATTACTCAAACATTAGATGGACCCATGATTAATTAATTAATTAATCCCTAAACCAACATTTTAATAATATATATCCCATGATAATGACTTGAGATGTCACGTCACGAGTTATCGTTTTTCCTAGTACCACTTCCAACTTGCAATCTTGTATACATATAGAGCAGCCCTAAATCCCAAGAATAATTAGTAAAATACTTTCCCGTCATTAATAAAATCACGTCCAGAAGATGAATGCTTTGCTGAGGTACGGAACAAATATGATTCTTGACAAATAATACTTCCTCTTTCCTTCTAGTCTTGTATTAATCCACTAAAAATGTTAATTAACCTGCTGCTTGATTAATCTAGTAACTAGAAGCATCAAGACTAGAAGGTAGAAAAACAAATACTATTAAAAATTCATGACATGATCTTATTATGGTCAACATTTTTGTACCAACCATTGGCGTACGTGTTGTAACTTGTAAGGCAGCTGTATCACCTTAATTACCTGGATGGAATCATCTGTCTGGAGCCTTCACTAATCATCCATGGAATACTATTTCATTTCACAGATAATTAACTAACTCATTTTCAATTTTTCCTTGCGATTAAAGGCTTCAAATTGCTTTGGCCCCCACCAAAAAGAAGGAAAAAGAAAAAAATTGAAAAAGAATGCTCTCTTCTCTCCTAGATATTTTTACCACTGCACTCCTAGCTTCTTTCATTCTCCCAATTAAAAAAATAAAATAAAAATACACCAGTTAGAAAATCGATCATTAATCCAATCTACCCAAAAAGATATTTACAAAAGGAAGACAAAGTAGAGAGGGGTGGGGGGATTGAAAAGGGACAATGATATTGTTCACCACTGATATTCTAATCAACAATTGGAAGACTTTAAACAAATACCACCAATCTTAGCCCACCGGAAAACTAATTATATCATTATAACCTTGTAATATAAGTGATCACATTGATATAAGTTCCGCGAATAAAAAAGAAAAAGAAAGAGTAAATCAAACAAGCGCCAAAAGATTTTTTTTTATTTTTTTATTTTTAAAGCAAAGTTGGCCTAGATATTTTGCATCTTGGACTGTGTATAAACCACCTAGCCTAGCTCTATATATAAAGTCGTAGGAATCAAATGAACAATAAATATTCTCATTCATCCCACACCATTCCAATCACTAATAAATATACACACACTCATCTTTCTCTTTCAATCTTTCCTAAAATTCCAAGTGTTCCATTAGTCAAACAGAATGAGGAACTCTATGATGATCTCTTCAATTATTGCAATATTCATATTTACCATCATTCCCTTACCCATCACTTGCACTAGTAGCCACCTTTTGCCCTTGAAGAAAAGCAACCATATTTTCATGGTAGGACAACAAGATCAACAAGAGATGATTACGATGATCAACAACAACAACAACAACAACCATGATCTTATAGAGAGCACTTGTAAAAACACCCCAAATTATCAGCTGTGCATCACAACACTTGAATCCGACCCGAGGAGCCTTGACCCTAACACGAGCGTGTTCGGGTTAGGACTCATCGTGGTGGACGCTCTAAAGAACAAAGCGACGGCGACCATGGAAAAAATCAACCGGCTCAAAGGGTCCAACATTCCGGATTTCGCGATCCCGGTGATGGAGTGTAGCATGATGTACAATGCAATCTTGAAGGCCGACATCCCGGTGGCCATCGAAGGGTTGAGGAAAGGTGTCCCAAAATTTGCAGAGAGTGGGATGGATGATGCGGCTTTGGAGGTGCAAAATTGTGACAACAGTTTCAAGAAACAAGTCAAGTATTCACCCATTTCTGGTATGAATCAGGATGTTTATGATCTTTCTCTTGTGGCTAAATCCATCATCCGGCTGCTATTATGACGAATCACAGCTCTATTCCCTTTAAATATTTGTTGTTAGTTTTCCTCCTTTTTTTTTTAATGTATAATTAAATTTAATCATGTAAGAAGATAGGCAGCCAGTGTTGATACCCACCTTGATCATGTTTGTAATCTTTTGTTTTGTTTGCTTCGTCAAACTATCTACTAAAGGTATAGAAATTCAACTACTACGTCATTTTCTTGAGATTACTCCAGTTTTACCTTTACAAAATTGATATCATCCATTAACGATATACTCTCTCCTTCGCAAAAAATAATCCACTTTGAGTTTTGAGATCTGTACTAAAAATAATATAAATTTCAAAACTCAATGTGGACTATTTTTTGGAGACAGAGAGACAAGTATAATAAAATAATTATATCAATGTTACAAGATGACGAAGGCAATAATTAATTAATTACGCAAGGTTAATACTCGCTACTCCCCTAGATATATCCTTCCATGCATGCATATGATACAATCTACAATTCTTTGGAAGCCTCAAAAAGTGATCTAGTTGTGTTCATAAGAAATAACTGTAAGATATAAGTGGATTTTATACACAAATATATATAATTGTATGTTATAAATTATCATAAAATACTAGCCCACATAAAATGATCTAATTAAATCAACTAAAGTTTGGGCTAATTATAATAATTAAGTTATAAGGTGTGGTCCAGTATTGTGTAGAAACCCTAAGGTCCAATTTCCTGTTCTGTGATGGGTGGAACCGGAAACCCTATTATATATTGGTTGTGGTCCCCAGATGAGCCGTCATGCCAAATCTCGACTCTCCACTTATCAGAGGTTCCCGCAAGGGTTTGACGGAATCATCTGGAAGACCAAACCGGATCAATGTTTTTGCCGCTACAGATTAAAAGTACGCTTCTGCTTTCATATAGTTCTCAATAATTTAATGTGAAGTTCTCTACAGTATTTGGATTATTCCAACAATAATTGTGTTTAGTATTCTGTCTAGCCTGAAAAATATTTCCCATTGAATTGTGTGATCTGTATTTTGAGACATATATATAGGTGAATCCCTTAACGCACTTGTAATCATTTTTATCTATAAAAATTGAAATATTGATGGACCAAATTTTTGAGTTAATTATACCATCCCTATCAAAACAAGTATTCACATTGAGCTTTTACCTTTGTATGAAAACTATATATATTTATGTCCCATTGAGTTGTAAGAGTATGATATACTCCAACTCTCCATCCGAAAACAATAATTTTTCACTTGGTTAACGAGGAGCGAATAAACTATTTATCATGTTGGGCCATTTTTAGCTGAAACAAGCTTAGTCACGGAAATGAACACTGGGATGGGCTTTTGTTGCAAGGGTCGTTTAGAGTCAGCGGATCAACACCCGGCAACCCAGCAAGTTTCGGGGTCCATTTCCTCCAATTATTTCTTTCATGAGAGAACTGCACCAAACATTTTGCAAGAAAGATGACATGAGGAGCAGTCACGGTTTCAAGGCTTTATCAGAGGTGGCTGGTGGCTCCTCTTCCGTAAAGCAAGTGAAGCAATTGCTTTAGGCCCTCAAGTTGAGAAGGCCTCAAAATTTTAACAATAGTTAATAATATTATATATACTCTTCAAAAAATAATATTATACACATATATATTAGAAAAATAATCAAAATAAAACAATATTTGCTTTCATAAGAAACAGAAAAATATAGATTTTAATTTCTATTTTCAACTCCATATATCTAAATATGTTCAAATGTCAATATCAATCTTCAAAAATCTAACAATAAATTCTTAATTTTTCAAACCACTAAATCAATAAAGCGACTTTTTTCTAGAAAGTATGAAAGCTATCAATTATATTATGAAAGTTTCATCAAAGAATTTGTTCAAGAAAGTGAAAACTTAACTTGTATAATAAACAATTTTAAAAGAGAAAAAAGCTTAAAAGATAAACTTAATCTTTTTTTATACAAAAATAATCCCCTTTTCTCTTAAACGTAAATAAACGAAGAGAACTATTTGTTTAGTTTTTTCTTTTAAAAGGCCCCAATAAGAAAATTCGCTTTAGGCCCTCCACACGTTAAGCCGTCCCTGGGCTCTATAGACAATATATGAACAAAGATTAAAGCGATTTTACAGCATAATGATAATTGGTTTCGTCGTGAACTTAGTGGTGGAGTTTCACTTTATAGTGTTAAGCCGTGATTATAGCGTGATATTGTAGGAAGAAGATAACACTCACAATCCAACTTTTTCCCCTTTAATTTCTCTATATTCAAGTCTGGAATAAGTTGATACACAACCAACATAATTTCTTTTGGACAAAAGACGCAGCACTTGGATGATGATATTATCAAAAGTCAACAGTATTTTACACTATTTCAATTCTGAAATAAGTTGCGTTAAAACAAAATAAAGAAATTTTAAAATAAATGAACTATGGCTCCGTTTGGTTAGATTGAATTGTAATTGAATTAGAATTATAATACTATTGAATTGAAAATGAAATATTAATATTGCAATTCAATCTTAATTCTTTTGTTTGGAAGATCATAAGAATTGACTAGAATTAAGGTTCTAATACTAATTCTTGTGTTTGGATCCTTATAAATTTATAAAATCTAGAATTAGAATTAGTTTTTTATTATCTAACTATAATTTAGTATTTTATTTCATTGAATAAAATAAATACTTAATTTTATATATCAAAACAATTTATTACTTACATATATAAGATAACAAAAATAAATTTATCATATACATTTATATTAGAACTTTTGTTGTTTGAGTAATATATATCAATTATAATTTATAGATACATACATATTTGTGGAAAATCTTTTTTTATTATTACGTAAGTATGAATGTGATGATCGGAATTCTCACAAGTAACATGTAGAACATCCTTGTTCCTCTCCTTTTATTATTTATAAATTTTTAATCTTTAGTTTTTTTTTTGGATTTTAGTGTAAAATTTTTATATAGTTAAAAGTAAAGACCATTCATTTATGTATAAATTAACATTAATACATGGTACTAATTAATTAATTTTTATTTTTAGTATATAATTACATATGGAATAATATATATTTCGACTTCTTGAAAGCTTACATAATTTTTAGTGAAAAAAATTTCAAGTATAGTTCAAAATACATTTGATAAAAAAATGTTAACCAATAGTTAATACCATCCATTTTTAAAATAAATTACAGGTGTCGTTATACATTTGATAGTTTTTGTTAAAAGAATACTAATTTTAATATATAGATCTCATTAATAATTATTAATATGATTTACACATCGTTTGTACCATAAATAAAAACATATGTTAATTTAACAAAATACAAAAAAAGGAAAAAAAAAAAGAAAAAAAAAAGCCCAACGCAGCAACGCTAAAAGAAAAAGGGGGAAAAAACGAAAATGAAAAAGGAAAAAAAAAGCGCATGTGCAGCGCTACCCCAAAAAAAAAAAAAAAAAAAACCTCAAACTTAAAAGGACCCGTTTTGTTATAACCCGGAAAACGACCCGTATGTGACCCGCGTTTTTTCTAAAGTCCCTAGAGTTCGAATTGCAATTATTTGCTCCCACAAAAGAATTGAAAATAAAGAATTGAGCCTCATCTTGAATTATAATTCTAATTCTGGAACCCCTATTTTTTCAGCCAAACACAATAATTGGAATTGAGGGCCTCCAATTCCAATTCTTGGGTCCAATTCAATCCAACCAAACAGAGCCTATAGGTAATTGTACTGGTAGTACTAAACTACTAATAAAGAAACTAACTTAAAGAATGATTTAAAAGAACGATTATATTCCCTCCGGTCTTTATTATAATACATTTTGATTTTTTCTAAGTTTCACCTAATACACATTTTTAACTGATAAAAAAATTCTTAAAACTATATTTTCACTGTGGTTATGTTCTCTTGATTGTTATGAAATATTTTTAAGCTTTTTGCGTCGATTAAAAATGTGTACTAAGTTAAACTTAAGACAAATCAAAATACCTTATATTAAGGACGGAGGGAGTATTACTAATGAAGAAAAGCGTTTGGACGTGTGCTGGTGCAGTGGTGCTTATATGACGGATATATGGAGAAGGTTTGACTTCAATTAATACGACGAGTAAACCAAGAAGATTTGGGGTTCATTAAAATATGTTCAAATTTCAAATTTGCAAGTAATTCAAGAAGTTTTTTTTTAAAAAAACTGGTGATTAAAAAAATGAGTTTGGTTTCAAATTTGACGGGTGATCCAAGAAGGTTTTCGACGTTCATCAACAATTAGAATATGATTATTTCAAATTTTTGTGGGAAATCCAATACATTTTTGAATCCCTTTATAATATTGCTTGTTTTCAAAATTGCGAGTTATCCAAGAAGGTTGGTTTCAATTCGTATATACTCTAATACTCTCTCCATTTCAATTTCAATTTGTAGGTCATGTTAGGTCTGGAGAGATTTTTCAAAATGTAGATCGTTTTACAAATTATAGGCATAATAATAACTATTTTTTCAACTTTACCCTGCTAATTCATTTTCATTTAGTCTTAGTTGTAGTTGCAATGTAGTATTTAATGGGGAGGGTAAAACATATATTTAATATATAAAATTATTGTTAAATGATTGTCTCTTTAATTTACGTGTAAAATCTAAAAAGATTTACATTTTGAAATGAGGGGAATACTACTGTGTCTCGATTCTCAAATAGGAGGAGTAAATCTTGCCGTTTCTGGAAATAAAAAGGAGGATGAACAGCCAGATATATATGTCAAGACAAAAGCTTGGCTTTCCCATGGGTTAGGATTACTTTGAAACTACATAGTATATCTGCCTAAAACTCCAACACTGAACACCTAACACATCCAATTTACGTTTCCTCTTACTCGGCCTAAAACACACAAAAGGAACTTTCACAAATGTTACTCAGTTCGTTTAGATCACAGCAGTTGAGTAGCCCAAATGAATATTATTCAACAAATCACGGCTGAGTCATTACAAATCTTTTACATCCCCATCCCACATGATTGTCACCCCCCAAGAATAAGTCAACCAGTTCATAATGCCTTGATTGGTAGATATAATAGATCATCATCATCATCATCATCAAATCACAATTCTTGAGTCATCCATCAACGAAATTTACTCGTGTCTCCCTGATCAAACCAACCAAAAAAAGAAAAAAAACCCGCAATATTTATTTGGGAAATGAATGAAATCTTAAGATGAAGTGCACAAACAACAGAGGGAGAAAGGGATGCTGAATCAGTCTGTAGCCCATTCCAATTCTTGCTGCTGCTGCTAATCCCAGTAATAGTCAGCTAGCACCAGATTGCAGATACACATTTATACACCTTAACCAAAAACAAAACTATCTCAAACCCTTTGGAAAACACCTCACCTCATAACTGAAACCTAAAACATCATCACCAAAATTGTAACAACACAACAAAAAACCTAGCTGTACATTTTTCTGCCTAAACAGTAAAGAGGCAGTAGCCCCTTGTATGCAGCCCCCAAGTACTGCACATAATTAACACCGCATGCATAGGATCGATGCAGAAAGAAGAAGTCCTATAAAAGCAATGTCTGGGTTCTCCAGGTTGAACTGTCGGGTCGGTTTGGTGTCGGCCTGTTGGTCGGTGATCCATCTTTCTAAGCACACAGGCTAATAATACCATATGCAACCAGGGCACTGCACAACAGACTAGGTCCTTGCTCTCTCGAGTACTTTACACCCACCACTTTTCAGGCATTGGCTCGATCCTTGACATTCTCAGTACCCGAGGAAACAGGAATCTTATCCAATAAACTGCGTGAACAAGAGTAAGCATAATGATATAGCGAGCTTATAAAGTTTTTCTTTAAAAAAGGAAAAACAACAACATTATGTTTGCAGATCACAGTAGTCAGAATGAACATACTCAGGAGGCAATGACTCTGAGGAATTGCTAGGACTGGCAAAAGAAATATTGATCTGGTTTTCCAACATGACATAGCTAGTTTCCATCGCTTCAGCCGGAGCCAGAGAACCATTGAAGCTCACTGCTGTATTGCTTCCAGATGACATCCCTGCAAAAAACGATGTGCTTTCATTGAGGAAAAATTGAGCATTGGTATATGCACAGACGATAATATGCACATCAGATTTCACTTTTTTGCCACTAGTTTCTTATTGATAAGTAATGCAAAGAAATGTAGCTGCATCTATATAAACTAAAGATCACATTTAGCCTTAATTGGTGGAGGAAATAAATTGAACTGTAAGCAATTGCCAATAATTAGCAACATAAGCTTAGAAAGATTAATACATTGATCATGGATGAGAGACAAACTACATATTTCTGCAATGATGTAAGAGGGCCATTCTGAATTCTACATCCAAAACCTAAATCCCAAAGGATAAAAAGTAGGCACCAAACAGCGCGATTCAGAGTTAGCCAAGTAACCCGTAAGACCTGCTATTAAGTGTTGATCCATTGAAAGTAAAACATCAAGAGTCATGCAAAAACAAGTAAGGAAACTAACCTTGACATATAATAACAATACAGAAGAGTGCAGTACAGAGCATGGCGAACAAGCTTCCGCCATTGGATGAAGTTGATGGCGCTTTTGCAGCAGCTTTCATTTTCTTCAATGCCTTCATCCTTTCGATCCTTGCACGTTTCAACATAGCAATTTCATGCAGCTCCCTCATCAGCTTCTGATCAGCCGCATCAAGTGACATGCCTCGAGGTGGCCGAGGCGGTTTCGGAGGCTTCTTAGCGCTGCCCGACGACTTACGCCTCTCACTATGATCCGTTTTCTTCTTGTTCTCCACCACAGGCTCCACCTTGTTGTCCAGTGTATCGATCACAACTTGCACATTTCCAGCAAAATCATCTAAAGTTTTCCCTTGAACAGGCACATCAAACTGGACTAATCCAACACAAGAAACGGGTGCAGAAGAAGAGAGTTCTTCCTGTTCTTCATTCATGGTTCTAATCCTGCAGCTCTCAATATCATCATTCACAGAAGGATTCTGATCCATTTTCAGAAATGATAGTGCTCTAATGAAAGAATTCTTCAAAATTCCAATTGTCAAACTTCCAAAGTCCAATTTCGTTACTATCTCTTTTTTAACGGTGTAAAATGGTACACAATGAAGAAAAATAACAGACTCATCAAATTTCAAATTTTCTGAGAACTCTCAACCCAACAGCAATTGATCATTACAGGTCCTCATCTAAGTCATCAAAAGTTCTTGTAAGCTCTCCTGCCCAACCAAACGAAAAGCCAACTACTCAACAAGCAATAGTCATCTTCTAATTGCCAGCTTCCCTATACAACACATCAGAAGAAGAAAAGAAACAAAGAGAATTTTAATTACCCAGCAGTTCAAAGATCAAATGGAAGCAAATTAAAATCAAAATTCACATAAAGCCACCAAAATTTAGATTATTCTGCGAATGAACATCATCACAAACTATCTTCAAAAAGGAAAAAAGATTCAATCTTGATTAGTCATGAATGCATTAGAAAAGGAACACCACAGAATAAGAAAAGAACAAGCAAAATTACCAACAGAATTAGTCAACAAAATCCCATAAAGCCATGATCTTTCCAGGGGAAGAAGAAATCAGTAATGACAAGAAATGGAGTATACCTTAATAAAAGAAAAAAAGTAAAGCAAGCCCAGATAGATCCAAGGAAGACAAATATTAGTAATTGGCAGCTAAGGGACAGTAGTAGTATATATTGAGTGTTAAACAAGGTGGTGTTTTGGGTTGCGATTATGATATCTACAGTAAAATAATAACAATGAGAGAGAAAAGAAGGCGACAAATATGGATTGATGCACGAGGGTTCCTGGCCCTTCTTCTGGCCACCATGGAAGGTGGAAAAAAAAGAAAAATAAAAAAGAATCAACCCAGAAGAAGAGAAACAAAAACTACTTACACTTAATCCCACACAATTCCATTTGCTACATCCTGTTTTGTCTCTGCTATATACTTAAATTATAACTCTGTAGAGTGGTGCAAATTTAGTGATAAAAAGATTCAGTGATTACCCAGTAAAAGTAAACAACTCGAAGCTGATATTTTCACCAAATTCAGTACTTCGTTTGTTTGAATTTGAACTAAACAATTGACGATTACCTTCGTTTGTTTCTCTCTTGTGAGTACAAAGCAATATTGGTGGTTTTGCCTTTGCCAAATATTGCCACCGACACTTCGTGGAAACAGGCAGTTCCAAGCAACCAAGATTCCAATTCCCGAAGAACATTATTAATAGTTAATATGACATGATTGAGCTAATTTTGCGAAGTGTCTCCTTCAACTTTAGTGTAGACGTCAATCAATCACCAAATACGCTGTTACATTTCAATTTCACCCCTATTATTAAGTTCTTACGCTCATTATAGACACGTATGTAAAATGAGAAATAAAACAATTCGTTTGTTCAGGGCGTATATTGCTATACGATTAAGTGAGGGTGGTAATTGTAATATACAAAAGAAAAAAAAAGAAAGCGAGGGTGATAATGTAATTAATTAGTCCATAAAATAATAATGTAGACATCTTTTAATCTCTCTCCGTTTCATAATTATTGTTCTGTTTGAATTTTTATTTTTAATTCAAATTGTATTAAAAATGAAACCTCAGACTGAACAATAATTATGGGACGAAGGGAACATGATTCATTCCCTTCCTTTTGACATTTGAGACAAAAGGCCAAAAACTGAAAAGGACAAGAACATTCTAAGTCTACTATTTTATTAGTAAAACCTAAGGTTAGTTTTTTGAGTTATTTTCTCTGTTGGAAAAAAAAAGGGAAATTCATTAGACAGGGTAAAAAAGAAAATCCTTATGTAAAGAGAATTTTGTCGAAAATAATCTTTTTTGGAGCAATCGTGATTTTTATTACCTTTAAATTTTGGCGAAACCTACAGGAATACCCATTTTGAAGGAATCACTATTCACTTTAATCACTACTCAATTTACTCAATTTTGTTGCAATTTGGGCAGCGGTGGGAAAAGGCAACTGCTCTTCTTTTTTTTTTTTTAATGGTAAAATTATCCTTTATAGTTTTGTATTGGATTTCAGTTTAGAAAAAAGAGCAGCAAAAGTCTCACATAATATAACGGAAGAAATAACTTGGTCGACACCATTTAAGTTTTTTTTTTCCCCTATCAATAAAAAATGACTAATTTCAAGCCAGTTTAATGGAACATTTCTTTTCTCTTTTTTCTTTTTTTTTTAAAAAACCCTAAATATTATTACCTCTATCACAAAAAAAAAAGAAGCTCATATTGAATTTTAAACTTTATACTAAAACAAATTTCAAAATGCAAACTATTTTTCTTTTTGAGACGGAGTGAATAACAACCCAACATAAATCAAGGGAGTTTTTATATGCTCTACATTAGAAAAGTCGGCAACATAGTTATCAAATCGTGATATGTATTGTGTATCAGAAACCTAAATTTATGATACGCGTATTGTATCGTGTATCGTATCGTAAGATACATTTTAATATAATAATATGTATAAAATAAATAATAAATATCATAAAATCCATATGTCATTGATATATTTATACTTTTTTTTTATTTTTCAGCTATAAACAAATAAATTGATTAAGTTGAATTCAAAATTATTTGAAAGTTACACAAATTACTCATTCATTACATCAATAATGGTCGTACAACCTATGTAATAAATATCATTTTTCATGATAATTGTTATTATAGCCATAAATTTAATAGTGAGAAAAATTAATATAAACATATATTACATTTATTCAACATGCTATTAGTTATACTTCATTTGGAAAATGATATTATGAATAAAATAATATTTTTAAATCTATTAATTTTAGACTATGATAATTTATTAAGCGGTTTTGTCTTCAATTGAGAAAAATTATACTCGTGAAAGAAATAAATCAATAATATCTATTTAAAACAAATTGTAAATGAAATTCGCTCTTAATTTAAAATTTAAACGGTTGTTATAAAACAAAAGTTTAAATTTTTTTAATAATATATTTTTTTTGCCTATGGTTTTGTATCGTACGATACGCAATCGTATCGTGTATCGTATATCGTATATATCGCACGATATGTATCGATAATTGACCAATACACAAGCGATTGTGATACATAACATAATACGTATCGAAATCCTTAATTTTGATACGTATCGTGGGATACGTATCGCGTATCGTACCATACTTACTACATATGATCGGCAATAAAAAATATCATAGATTTTTATTTTTATTTTTTATCTTTGCGGGGGGATGATAGAAAAGAATTAAATGATGAGCAAGATCAGAATATATAAATTTTGTTTCGGTAAGGGTGTCATGTCAATTTGAAGTCAAACTTAATGAAGCAAATGTAATGCTTTGTAGGTAGGGAACTAAATTGGGGCCATTCCCCTAAATGATTTTTGTTAGGATGAACTTCGGTCCATCTTCACAAACTCAAAAATCTTGAGCTTTGCATTCCAAACATAACTGTATTGTTGTTTTTAATTCAATGAAAATCTAAATCATCTTTTTTTTTTTTTTAGAAAAAAAATCGTTCTGTCAAAATGATTGTCTAATTTAGATTTGAGAGTACTTGTTTGCTTCTTTGAAGACAAAACTTTGATAGACTAACACAAGTGCAAAAGACTGGAAGGGCAAAGCTTTTCCATGCAGTTGGAGGATATTAACTATTAAGCCCTGCCCTGACCCCTTGGGGGGTATTATGTCCACAATCTTATCTCCAAGAGATCTCACAAAGAGAAACCTTATTATAACACACACACACACACACACTCGGCCTCCCTAATAATGACATCAATATTACAACAAATGGGAGCATGTTGTTGTCTCATTACAATGCAAACTCACATGTACTACAAAGATTACTCAATATCTCTCAATCTCTAGGCCAGATTTTGGATGACCTTTATCTGTCCCACATTTTGAAAGATCATGTGTGCAAATATAATTGATCTTTTCTTTTTTTAATCATAATTTATGGAACACATGAACTGAGCAGCCAAAACAATTGGGAGAAAGAAATGGACTCAGAAATTATCATAATTTTGGGAATCAAGGAGTACTGTATATGAATATGAACAGCTTTTTTGCATTGCCCATCACCACAACTTCTACTTTAGTAACGCAAAAAACATCATAAGTTTATTCTAAAGCCACCAATAAATGATCATAAAAATGAGCTTCAGTCTTAGCAGGAAAGAACCAAAACTAAAATTTGAAGATGGCTGCACCACTTGATGGCTTAGATGCGAAAATGTATAGCCCGAGATCATTCTTCTTGATTATACCTTTGTCAATTCTGGATTGGTAAAATTGCTCCTGCACCCCCCAATAAAAGAAAAAGATTTTGTAAATAAGAGAATCATGATCCACACGCAAGCTTATTCAGTACAGAAGAGAAAGGTTTATGGCACATGTTTTTCTGTTTTAAGCCAAAATGAGAATGATGGGAGATATGTAATGGTATAAACACGAGAAATGTAGGGTAAGTACAAAAGTACTAGGCTGATTGCAAAGAAAACCAACCTTCAAATTGAGTATGAACTGGGGAACAAGACTCTCTTTTACTAATGCAACCGCACAACCACCCCATCCAGCTCCAGTCAGCCTAGCTCCGAGAGCGCCATTATCTCGGCAAACTTTAACAAGTTCCTCCAACTCCGGACAGCTAGAAGACAGACAAATCAATCAAAGATATGTCTATTTTATCAAATTATTAATGCGCAATTCGCAAGTATATAATAAACAAGATAGAGTCACATGTTAAACACAATGCAATATTTTCACCTGCACTCATAAAGAACACTACAACTGTAGTGACTATCATTCATAAGGTCTCCGAGCTTCTTCAACATGTCTTCATCACTATTAAACAACATCCAAATTGAAAAGCGTGATTCAAAAATACTTAATTTTTCAACAGGCTTACTAGAATTCTATACAATTTGCAAGAGAATTTAAAAAGTATCTTCCCGTGTCTTTCTGGTTTGAGCTATATTTCCAAAATTTCGGAAAAGACAGTAAAGAGGAATATTTTGTCAAACTCACCTGAGATTTGATGATACAGTATCTTTGAAGGCATAAACCCGTCTGGCTTCAGAGTAGACATGAACAGCTCTCTGCAAAGATGATTTCAGAAAGCATTATTTGTAACCATCGGTATGAAGGGAAGTAGGTACTGAATCCAAAATGGTGGTACCTTTGCCCATAATTATTATAGATAAATATATGTTTTAAAGCAAAAAAGGTGGAAAATGATACTCAAAACCACAACTTTCAAGTAGTACCTGGTGTAACTTGAAGTGCTTGGCGGCTCTCAACACATCTAAGGAAGTAGGAGAGTTTGCAAAGATAACTTCCAATTTCTTCTCCGTGAAACTCTCGACATCTTCAGCGCTATAGGGTTCCTCTTTCAAAAGTTCCTGGCAGCAAAGCCAATAAAAGAGAACATTGATTGACACAAACAAGTACTTCGAAATTACAACAATTTAAGGAAAGGAAATGATTTGTGCAGCGAAATATACCTTAACCGCAACGAGAGGATCAGACGACCCATGACTACCTGCGAAAGCAACGCACTTTCCTTCAACATCCGAAAGAGTCTTCACATTAGAGATTGCATCCTCCGGTTTCATGCCCAACTTGATTCCCAGCACAATCTGCACATAAGAAAATGTTATAAAAGCCTGGCCTTAAGGATTCTCAATCCATTAGGGTCACAATGTTATGCCAAAAAATGGAGTATCAAAATACAAAAAACTTACAGCAGCTAGTTGACATTCAACGACCCGATTATTGTAATTAGTTGCAGCAGTAACAGCTTTCTGGGATTCAGCCAATGAATGGCCTATCACAAAGGTTCCACCAGGAGGGAGTTGCACATCAGTTGCACGAATTGGGTTGAAATCAATCAGCTCGGCAAAGCCAGTTTTAGCCATAACAGATATAGCCTGAGATATGAACCACAAAGCATGACGTAGAAATTAAAACACGGAAATATTAATAAAGTTGACAATCCTGTCTGTCTTATTTGATTTTGAATAAAATCTTACCTGATCCATTCCACCAGATTGAGTGCCAATGTGTCTCTCACATTCACAGGTAAGCTGAGCCAGTTCTTTCTGCACAATTGACCAAAGCACACAAATCTTTTCAAAAAAGAATTCGTTCCAAATTTTAGTAAGGACCAAGTCATTACCATCAATCACACTGTTGACAAGTAATTTATGTAGAATTCTCACATCATATATCTAACACGGCTTTTATAAAGGAACTACAAACAACAACACTAAAAGGCAAAGATACAGATTATCCCCCAGGGAAAAGGTTCACGTAGTAAGTTCCATTTCTCAAGAGCCCGGAACTAAAGGTCGGGCATTCAGTATACCTTAGGAAAGTTTTCCCCAAATGCAGCCATTACGGCAATAGTTGCGGAGCAAACAAATGCAGCAGAGCTTGACAGTCCTGAACCTAAAAGCATAGGAAATAAACGATATAGTTTGATCAAAACCAACACCAAAAGGTTATTGAATAATGTGTTTTCAATAAACTTCAATTTGAAAAGACGACAAGAAATTTGACACACCGGTAGGAACAGTGCCATCAATTATGACATCAAGTCCAACGGGTTGACCAATGTTGATTCCTTTTAATTTGGCATATTCGTGGTAACCTTTGTAGCTGCGAAAAAGTGCCAGTAGTCAGGTTTATTAATTAGCATCCTGATTCGAAGAGGTTGAAATACCGATTTCAACTACCAGTTCTGATTGAGAAGCAAACAACAAAAAAAAAAAAAAAAAAACTATTCTTTACCCGCAAATAAAGTAATGGCCCCATTTGTGATTCTTTAAGTCAATTTCCTGTAACAAATGAGTTAATATTAACCAGCAAATTTATAAGAAATTACAAGCCAATAAAGAGCACACAGAACATGCCACTATTGTCTTTCATTTGCTTTTCAAATGCAACTTAGGGACATAGATAGGGTCTGAAATTGGCACTAATGAAACATATGAAGGATGAAAGTCCCGCGTAACTTAGCCCCCAATAAAATAACATAAAAACAGTTCAAGAGTTTCCGAAACGAGCCACGTAAAGCTTTCAAATCTATACTAAATTTTAACGAGCTGTCAAATCTATACTAATTTTATTCCCAGAGTTTCATTGCTTTACTACCCAAGGGTTGAAATTTGCACAAAAGAAACTGGAACTACTGAAACAATTTTCTTTCCAAACTTATAAGTACCACAATAAAATCTTAAAAAGCACAAACCTTAACTGTCACCAAGGACGCAAAAACTTCTACTTACAATGACAAGTTTCATACCCAAAAGAAGTATCTATTGATGAACAAAAGCAGCAAATACGAATTAGGATGTACCTGATCAGGGTCAGCAGGGTAAGTACACATGGAATACTTCTCATTAACGTTAGCAATCCTAAGAACCTTCTCCGACTTATTGATCCTGATTCCAACAATGGTATCTTGCCGAATAGCCATTGGTAGAACAGAGTAACCTTCATAGTCAATGTGCTCCCCAATCAAATTCACTCTTCCTACAACCCCAAACACAGCAACTTTCAGCCAAAACCTTTCATAATTAATGAATATAATAATAACCAGAAAACACTGGGAAAAAAATAAAAAGAGTGTGCATAATGTTCAGTCTTCTGATCAATTCTAAGCATCTACCGTATAGAATTAAGGCATTCAATTATAATAAAACATTAACAAAGAAAAGATTCACTCTTCTTAACCAGCATTCACCTAGAGTCCATTACAAGTGTATGCATCAATTGCACAAAAACGACCAAAAAATCAATCTTTCCAGTCTCCCTAAGCAGCAACAGCCCGTCAAAGTTCACAAATGAAACTACAATACAAATATGGCAAAAGAAACAATCTTTGATCCTTACGACCCTTTTTCACTGGAAAAATTACTCACCCGGGGATCGAGCGAAAAATTCAGGGTGGTGACCAAAGAACTCGAAGAATTTAGCCTTCAAATTACTGAAACGGAGCTCAGCTTCTTCAAGCTGCGACCCACCCCCATAGACGGGCTCGAGTGTGGTGTAGATTGGCACTGGTAAATCCTCATGTCTTGCTCCCTCTGCCGCCATGGATCTTCTCAGACCAAAACCGAAAATTCCAAAAAAAAAAAAAAACAAAAAAAGAAGGGATTTTTACTCAGATATTATTAATCACTTGTTAGTTTCTCTGTGAGAGTGACTTTCAGTAAATCAAATGAATGCGCTGATCAGCCAGCTCAATATTTCTTCGCTAATTAATAAAAAAAAAGGATATACACCGGTTTATTTATCAATCAGAGAGACCCCAATGATGATATAATAAGGAGCTGAAAATATATATGATGATTACTGAAAAAAACAGGGCGGCGGTGACAATATGGGGATGGAGAATATATGTTTGGTGGGTATATATACATATGTTGTTTATACTATTATAGATTTTTTTACAGAGAGAAAAATCATTGAAAAAGGGATAAAGGATAAACAATTTTGAAAGAAAGGATAAAGATTCCAAAGATTATTGATTGATTAGTAAAGGAACTTTTGTTTGTATCCTCGATTTGTGGGTCATTTGCCGTATTCTTGCCGCTTTACCAGCCTGACTGGCCAACTCTTTTTATTTATTTATTTATTTTTTATTTTAAAGAACCAAAATGAATATTTGTTTCAATTTGATTTTTTTCTTAATCCATAATTCTGGTGAAATCATAATTTGAAATTGAGATACAGTAGTTTCCAATCTAAAATAGTTGCTCAAGCACTCATAATCATCGTGATTTGATTGATTATCCAATGGTGCATAATGTTATCCTAATAAAGTTGGTGTCTTTTTGAATCACACTTGTAGTCTAACTGTAGTACTAGGAAACGGGATTGGAATGGTGCAAATGATAAATGTTCAATGATGAAAGATGTAGCATTTGTATCATGTTTAATCTTTATTACTTCATTATATAACCCGTTTTACAATCTTAATTTATGATGATGCATATTACTAGCTACTACCGCTACTTACTAATCATTCACAGATGCATAGAGAAAGAAAAACAAGGAAAAGGCCTAAAGATCCATACTTTATGTGTTTGTTGCAGGGAGGTGTTAAAGATTCTAATCACTCGTCACATTCTTCTCGAGTTCCTTAAAATGTTTTTTTTTTTTTTTTTTCTGTTCTTCCCCTACTTTTCTTTCGCTCGTTAAGTCAAAGAATCTATGGCCCGGCCGGTGACTTGAGATTTGCAGTTGATGATCCGGCATTCCCCCTTGAATGCAGAATGCAGGATTGGTTGTCTACTTGTTTTATAACACACATTTCCCACTTTTGCTTCTTCATCCATCAATCTCTGTTTATTTCTCTCTTTTTTTCTTTTTTTTTTGTTTTTTGTTTTTTGAGGTTAGAGCTCCTTATTCAGATATGCAATACGCAGTCATTCACAAGAAACAAAAAATGAATCAAAGCTTATCTTGTGCTCACGCTTTATAGTTATACACTCATCAAACCCAGAGCAATACAAATTTAGATCAAGAAGTCTGACTGACTAGTTTGTATTTAATGAATTCTCTAAGGAACTGGGGGCGAAAAAAAAAATTATATGAAAAAACCCATAAAAAGTAGTCCCGGCGGGGCTCGAACCCGCGACCTTCGGCTCATAAGACCAACGCTCTAACCAACTGAGCTACGGGACTCAGCTGCGCATGTTAACCTGAACTTTTTTAATTGTCCATATTAACATCGGATCATGGACCTCTTTCTTTTCATATTTTACTCATGGCAATTGGCATTTCCGAAAAAGATATTTTACTCATGAAAGCTCAAGCCATATATTTTGAAATGAATAACAAAATATACCTACGCATTCTAATAAGCAAAACAAAAGTGTTCCTAAAGAGAATAGCACAGCATAATTTCTGTGTATATCCAACTATGATCAGAAAAACTACTGGTATAATATTATTTTTGCATATTCACATGCAACAAATGAGTAAAACTTCTCAATAAGGTATTTCGTTCATGCAGGGAGAAAATGAAAGAAGCGGGGATAATAACATGTTCAATCAGAAAAGCCCTTTATACTAAAACTCAAATTGGTAACCTCTCAGGGGAGGGGGGGAAAAGGATGTAAAGACAAATAAACACCGTAAACGTGATGTTGCAACAAAAGTTAAGACACCATCTTTTATATGTGAATAGGCTTGCCATGAGTAGCCATGGCCGCTTCTTTTACAGCCTCACTCATCGTCGGATGTGCATGGCAAGTACGAGCTATGTCCTCACTTGCTGCCCCGTACTGCAACGCTAATGCGGCCTCATGGATAAGCTCTCCAGCATTTGGAGACATAATGTGCACCCCCAATATCTTGTCTGTCTCCTTCTCCGCAAGTATTTTCACAATCCCTTCTGCGTCATCAATCGCTTTAGCCCTGCTATTTGCCATGAATGGGAACTTCCCAACACGGTACGAAACCCCAAGTGCTTTCACCTGCTCCTCAGTTTTTCCAACAGATGCCACCTCTGGGTGTGTGTACACTACACCAGGAACCATGTCATAGTCCACATGGCCTTCTTTACCAGCAATGAACTCGACGCATGCGATGCCATCTTCCTCTGCCTTGTGGGCCAGCATAGGGCCAGGAATAACATCGCCAATGGCAAACACACCAGGAACATTAGTGGCGAATCTCTTGTCAACTAAAATCCGACCAGCCTTATCAGTTTCAACGCCTATCTTGTCCAATCCCAGTCCTGCAGTAAACGGGACTCGCCCAGCGGAAACAAGGACAACATCGGCTTCGAGGGTGGTCTGATTGCCGCCATCAGCAGACTCAAGGTTTAATTTCACAGTATCCCCAGAACTGTCAACTGAGACCACCTTGGTTTTAAGCATGAATTTCATTTTCTGTTTCTCAAGTGTACGCTGAAACAGTTTACGGACTTCACCATCCATGGTTGGAACAATTTCAGATGCAAATTCCACGACCGTAACCTCAGAGCCGAGTCGGCCCCAAACGGATCCCATTTCCAAGCCGATATATCCAGCACCAATCACAACCAGCTTCTTCGGTACTTCCGACAAGGACAAAGCACCAGTTGATGACACAATCCTCTTTTCGTCAATGGTAATCCCGGGTAGACTTTTGACATCGGAACCAGTGGCAACAATAATGTTCTTCCCTTTCACAACGGTGTTACCACCTTCAATGGTATCAACAGAAACCTCAGAGGGGGAGACAAACTTCCCATAACCCTTCACGTAGTTGACTTTGTTCTTCTTGAAAAGGCCTTCGATACCACGAGTCAGGTTAGAAACAGCTTTGTCTTTCTGGGCTAACATAGCAGGCAAATCCACCTCGACGGAAGAGACCTTCACACCATGACTGGCAAACGAATGTTTGGCTTCATGATACATGTGTGATGAATGAAGGAGTGCCTGTAGAAGAAAAATGTAAAAGTTTTTTTATACATCATCAGAGAGATTTAAACCTATTATGCATTCGTTCTGTTTAGGCAACATTGATTCGATTTCACTCGTAAGACAGCATTTACATCCTCACCGAAGAAAGTAGCTCCTGCCAGGTTCTCAACACAAACAGGAACCACCAATACCTAAGCCGTGAACTGTATATACAGATAACTCCAACAGCTAGCTAACGCACAAATAGGTATATGCAAGGAAGGCACTAACAGGTGATCTCTTTCTCATAAATTACATTAGCTCAAAATGGCCAAGTATTATGGTTTCGAAGGATATAATTCCAGCACCGAGATGTCACTAGAAAAAAGCAATACGCAATCAATGACACAGCAGCTAATACCAAAAATTACATGCAAACAAAATACTTTTAAACAACAATAAAATTCTATATTCAATCAAAGCCAAGAGCAGCTGATGAGCAAAACATGAACTGATTTAACTCAGCTGCACAGTGATTAAAGCTGGTGCTAACCCATTCGCGTCACTCAAAACTAAAAAACTTATCCATTGATTTAACTAGTTTATCTATCCAAAAACAAAGTGGGGAAGAAAGGAGGGAAAAACACCAAGAACGAAACTTTAATAAAGACCTTCTCAACCTCCTCGTGACCAGAAACCCATTGCCAGAAATTCAAAACTAAACACATAAATTTTAATATGTGAATAAAAAAATAAAAAAAAAACACACACACACACACATGGTTCGTTCTCAGGTCAGTGATATGATTCGCAATTGTAACAGTAACCGGTAATCAAAGATCCAGAATTGATGAAACCCCTAGATCCCAAACAGACTAGGGTAGGGCTTAATAAATACGGAAATTTAAATTAGGGGGAGAAAAAAGGGAGACCTTGGAAGGAATACAACCAACGTTGAGACAGGTGCCGCCGAGGGTGCCACGTTTCTCGATGCAGGTGGTCTTGAGACCGAGCTGAGCAGCCTTGATAGCGGCGACGTAACCACCAGGGCCGCCTCCGATGACAACGACGTCGTTCTCGTCAGCGGAACCAGCGGCGAAGCCTCGGGAGGTCAGATAGAAAGAGTACTTGTAAGCCGAAGGGGAGAACTTGGACGGGGAAAAGAAAGCCGACGCCGCCTTTCTTCGAGCGATGCTTGCCATTGCCATAATCTGTTGTTCTTGTTTACACTTTACACCAGAGAGAGACAGAGGGAGTTGGGAAGACGGTGGATGGGAAGGGAAGTTGAAAAGGGTAAAAAAAAGAATTGTCTTGTACAGTAGTATTAGAGAGAGAGAGGGAGAGAGAGATCAAAAAGTACCACCGTGGCTGCGCGGAGGTGAGGATGGTGGTGGAGTGGGTGGACAGGGACGACTTTTTCTATTTGTTCTTCTTCTTTCTTTTTTTTTACTTTTTTATTTTATTTTAATTTTTTCCTTTTTTTTTTAATAGCATATTTTATTTCCAGCTTCTGTTTAATTTTGTAATCTTATTGATATTATTACTATTATTAGTAAGACATGATTTCTTTGATAAAATCACTTAATGCTTAAAATTATTGGATGAAGTATTTTTTTTCATTTCGGCATGTTTGATAACAAAAAAATGAACCTCTTTAATGAAATACGGAGTAAGTTGTGCTGAAACTGCATTATAAAATATAAGCGATAAAAGTTAACTTATTGCTTATTTCTTAACTGCTAATGAATTCAGTATTAAACATTCAGAAATTAACACTATTTCTGAAGTAAAATTTGTGGTGCTACAAGGAGAGATTGGTGAATTTAAATCATCTTTCTTTCTTCTGAACAAAACAAAACCAAATGGTGCAACATTCACTTGAAGAGATTGGATCTCTACATTTTTTGGTTGGCTACAATTGTGGTATGAAGTTCCCATCCAATCTTCTGTACAAAAAAATTGTGTCCTCACACAAACACACACATCTTGTAATTGATATTTTGGAATGAAGACCACTCACATACATCTCACAAAGTGACAACATTCTCAGAATAAGGGGAATTATAAACATTATTAGGGTACTAACAACAATCTCTCATTTGCTGCTACTCAATGAAAATGCCTCAACCTAATTCCCTCTCCCCCCCCAAACAAAGGCTACCCTCTTGTCATGTTCTGTACAAAACTGCAATGCCACACAGACTGGATAAGTGGATCAAATAAATGGATGATTCCCATAACTTAACACATGCAAATGAGATAACCTTTCACTGAATTTAAATCCATGGCAACCATGGGGCAAAATTTTACATCTCAATCTTCTACAACACACTACAAAACTATTGGCTGCTTTTTATCTCCTGCGCCAAGCAACCACAAACCGCGCACAAAAATCATCAATTTTTTTACTTCTCAAGAAGTAATTTAATTAGTTACAATAATGTAATACGGCCAGCGGGTTTATCCATGCCTCCTTTAATAATCAAAAAGCAATAGCGGGATTTCCATGCCATTCATTCCAATAGACTGCGTAACATCTTTCGTGCCTCCGCCGACAAGCTGCAGGTCCTCAACCTGGATCCCTGAGGAGTAATACCTCCGGTTTGTCCGTCTGGGCAATTAAAGGACACGACAATAGCCGTGAGGTTGTCATGTGTATCCCTCATCAGAGCTTGGTCGACAAGTTCTCTAGCCGACTCTTGCGGATCCCCATGTTGCCTAAGCTCTCTGTGAACCACCCTCACTGCATCCTGGTTGGACATGACATCCCAAATCCCGTCACAAGCAATGATCAGAAATTCATCCTCCTCCGTCAACATGATTTGATGCATTTCTGGCTCAGCAGTTAGAGGCGACTTGGAACCATATGGCCGTTTCATGTACCAGTCTCCAAGGGCCCGAGTTACAGCGAGATCCCCGTTTAAATATCCAAATTCAATGTAACCACCCAAATCTTCCACCCTTTTCTTTTCGACCACAGAAGATGGCCTGTGATCTTGAGACAGCTGAACTGCAACTCCTTTCCGACAGAGAACAGCGCGACAGTCCCCGGCATTTGCAATAAGTAGGCGCCTTCCAAGCACAAGGGCAGTAAGGGCCGTCGTGCCACAATAACAATCAACACCCTCTTCTTCAGCCAAGGCTTGATCAGCTACTAAAAATGCTCTGCGTTGAGAATTCTCCAACTCCTCCAAGAATGACAATTCATCAATATCAGCTCTTTGCAAGAGAAGGGCATCTTGAAAGAAAAACTTCAGTGCATTATCTTTAACAAAAGCTGCAGCATCAGAACCTCCATGACCATCAAACACAGCATAAAAAGAACTCGACACCGGCCATTTGTAGGTTGGCCCCAACTGTCTAGGAAGATCATCTACACAGAGGTGTTCATCTTCATTGGAGCTGCGGGGACCAATGCAAGTGAAACTGCCTGAGCGAACAGAGGGGGCAAACTTGTTAAACCTTGGGGAGACATAAAGGGTGGTGGTAGTAGTAGTCTGGATGCTAGTTGAGCAACTCAGAGCCTGATAAACAAACACATGAAATGGGTTAGTTAAAGCTCATCGGCTGAGCAAAAAAGCAACAGGAAACCCTACCATTATCGCTAGTAACGACATGCTTGCAAAAGAAATAAATGCAAAATGGCACAAACATTGGTTGCACACCGGCAGAACAAGAACTGGTACCATAGCCATGACATATCAAGAACACTGACATTCTTATTCATGATGCCTGTTAAGTTTCTTTTTTGCTGAAATCAGGATATGAGAGAACTAACTAGTAGGGCCAATAGCTAAAAAATACCTAGCTGGGGTAAAAAAGAAGTTAACTTCAAAGGATAAGCTAGACTAGAAAGTTCCCCCTCTTTCATGCTAAAACTAGGGCATCTTTGTATTGGAGGGTACTCGAGGCAAATCACACCATAAATCCAGGGGAACAAACCCGATGAACATTCTATCAGTGGGGAAGTACTGGATTGATGGAGGAATCACAAAAATATATCATCTATCAATCCAATCTGAACAGCTCTCAACTAAACCCCAACAAAATCCTAACTTGGACCTCAGAGATTAATAGCAATAACAAAGAGGCAAAGAGAAGAAAAACACATACCGATTCAGAACGCGTGATTTGGAGGGAAACAGATTCGTGGTCGTCGTGGTCACAGCTGACGTCAGAGGAAGGAGAAGAACAGACGATGGAAGGAGCAGGAGTCGGCGGCAGAGGCGAAGAAGGAGGGTACTTGAAGAGAAGAAGGGAGGCGGCGGAGGGGTCGATTTCAGGAGTAGAAGAAACACAGAGGTGGTGGTGATACTGAACGGCGGCTAGGGATTGCCGGAGCATAATCTCCGTCACCGCAGATGCTTGGGCTACCATATTTGGAAGATGAAATTGTTTAGGGGTGGGGTTTGAAGTTTTTGTTGTTTAGAATTAACGAATGAAAGAATGAATCTGAGAGAGAGAGAGAGAGAGAGAGAGAGAGCGTTTGTAATTTCTTTGGGAGTCTCTAAAATTTATTGCGGCAGAAATTAGAAGACGACTGAGCCTCCTCCGCCTTATATACATATATATATATAATAGTAGAAGAAGAAGAAGAAGAAGAAGTAGTTTTTTAGAAGAAAGAAAAGAACAGAAGACTTTTTTTTTTTTTTTTTTTTGAAATTTGTTATTTTTGGGGGAAAATTCCTTCGTAGTTGTGTATTGAGTTGCGTGTGACACAATTTTCTCCTCTCCTTTTTTTTTGTTTTTGGTTTTATTAGCGGTGGCACAGGATTACGTTTAATACAGCCAAACGCGTAGATATTGCGGAGTACATAAATATAGTCTAGTAATAATACTGCATATATAATAATGCTATTAAAATATTTATTATACTACTAGTAATATTTTTACTTCTTCTTATCTATCATTATAATTATTATTATTATTGCGTACTGGGTTTATCAATGGCGAATGTAACTCATAACAAACTTACCGATGAAATGAATTAAAAAGTTGTAGTTAACAATACAATAATTTGTATCGAAATGCGAATCATGTACACGAGAAGTTAGAGGCCGTGTTAACCATCATTAGGCCTCACGGCTGCTTTGTTTTTGAGAACAACTATGAAAAAGACGGTCAATGAGCATATGTAAATAGGAGGTTTCACCGATCAGATTTACTCGTTTAATGATCAGGTTTTTTATGCTGTGTTTAATCGGCGAAAAAATCAAGAGAACATAATAAATGTGAAAATAAAATTTTTTTGTCAAATAAAAATAAGTACTATATAAAACTTAGAACAAATCAAAATGACTTATTATTATAAGAAGAACCAATATAATCAATCTGGTTATGAGATGATGACGAATACGACAATCAAATCATGCTGGACGACAACAAACGTGTCATCCTCCTGTGGCCAAAACATGGATCCACCTTGGAAACTTCTGGACTTTGCTCCTACTTTCCCCCCTTATTACATTACCCAACCCACGCCTACTGACCAAGATTTCATAGTCATAACACCATATTGTTCTCTTGTTTTTCTTTTCTTTTTTCAACTACTAAAGCCACATTTTTTTAACATTCACAATTGTACACTATATCTACTAGGCAGTAGTACTTTTTTATGATGTAAACTTGTTCACATCACTAAAGTAAAACTACTCAAGTAAAAAGATACAAACAAGTTTGTTCATGCACATATGATCCTCTTCACTCATCACAGCACTCAGGCTCAGGCTGATGTTCTTTCCCAAGTTTGTCCCACAGACACAGCAACAACCTGGGACTCTGGTAATGTGCCAGAATGTAGTTTGATTCACATCCATCGATGTTGAATCTCTCCTCATCCACGTACACTACTTCATGTCCTCCGTTTTTGTACACCTCAATCCATATCCCCACCGCCACATCTTCCAGTTTGAACATCTGCATTTTCACACATCACCCAAAATTTACCAAACAAAACCATTGCATTGTGGAACAAGGTTTGCGTGTTCTGAAACACCCCCATGTCCAGGAGATCAAATGAACTCAAAACACAGTAATCCGTGATGGTTATGGCTAGAAATTCATAGCAATATTTCATAACAAATTTTTCGACTTTTGTTTCATCTATTAGGCTGTTAATATGTGATCACAACGCATAAGTTGATTCGAATTTACTATCACTGCTCCCGGACGTACGTACAAACTTGTTTCGGACAATATTGAGGTGGAATGCAAGCATTGCCACATTTTCTCTTTGCAGCCACAGACGTGCAAACAAAGTAGAAAAGTAGCCGTGCATATGCGACTGATGGCAAAACCAACGCCTATAGTCGTCTGTTTTTGAACATACAATTATTTATGGGAGAAAAGAAACATGTTAAGGGAAGTGCACGTACCATAAGGTCCCTTTCACGGTGTCCTTGGACAATGAACTTTGCTATATCACGGGATACAATATAGCCTGGACCATGTGCCCATGCGGGAAATGATGAATACGGCCATTCCTAATCAAACGAAAGCCCATCACATTTCAGAAGAGGAATCAAAACAGATGATCAAAGTTTGTGCAGCATGCATATAATTTACCTCTGGACTGATGTACCATTTGTTGTCTTTTTCCCTATGAGGTGTCGATTCAAATGATATGCGGCCATAAAAGAGGCCCTCAGAAGCCTTCCCTTTCAGGCTAGTTAAAACTTCATCAACCCTAACAAAGGCGTCATCATCTGTTTTCATAATGTATTTTGCCGGGAGGATTTCAGTCTGCAATAATTTTGGACATGATCAGGTAGTTTCTAACGCGGGGAAAAAAAGTCTTTCGATGGTATTTTTCGACTTGGTCATGCATCCACGGAAAACAGAAAACACAATCAAACAAAGACAGCGAAATGAGAACACAAGCTCAGATTATGATCATAAAGCTAATACTACTGTACAATTCCACGCACAAGTAGCAGCAGCATTTCAGCATGACAGCAGCATCAACAATCAATATTTAAGAGATATACTTAAGCATAAATAAACTAACTTCTTAGTAATTTTCAATCAGGCATGCCTACAATTTGCAAATACTGAAGTACTGACTGCAATTTCATCATGAGAGCATTAAAAATTAGAGGGTTTGTAAATAGCTAAATACCCCTAGAATGAATATGGCAATGGTTTTCAGAGTGAGCAAGCTGTAGTAATCAATGAAAGGCATTAACTGGATGTCCCCAAAAGCTTCAGCTTCTTTCCACAACTCGTAGTTCACTTTCTCATTCTTGTGCTGCAAAATTTAACAGGTTACATTATTGATGTCCAAATTTCAGGACTGTTTCCATACGGCTAGCATCTTTACCACAAATAAAATACTACTGAAACTTTGAACGTGCAGGAAATCGCAGAAACACACCACGAGAAAGGGTAGCCCAACAAATCTTGAGACCAATTATGATCACTTGTTTAGTACAGCATCCAAATTAATTTTGCACGAACAAGATAACGGTTCACATGACTGAATCGTAGTTGAAAGTACAGTTTTAAAGGATCGCTTGAAAGTTCTAAAATTAAATAAACCCATGTATGTTTTTACACTTACAAGACCAATGAAGAAGCGCACGACTACGTGCCCTTGGCGAACAGTTTTGTATTGCATCCAGGATCTTCTCAGTGCCATACGCCTAGCAAAATTATTTGCAGTTGAAAATACCCCGATCAACAATACAAGCCTTCTTTTCCTCTTCAAAACTGGAGGAGCTTTGAGGAGTTCAAGATCATCAAAATCTAAATTCAGCTCATCTGAAACAGGCAATCCTTTAGCTAAGATAGTTACAGTGTCCAACCCGCCTTTAACTCGGACTCCACTAACCAACCAGGGTTCAAGTTTCTGTCAAATGAGAAAATAAAAGAAAGAGAAAAACTGAAAAAATTAACATCACCGAGAGGCCAATTGGATCCCAACACCACTCCTTACCACTCTATATGCGAAAGAAGTCTCATGCCTTCCGTTTACGGTCATGTGGAACCCCTCAGCTCCAACCCACAGTGAGGCAGTGAACGGTATACCTTCAACAAAAGGGAATGGGGAATTGCCACTGCCACGGAGACTCCCATCAGATACATTGCTTGAGTTGTCAAGACTGCCAAGGTGACTTGCACTTTGGTTATCAGGAACAGTGGTCCTCACTATCTGAGCACTGCACTTGACCAGTCCATCCACTGAAAACATTCACCACGGTAAACTGGATTTGTAAGGAACTCAAAATCCTGGCATCTGAGTTTTAACATTAAACAAAGAATACAATCATCTAGATTGCTAAAAGAACAACAGCATCTAAGTTAACACAATTTAAGCAATTAAGAAGTATGTAGAGGGAAGGCAGCAAGATTAACCTTTTACAAACTCAGTCGAGCGGTCATGATCAGGGCATTTTTCATCCTTCCCCCAACCGGGCACATTAGTCCATGCATTCTGGACGACAAAAGGCTCCTTGGTCAGGTTCTGTCCCGGTAAAAACACCTTATATTGCAGAACTATTGGAGGCTTCTCCTCGCTTGGCAGTTCGGAGCCAAGAAGCTCAATTTCAAAACCGTCCTTTTGAGCATCAGGTATTCCAATTACAGTAATTGATGAACCCTCAATTAGACCACACGGGATTTGAAGAGTACTCCTCTTTTCTATAGTGCCATTATTAAACGCGGGAACAAAGTAAGGACAATACCTTCTGTTCTGTGTAACATTACCACCTCCTCTAAGCTCGGGGGTGGCCTTCATGTCTTGAATCGTCGACAATAATTCTTTCCACGATGAAGCTGCTTCTTTGATACCCTGAGCTGTTTCCGGTAAAGCATCAGACCTTGACAAAAGAAACCGCATTCGAGCCCAAACAAGCATAGCCTTCGATTCCTCATCATCCAGGGAAAAGTTCCCCAAACTATTGTACAAGAAATTAAGCCCTTCGACATCAGGTAAAAAGCTAGGCTTTCCCCTAAAGTTCAGTAGCTCTAACACACTGTCTTTTGGGGGCAAAGTAGCATCAGCATTACTAGGTGTGTCAGGTGGATGATTATTGAAAAACTCATACGCAGACTGCTTTTGTTGTTGTTGTTTTTGTTGCGGTTGTGGTAGTTGCCGAGGCGGTATAGCAATCTTGCCAATGAAACTATACCTCAAAACTAAAATCAATGTAAGCCCTCCAACCAAAACACCTCCACTCCACTTCTTCATCGACTCTACCAAACTCAACCCAGATTTTTCAGGTCCCAGAAAAATTGTGAAATACCAGCAAGATAGGCCCCTATTGTTTGATCCTCATCCCTCTAAATTTCCAAGAAAATCATCTTCATCAATAATATCAAGCATTATGCTCAGCAAAGCTTCAGGTTCTATGTCAAAGAGCACATCTTTTTCAACAGCAATACAACAACTTTAAGACCTGGCATTTTCCCCCAAAACTCTGAAAACACCTTTTCAGATAACACTATTCAAGCAGCATTAAGAAAATAAAGAAAGTTCCAAAGCAGCTAGCTAAGAGGGTTGGTAGGTTTCTTTCAGCAATGCCAAACAGAGATTTTTCCCATTTTGTTTTAAACTTTCGTCTTCCCTTTACACTATAAATTTATAAGTAATCGAAATATGGAAGGGAATAAAAAGAATTGGGCTTTTTGAAAATGGAAAGAAAGAACAAAAAAAAGTAAAGAACCAAGGTGCGGCTACTGTACCTCTGAGCTACAGCCGGGAAGAAGGATGAGAAGAGCTCTCTCAAGTCTCAACTCAAAAGTGTGAAATAGTAAATCTAACCAACCAGTTATCCACTAATGAAGACACAAACGAACAAGATTGGATCTCTGAACTGAAATTATGATTCTGGAATTGTGAATACGGTGGTATCGACCTTTGTTTCTACTTTCTAGCAGCAACTGGAGAGAAGGCGCAAGTCAAAGATGTCACCACAACCGTCACAATAAAAGAGTAGCCTTTCGTTTACTTATGAAAATACTTACCATATTCATCTCATTTAATTTGATTCAAGTAGTGCAAAAGGTTTTACTACTGTTTTAATGCGTCTTATACTATACCCACAAAAATCTTTTACTAGTAATGAAGAAAAAATTCGAATAAACTATCAATTTCATCTTGAGATTATGAACAATTAAATGTTAGTATGACAACTTTTAATAATGCTAATCTCATAAATCTAGTAATTTGGACAATTAATTTAGAAACTGAACTTACATTTCAATCTTCTTAATTCCCATCAATTCAAATATTACGTATGAATCTTTTTGAGATGAACAAACGTAATCTTAAAATTTCATATGGTACTGTATAGTATATATGAAAGTTTTTTAGACAATTAAAAAAGAAGAAGATAAGTTTGAACTTAATCTGATCACTAATATCATATGTGAGGTGAGGCAGGCATTCAGCTCTAAATTTGATGAGCCGTTTCGTTAAACCAAATTATTGTACAAACCCAATTTGTAGAGAGGAATCAGAGCATACTACATTCACTGGATAAGGCCCAATAACCTTATTCAGCATCCATTTGTTGTGTATCATTTGACCGTGGATTAGCAATGTCCTAACTCCTCGGACGCATGAATAGCTACTCTACATTGCTTCTCCATTGTTTCGTTTTTTAGTGTGTGTTTTTAAGTGTTTTTTGTATTAAAAATATTAGAAATATAAAAAACTATGTTGGAATATGACAAATATTATTGTATTATTCTGAAAAAATCATGCGAAAAAAGAAACAAACAGAGTTAGCCTCAATAGACACAATGCAAATAAGGCGGCAAATTTACTCGCCAAGTTAGGTTTCACTTGTCCTATAAAGTTATAGATTTTGTCAATAGCCCCATGCTGAATATGTAATATTAGATAGGCATTCCCATCTCAGTTTCATGAGAATTTATTGTAACTAAGTATTGCGCTTCCTTCGTGTGTGTGTGTGTGTATATAAATCGTTTTACTGTGAAAGTACCTAATGCTTTTCTTCTTCAATCTTAAAATAATTATTTAATTTGTAAACTTATTCAATTCATCCCAAAATAATTCTCATAATTATTATATTAAATTATTTATCTGGAAGCTATTTGATAACTTTTGACATCGAGGAATCAGTACTAAACAATACAAGTGTGATTAGAGTTATTTATTTTCAATAATTAACCATGAAATACTAATATCAGTCGTGGTAGTCGAAAGTTTGGATGCAAAGATTGACAAATTAGTGTGGCTAAACTTCATTAACCAAGTCAATTAAGTTGTAAAATTTAAAGGGGCCGCAAAATAAACCAAACCTTATGAAAAGGGAGATTATTCCAACACCAAATCACACCTCATGATGGAATACAACATCCCCAGTTGACAATAATCTAAGTTTACACAATTATTAAGAAAACAATGATTGAAAATTTAATTTATAAGGATATTGTCTTTCTTGCCCCTAATTAAAAGTATTGGAACTCTAAAAAATTTAAAATTGAAGTAAAAGTAAGTAATTGTCATTAATATATGTTATTAAAAGTAGAGAGAGATAAGGGTACAATTGGAAAAACTGTATTTAATGTTGCATTGAAAATGAAATGCGACAAATAAAATACACTTTGGGTTCACCTTAAAACGATAGATAAAAAAAACAGAATTAGTAATAGTATAGTAGTAGTAGTCCGACGTATTAATTTTTAGTAAATTTTTTTAATTCTCCTTCATTCATTTTAATTTCATTCATTCATCTAGGTTCTTTTTGGAACTCTCAGAAGAAAAACGATTTTCCAACTACCTAGTAAACAATTAATCCTTCCATTTCAAAATTAAGTAATTTTAGACTTTACATGTAAATTAAATAGACAATCATCCACTAATTTATTTATGTGTTAAATATCTGTTTTACCCTTTATTAATTACATTAGAATTATAAACAAGACTAAATAAAAATATATTGGAATCATTTATTGAGGATAAAGTTGGAAAAATAGTTATTAACTTGCCTAGAATTTGTAAAACGATTTATATTTTGAAAAATCTCCTTAAACCTAGAACGACCTAAAAATTGAAATGGAGGGAATAGTAGTAGCGTTTTAGTTATGGCTATGATGCTAATAAAATCCTTAATTATTATTATTGTTTAAATTCTTTTTCTAAAGACAGAATGGAATATACTAATCATATATATATGTAGAAGATTCATCGTATAAAGTCCCTCCATAGTGCTGTATGTGCCGTGTCGAATGATTCAAATCACTTTGTTTATTCTGTCCCCTAATTATTGGAGTATAATAATAAAAGAGAGGAGTATCAATGTTAATATTGTTGGGCATCTTGGGATTTTGGCTTTCTTTTCTGCCTTTTGGTTGGGAAGCTCCCCCAGACACACCAAAAAAAAAATTAAAAAAAAAAAATCATTTGATATTTGTCTTCTGTATGCAGAAGCTTAAGTTAGACAGAAAGGGGAAGGAGAAATTCCCTTTGATGGAACAGCATGAAACCAACATTACACTTTTTTGCGGGTTTATTATGTAAATAAATAAAAGTAATTACTTCAAAATGGAAAGCTAATTTTATTAATTCTAAATTGTAATTATACTCGGCCTCCAGGCTCCAGCCTGCCGCCCACACATAATCATACTAGTGTCTCTCGTCGTCTTTTGTTGAGAACAAAAATAATGAAAAGAAATGACACCCTTTGCTTCTTCGATTCTTCCTAGTACAACACTCTCACATCCAAAGATTTTCTTTTTTCATTTTAGTTTTTATTGTATTGTACTACCCAACAAATGTTTCAACTTTTGAGACCGTAAAAATACTAAAATACTTCCTTTATTTCTAAAATTATTATTCAATCTAAAATACTTCTTCTAATCGAGTCGTGCTCAAGTGGTTAAAGCGTTATACCTTTAACTGCGAGGTTAAGGATTCGATTCCTACCGCGGACACAAGAAACAAGCAGCTGAAGGAGGAAGCAGGCAGCTGACCAGCAGCCAGGTTAAACAGGCAGGAGGCATGTCATCATCGGCCACGAAAGACTGGACAGGTCGAGCAAGAGGTGCAAGCGAGTGGAGTTTCCCCCCTAATACTATCCCTTTCCCCAGTAAGTTCTAATCCTGTTGTAATAGCCTAGGTACCTTCCAAAAGTACTATTAAGTGTGGACTCAAAAAAAAATAATAATAAAAATACAAATTGGATAATAATTTCATTACGGAGGGAGCAGTTTTCATTTCGCAACACCCTACTCGAATCTCTTATCCCTGGTAGTCTCTACTCGAGCGTGAACAAACCATTATTTCAATTAGTTTGAAATTTTGTATATACATATATGTACAAAGAAAATCATATATATTGAAAATTTTAAAGATTACTCGAAATTTATTTTTTTATACACACCAAATGTCCTTATGTTATCATTGGACCAAAAAAAAAAAGAATTTTTTTTTTCTTCCAATGAGCTCTAAATTCTATTGGGTGTCTAGCGTGTGCATTTAATTAATTGATTTGTTGTTGAATTGCATTTCACATCATTAACCAAAGTCATTTTCTAATCTCGTCAAAACTTAATCAAAGCTTCTTTTTGGGTGTCTGACTTTTATGCCATTCCCTAAAGTTGATAATGCAACATATGGCTTTCTAAATTGTAATTTATCACCTGTTCTCATTGAATTTGGAATTAAATTATAGTGCCATTAACAACAGCTGCTATATAATTTTAAAGTTAAATTATAGTGTCATTAACATCGTAACATTATAATTTTAAAGTTAATTGTATAATACACCCTATCTATTTCAATATTTCAAATTAGTCCCTCAATTATCATTGTAATATCTGGCTATGTCGTCCAAACTCCAAACTGGTTGTTTAATTATGCAATCAACATTCTCATCATAGAGTCTAAGTTTGAAAGTTTAATTTCACAGATTAATCTATCTTTTTAGGTCGGAGAGGGTAATATTTAAAAGAGAAGCAAAAATCGAAATGTTTGTGTTTGGATTAAATTGCAAACAATTAAATTTCAGGAAGATAAATGATACTAGTACAATTTATATTTAAAGTAACATTTTGACATTCATTTATAACTGAGGGGGTACATGGAAATTTCAATCTAATATAAATAAACTCTCAAGTCTTAAGCCCATCCCTCCATTTGTTTGTTCTGTTTTAATGGCCATTTCTTTACTCGATAAACAGTCAGTATCAGCTCCCAAAGTTTCAATCTTGGGGGATTTGTTCAATTCCCATTTTCTGATGAACAGTCATAATCAGCTCCCAAGTTTCAATCTTCTGGAGTCAATCTCATAAAGTGCACATTTTCTTTTCTTTATTTTTTATTTTTTTCCTATTAATGCTTCACTTTGCAACAATGGCAAACAGCACCTACCACTGATAACTCCTTCCCGTTCTCGTTACAAGTCCCAAGTTAAGTAGTGGGATTCTTTCTTTCAAAATCTCCCACCAGCATTTTTGTTCTGAAAAGTATTCAGAAAGTGATTTCATAGTGAATTGCTTTTTAAGATTCTGGGTTGATATCCAAAAAATCATTTCCAACCAATTATCTGGGTTCCTTTCGTTTCAAATGATTTGAAAAGCCTCAAAATATGTTTTTCATTTTTCTTTTTTCCTTTCTCACGAGCTTTGGGAGAGAGATCTAGTACTTAAAGGGGAATCCTTTGTTCTTCATTGACGGTAAGTTGCAAGCTTTACGATTTTACTTTTACATATCTGTTTTCCCCCGCCTTTTTTTTTTTCCTGGTCATTACAGCTGATTAGTAAGTACTAAGAGTACTTAGAAATGATGGTTGTTTAATGTGTTTCTTTTGCTTGTTCTTTGTTTTGTTTGTCGATGGCTAAATTTTTAAATTGTGTCCTCTTGTTCTTCTCAGTCCCTATTTGCTGTATTTTCAACTTCCTTGTTTTGCTTCTTCATTCATACAGTTTTATACTTGCACTCTCTGTATTATTCACTCTCTGTGTTTGTGAGCCAGAACTTTGTGATTCGATGAAATTGCATCAAGTATTAATATGGGTGATTTATTAATTAGCTGATTTGCTTTATCATTTAACTTGGTGAGCATATCTTTAAGGCCTTCTTTTTTCCTTTTTTTGTTTTTTTTTTGGTGGTAAACAAATGCCTTCCTAGGAAAGTTAGCAAATGGAGAAGATGAAAGAAAACGTTATTATGTTTGGATCTTTTTTAGTATGTTTTTTGTGTTCTTTATATTGAGAATATAAAAAGATGTATTAGAAATGTAAAAAGATATGATGGGATGTGCCCGTTATTAATATATTATTTAGAAAAAAACCATGAGAAAAAGAAAACAAACAGATTGCTTTTTGGATAGTTGAAGTGTTGAACTATGTCATACGTCATGTATGATTACAGACTTGGTTTTTACTGGTGAAGCACCCTTACATTTTATGTTGAATTCAAATTGAACTAGATGTCTTTCTTTTTAGGTACTCTGATTGTTGGACGAAAATGGTATCTGGCCTCAACTTTGAATTCTCAAAGAGGACTCACATTTTCCACCTTAGGGTGTGGGTTTTGGTGGCCATCTTCATCGGAATTTTCTGCGGAACTATTTTGTTGTTGTTGCCATTTTGTCTTTCTCGTAAAAAGTCAAAGAAGAAAGGTAGCCTGCAAGCCGCTCTTCCCGTTACCCAAATTCCTGCTGTATCCAAGGAAATCAAAATTGACCAGCAACAACCCATCGTGAAGCATTATGTATCATCGTCCAATGACATGGATTTACTTGCACTAGCTCTTCAGGAGAAGTTCAATGAAAAAGATTCGGTTAGGTTGTTGAGCAGCGAGAAGGCCGGAAATGATGCTGATAATAGCAGTCAATCTGATTATTTTAATACTTTGGAGAAGGATGGGAATGTCGAATATGAATCAGGGGAGAAAAGGGGAGTGATGTACCATTCACATCCTGTACATGTTGCTTCTCCACTATCAGGTCTACCCGAGTTTTCTCATCTTGGTTGGGGCCATTGGTTCACTCTAAGAGATCTTGAGATTGCGACAAACAAATTTTCGAAACAAAATATTATAGGTGAAGGTGGATACGGAGTGGTTTATCGTGGTCAATTAATCAATGGGACGCCCGTGGCTGTCAAGAAAATACTTAACAACATGTAAGTCCTTTTTTGTTAAATGCGTTATGACTATGTGTAAAATCTCCAAAAAATGACATTCAAAGGTATATAACTGTGTTTTTAATTTTATATATACATATATACATACATATATATATATATTTAGTTTCTTGAATTGTTTTAGTGCCCAAGCAGAGACTCATGTTTTTGAATTCTTTTCTTAAATGCTTCAGTGGCGAAGCAGAGAAGGAATTCAGGGTAGAAGTTGAGGCTATCAGCCACGCTCGCCACAAAAATTTGGTACGACTTCTCGGTTACTGCATTGAAGGAACGCAGAGGTAAACACCAGTCATTCTGACTTGCATCTCTTGTAATGTATGCCTGAAAATGATGCCACTTTGCTACTTAATTTACGATAATATAATCAAATTTACTTTTGAAAGTTGTTTATTGTTCTTTTTATAAAAGAACAACTAGAAAGCATACGTTTAACAGGCAAAATGAAAATTTGAGATTTTTGCATAGAGGTATTTTCACGTAATAATTTAAGCTATGTTTTTCGGCACGCTGAATGTAGGTTATTGATATACGAACACATAAACAATGGAAATCTTGAGCAATGGCTTCATGGAGCCATGAGCCATTACGGGTATCTCACTTGGGAAGCTCGAATGAAAGTTTTAATCGGCACTGCTAAGGCGTGAGTACTTCAGCTGCATTTTGTTTTCGCATCTCTAAAATCACTCATAAGTGTTTGTTTTTATGCTCAAAATTTAAGAATCTATTTGTGTACACTGGACAGGCTTGCGTATTTGCACGAGGCGCTGGAGCCTAAAGTGGTGCATCGGGATATTAAATCGAGCAATATACTGATTGACGATGACTTCAATGCTAAACTCTCTGATTTTGGACTTGTCAAGTTATTGGGTGCAGGAAAAAGTCATATCACAACCAGAGTCATGGGTACTTTTGGGTAAGTATATTTGATTTGATATGTAATGTCATATGTTTTTCTTGTTAGATGTCCGGTTGCTTGAAAGAATCATACTTTTGTTGCTGAAATGTACAGATATGTGGCGCCTGAATATGCAAACAGTGGTCTTTTGAACGAGAAAAGTGATGTTTATAGCTTTGGAGTGGTTTTGTTGGAAGCCATTAGTGGACGAGATCCTGTTGATTATGGCCGCCCTGCTCCTGAAGTATGATCTGTTGCAATTGTCCTTGTGCCACATTACATTTGGCAATCCATGTTGTATTCTGGCAACATTATGTAACCGAACCGTCTCACCTTTGATTTCCTTCTTTTTGCCCTCAGGTAAATTTAGTTGACTGGCTCAAAATGATGGTTGGCAGCAAACGCTTCGAAGAAGTTGTTGACCCAAAGATTGAAACCAGGCCATCTACGACAGCCCTAAAACGAGCCCTTCTAACAGCTTTGAGATGTGTGGATCCAGACGCTGAAAAAAGACCGGTCATGAGTCAAATAGTTCGCATGCTTGAATCAGAAGATTATCCGATACTACGCGAGGTTTGCTTTATGCCCTAATATCTTTTAGGGTCTTTCCAAGTTTCCTGTAGCTCGCAGCAGTAGCTGGGTCTACTTTAAGTTAGTTAGAATGTGATACGTCTGTTCAAATAATCAGGGTCGCAGGAAACGAATGGAACAAGCCGATGCACTGGAAGCTGGATCCGAGAAAAGGAAGGAGAAAAAACAAACATTATGAAGGAAAAACTGACATCGGAGCCACAGAGATGAGGCAACCAGCAGTAAAAACACAGTATGAGTAGTAATTCTGGTTCATGCCAAAGCAAATCATGCAGGCGAACAAAAGATAGATAAATTAGGATGATTTGTGTATAACTTCTTACGTTCAAATGTCAAAACCATCTACTACTGTAGGTGAATATTGATTGGGCAGTAACCATATGGACGCGCACACAAAAGTGAAAGAAAAGTCTGTACAGGCCTTTGTCCATTATGTATATATGCTTTCCCGTCGTACATTATATGTAGTTATTAATCACTGAAATTTTTCAGTTAATTGAGATCTATCTAGATCCTGGTCAGACATATTGAGCCTTTGTTTGAAAAATTTTAGGATGAAGAAGTTGTTTGGTGAGACTAATTATGTATGGAGATGTATATGACATTTTGGGTGTAGGAATAACGTTGACTGTATTTGTACTGTTGTAATTTTACCGGATGGAAAAGATTGAAAAAAACTTTGACCTGAAGAACAAGAATAAAAAGGCGTATAATAATATAATTGTTCCTCTCTTTGGTTTGGTGAGAGGAAAATAAGGCATTGATGAAAGAGAAGGACACCACATGGAAGGAGGGACCAACGGAGTATCACTACACTACACGTGGGTGGTGTAATTGTCTATGGTGTTTGCACCTTAAAAACAAACCATTCCTCTTTCTTCTTATAATTAGTTCTTCCTATTTTCCCTTCTTACGCAAATATAAATAAATATTCTCTCTGTCCTCTAAAAAAATATTATAGATAAAAATATTGTATTATAAACCCTAAAGCGATAGATAAAAGTAAATGGAGATAGTATTTCACATTAAATTCTTTTGAGTCAGAAGTAATACATAATAAATATTGTATTTATGTGGTTGGTATTTGAATGAATAAAATGAATTTAATTAAGGGATTCCTTGAATAATACTCCCTCTGGTCCTTATAAGAAGGCATTTTGATTTTGTCTCAATTTTCATTTAAGATATATTTTTAATTGAAAAAAAATCTTAAATATGTATTTTTACATTTGTCGTGTTTTCCTCATTGGTAGGATTTTATGTAAATCGAGTTAAGTTTTTGGGAAATAACGATAAATGTTTCTGGTTACACGTATATTTCTTTCTTCTTTTCTTTTTTTTTTTTTTTTTTGTAAAATTTGATCTAGTAACACCTTCTCTTAATTGTAGGAGTATCATCAGGTTGCATAAACTGATTTGATTTACATTATGGCGTATGCAACTTTCAACTTTCCAAATTCCAAGTAACTCTATCAACTTGACGAGTGAAGAAGAAGACTGCATAATAGAAATATGTGATAAAAGTGATATTGTAGTTATGGAATTTTTGGACAAAGAGTCAGAGATTACTTACTGCTCTCCAAATATTTTTATCATCTCCAGTGGGTTAATTACTTATCCTTATCATACCTTCTTGAATCGAGAGACAAATGAAATGACACGTCATTAGATCAGCAATAAATTTAATTGGCACGTGTCAATTTTTCACTAGCCGTTCATCAAAATATCAAAAATTAATTAATTATATTGTTACTCCTTCCATTTCAAAATGTAAGTAGAGAGATTTTTCAAAATGTAAATCGTTTTACAAATTTTAGGCAAATTAATGATTATTTTTCCAACTTTACTCCTTAATAAATGATGTCAATTTATTTTTGTTTAGTCTTGTTTATAGTTCCAACGTAATTAATGAGGGGTAAAAAAGATATTTAACACATAAATTAATTGTTGGATGATTGTTTCTTTAATTTACGTGTCAAGTTTAAAAAGACTTAAATTTTGAAATGGAGGGTAATTTTTTTTAATTCTGAAATAAGTGTCGTTTTATAATTCCGATACACTTTTTGTCCAAATTTTCAAATTTATCCTTAAGATAAATAGTAATGGAGTATTATTGACAAGTACTTATCGTAATGGGTTTAGTTGAAGATATTCTAGTAATTTATCTACTCTATTTAAGTATTTTTTAAACTGTGCGTAAATTAACTATGGCACTTATTTTCGAATGAAATGTATATAAAGTAATAATAACTACGAAATAATACACATTGAACATGACGATCTTCATATCTGATCATTAATTCCTAATTATTTCCTCAATTCAAAATAAGTACCATCTCTTTTCACACATACTAAAAAAAACCATCTTTTCGAAAATTATAGTAATATTTAAAAATGTTGAACAAGAATATTGAAAAATCTGCACAACAAGCGGGCTAAATATAGTAGTATTACATAAAATCAAAATTCAAAATTCCTCCATCCTATCACCCAACCTATCTCTGGTGTGCTACTGTACAATTTTGGACATACAGAAGAGAGGTTATGATTAAATTTTGACGACCCTTCTTCAACTTCAAAATAATTGTTCAATTTAGATATTTATTTTTACTGCAATCTGAATTACAAGTAAACTTTTAAATAAGAAAATTCATAAAATTTTAACCAACTGATATACTGGACTTTAACCATAAGCACAGGATTGATGAACACCCACATTTGAGTTTATGTTGCAACCTTTAACCCTTCATTTTTTCTAACAACTGTATTTATTAGCGTCTCCGAACATTACCTACTCTCTGTGTTCCCACAACTTGTCCGGTAAGAAGTTGAAGAAGGGAGATAATTCGACAAATTAGTTGTAGCAGAAAAAATTAGTTATAGCTTCTCCGAACATTACCTACATCGTTGTACTACTTTTAACTATATGTTAGTTTCATACTATTTTGTAGCAGAAAAAAAAAAAAAAGACTCCATATTTCAGAAATAGAAGAAGCAAATGGAAAATAAAGAAATGGCTTCAGGGAGATAATTACTAACAAACAGTAATTTTGTATTTTGTCATTTTCATCTCCACACACAGTCACACACACCCACCCAGTGGAGGAGTTCCCACCACTTCCCTAAATTATTGGTACTTTTGGTTTGGAGTGGGTAAACTCCCTCTGTCCACCCCTAAATTCCTTTTTCTTTGTCTTGGTTTTTCTATTTTTTATTTTTATTTTTTATTATTATACACTCTCTCAGTCTCATGTGACAACGTTTTTCACTCTCTCCAATTTTCTTCTTTTGCCTGTGCCAATCGTTATTTTGTTGATTAATAATGTTACCTTTTCTTGTAGTAAGTTATAATTTAATTCCAGTCATGGTAATAGTTACTCCAACACTGTATTAATAATAGTACGTACCCCATGTATGTTTATAATATTTTATTTATTTATCTTTTATGCTGTCTCCATAATTTCTCTCTCCTCTCCCAAAAATCCAATTTCCATTTTTGTTTGACTCAGCTGCTAGCTAAATCGCCGGCGATCTTCTGCTTCCCGCCCCCTTTTCCCCCTCATCGATCCAGGTTCTTCTTGTTGCTGTTTCTTCTTCTTCTTCCTTCTTTCTTAGTCCCCCTCCTTTTTTGTCTTATTTTACTTTATTTTCTTCAAAATTGCTTTGTTCTAGTTGAGCCACTTTTTAAACAGACAATCAGCTCATCATCTTCCTGCTCTTCTTGACTTGGGTTTGGCTCCAAGTTGGAAACTTTATTGGTTGTTTTGAATTGATCCATTATATGGATTGGACTCTCAGGATGATTTTTGGGTTTGCATTTTTGGGTGGTTGAGATGCAGTTTGCTCTTAGAGGAGAAACCTTTGTTCTTGCACCAGGCATGCCGTGTGGGGCCTACCTACTTTTTTAGCAAGTCCCCCTTGGTATTTTTTCCCCCTTTTTTCAACGTACAATACAGTTTCGGCTTCTGGGTAGATGATACTTGGTAGGCGATAGCTGTGAAGTTCTTCTGTGAATTTTTTCCTTCCAATATTTGATTTTTATTTCTTTTTCCCTTCCCTCAGTGGAATGTTAGGGAAAAGGGAGAGCATGATTGGGGTTTAGAGAAATTGTTTGAATGATTTGAGGGTTTTTTTTTTTTTTTTCCTGCGTTCATTTCATTTGGGGTTACTGAAGAAGCAATGGAAGCTCCGTTGGGAGGGAAAACAGCTCATCATCATTTGTATGGTCCTGTGGTGTCGGATTTGAATTTAAATTTGCAAGCAGTTGGTGTCGGTGTGGGCAAGAGGACCATGGAATGGGATTTGAATGATTGGAAATGGGATGGTGACTTGTTTACTGCTACCCCTCTTAGTCTTGCCCCATCGGATTGTAGAAGCAGGCAATTGTTTCCATTAGGGTCATCAGAGATTATACCCACAAACACTAGGGTTTCCAACAATAGTTTTTCATCTGATTCCGATGAAATTATTATTATGAGAAACGTAAATGGTGGTGATAAGGGAAAGAAGAGGAGGGGCGGTTTCGATTGCGGAGACGATGACGAAGAGTTGAACAACGATGAAGCTGCTGTTGGATCATCATCCCTTCATTTGAAGCTCGGTGGAGAAGTGTATTCTATTGGAGAAGGTAATGCTTACCCAAAGAATGGAAAGAAGACCAAAGTTATGGGGCATTCTTCGACAAGCAATCGTGCTGTTTGCCAAGTTCAAGACTGTCGAGCTGATTTGAGCAATGCGAAAGACTATCACAGGCGACATAAAGTTTGTGATGTCCATTCCAAGGCAGTAAAAGCTTTGGTTGGGAATGTAATGCAGCGGTTTTGTCAACAATGCAGCAGGTCTGTATTCATGTCATTACCATAATCTAGGCAAATGTGTGCAAGAAGGATCACCAATTCGCCTTTATTAATGTTTTTATTCTCTGATGGTTGTAAAATTGATTAATAAAATGGCTCCATTGACTTAGAAAATGATGAATGTCTTTCGATAGAAAACTATTTTTGACATGACACGATTCTTGAGGAATCTTTTCCGTTCATGGCTTTGCATTGCGTTTGTTTCATGGTTGATTTACATGATGAGGTTATCTTTGAGCAGGTTTCACGTACTTCAAGAGTTTGATGAAGGTAAGAGAAGTTGTCGCAGGCGTCTAGCTGGCCATAACCGACGAAGAAGGAAGACTCACCCAGAAAATGGAGAAACCGGTGGGATCCAGTTGAATGATGATGGGGGTAGTAATTATCTGTTAATTAGTTTGCTTAGGATTCTCTCCAATATACATTGTAAGTGCCTCATGATGAGAGGATTTTAATCTCTAACTTTTGTTAATAGAGCAAGAATGGGTTTTTAATCATTTAACAGCCGTTTCCTTTTCCATTGCTTGCAGCAACTAATGAATCGGATCAAGCAAAAGATCAAGACTTACTGTCTCATCTCCTGAGAAGCCTGGCTGGTCTTGCGGATATCCTCAATGAGAGAAATTTGACCAGCCTATTGTCAGCGTCACAAGATTTGAGGAATGCAGGGCCATCTGTTATGATTAATCCAGGAAAGGTATTGAATATGAAGGTTATTTGTCTCGGGCTATGTATTGTTTGATTTCTGACTTTTAACTTTGTCTTGTAGTCCCCTACAGCCGCATTGCCTCTCACCCCTTTGGCTGAGAAAACATTACTTAGAGACGATGATCAAAGTGGAATTGTCATGGCAAAGAGTACCAGCTTGACTAGAGAAGAATCTTTGGGTGCGACAGTTGTGAAGGCGAAGATGAATAACATTGACTTAAATAATGTATATGATGATTCTGAAGATTGTATGGAAAGTGCACAGGGTTCTGATGGCCCAATAATTTTTGGAAAAACCTCGCCTAGTTGGATGTATCAAGACCCTAACAAGTATAGCCCGCCTCAGGCCAGTGGGAACTCGGGTTCTACATCTACTTTGTCTCCTTCTAGTTCCAGTGGAGAGGCTCAGGTATGATTATTGTTATTTTTTCCGTTACGTGCAATAGTGGCAACCGAGCCTTGTTTTGTGTTCGTGGATCAAACACTTTGGAAATAGTTTTGTCAGTCTGGGTGCCAATTTTGTTTCCAAAGACGTAATTAGCTCATTTTTATGAGTCAATTTTTAGGGCTGGTTTCGTTTGTTTTTCCCGCCTAAAGAAGGTAACAATTTTTCGGCTAGGTTTTCAACCATGTTATTGTGTCCTGTCACAAATTGCCACTCCTCTTTTATAACATTCTTGCTTTCAGTGTAGGCATCGTCTGTCTGGTTTCAAAGAGTGAGTTTTTGTTTTTCCAAATGCTTTTAGAGAGTTACAGTCTGGTACTAAAGGACCTGAAATTGTTCTTCACTAACAATTTTCCAATTGTTGGACTTCTAGAGTCGGACTGATCGAATTGTGTTCAAACTCTTTGGAAAAGATCCAAGTGATTTTCCTAATGTCCTCAGGCAACAGGTATAGTTTGTTGGTTGATTGATTGCAATTATTTTACTACTAAGTCTCTCTATCTATCATGACTTCACATTTGTAATCTCACTGCAGATTCTTGATTGGTTATCAAACAGTCCTACTGACATTGAAAGCTACATTAGACCTGGTTGTGTCATTTTAACAGTCTACTTACGGATGGATAAAGGCAAGTGGGATGAGGTGAGGCATACAGAGCTAAATTTTTGGAAATCATCTTGATATGAGGTTTTATTTCAGAGCATCCTTTTCAGTTATATAGATATCACATTTTCTGATTAGCTTTTCTGTCGCGCAGCTATTTTTTGATTTTAGCGATAGATTGAATAAACTTCTTGCGTTGGGGGATTATTTTTGGAAAACGGGATGGATATATACTCGTGTGTTGCATCGAGTGGCTTTTATATACGATGGTTTGTTTCTTTGTCCATTTTGTTTTTTCTTTTTTTTTCCTCCTATAAATTCTGGTGCCCTTATCATTTCAAAGCAATGGAAAGACAAAATTCTTTGATGCATTCAGGCCACATTGTACTAGACACACCATTGCCGCATCAGAAGGTTTGCAGGGTAGTGACTGTTAAGCCAATTGCTGTTTGTGCTTCGACTGAAGTGGAATTTTCAGTTAAGGGGATCAATTTATCTTTTTCTACAACAAGGTATCCGTTGATATGGTGATTTCTTAGCTTGATTAAACTCTGGAGAGTTTGTTAAGTCTTGACATTGGTGATTGTTATTTGTATCAACCATTTCAGGTTGTTATGTGCAATAGAGGGAAAATACCTGGTCCATGAGCGGTGTGCTGATGCATATGATGAGCATGCTGAGACACGGATTCTTAGCTTCACTTGCACAATACCTGACGTTACAGGAAGGGGATTTATAGAGGTATTCGTTGATTTTTTTTAGTGGTCTTCAAGCACTATGCTTTTTGTGAAATACAAGCTTTTCCTGTTTCTGATTAACTGGCGCCCTTTTGAATAGATTGAGGATCATGGATTGAGCAGCAGCTTCTTTCCATTTATAGTCGCAGAGACGGATGTTTGTTCTGAAATTCGTACACTTGAGAGTATCATTGAGGCTGTTGAACTGTCTGCTGGTGATGGTTTACAAGGAAGCAATGAAAGCTTAGAAGCCAGGGATCTGGCACTGGACTTCATACATGAGATGGGCTGGCTCCTTCACAGATATCGGTTGAGGTCGAGATTAGGTCACTTGCATCCTAACTCGGGCAATCCATTTCCTTTCCAACGGTTCAGATGGCTCTTGGAATACTCAATGGAACATGATTGGTGTGCAGTAGTTAAGATGCTTTTGAATGTACTGTTCAGCAACGACATAATTAAGAATGATGAGAACGAGAAACACTCTACTGTGGAAGAGGCATTACTGGACGTTGGATTGCTTCATAGAGCTGTTCGGAGAAATTGTAGATCAATGGTTGAAGTGTTACTAAGATACCGTCCGATTGGAGGTTTGAATACAACTGGTTCAGCTGCTGCACAGAACTATTTATTCAGGCCTGATGCAAAAGGCCCCGGGGGATTGACTCCCCTTCACATAGCCGCTGGTCGTGATGGGGCTGAACATATATTGGATGCATTAACAGATGATCCTGGAACGGTGCGGCTCTTTATATATATATATATATATACATATTTAATGCTTTTGACATTAAGTAGGAACTCCTGCATTACACTAGAAAGAATTTAAGCCAAAAATTGACTAGGAAAACTGATAAAAACTAAGTACTGTAAAATCAATAGTATCTCTGTTAAACCGCAGAGTTTCGCTAAATTTTAATAAATTGCATCTTGTACTACATGAGTCCCAAAATGATTTGTTTGTTTGTTGCACTATTTTAGTATAACTAACCGGACAATCATTTTAAGACAGAGAGTATATGAAATATGAGTTTTATGTTACTCATTTGAGACATTTCTGGATGCTTCGTTTTATTTCAGGTGGGACTTGAAGCATGGAGAAGTGCCCGGGACAGTACAGGATTGACGCCAAATGATTATGCGTGCTTGCGAGGGCACTACTCTTATATCCATTTGGTACAAAAGAAAATTGGTAAAATGTCTGCACACAAAAAGCCGCATGTCGTCGTTGACATTCCTCCGGAGAACACCATCACGAAGCAAAAAGCAGATAGTGACTTTAAGTCAAAGAATAAAGTTGTGACCGGCCTTGAGACAGAGATGACTCTGGCAAGACCAAGTCAAGCAGCAAGCTGTCGGCAGTGTGAGCAAAAACTGGCATACGGAAGGATAAGAACCTCGCTATCCATTTATAAGCCCGCAATGCTCTCCATGGTGGCCATTGCAGCAGTTTGCGTGTGTGTCGCCTTATTGTTCAAGAGTTCTCCTGAAGTGGTATATGTGTTTCGTCCGTTCAGGTGGGAAAATTTGGAGTATGGATCTAGCTAAATATATAGGAGGAACAATAAATCCTGGTCGTTTTGTTTTTGTTGCTGCCAGTTGGGTGGCTAGGTTCTTAACAAGCATTCCGGGGAACATAGTGTGATGTTCTGTATCCATCTTATTATATACATAAATATATAATATATAAATATAGAAGATATATGTATGGTTTGTTTACCTACCTACAGTGTAGAAGGAGCTTCTGTACATTTGTTAATGTAACTTGATGATTATGAAGTGTTATTATTTAACCGTTTTATAGGCAGAGAGGAATTAATAATATTTACTGTCTTTATAGGGGGTTTAAGGAAAGAGTCTCATTTCCTCCTTTTATTTTCTGTTAGGGGAAATGACAACTTTAATGTCATTCCATCTGCTTCTGTTGTGAGGGGGCTTTGTATGTCAATGAATTTGTGAGATCTGCCATTTTGTTGTATTGGTCTCTAATGACATTTTAAAATCCCTTTTGTTGAGCAATGTTGTTTTGCCATGACACTAACAGAGTTAAAACATGCTGACCAAACCTGCCTTTCCACCAAGGAGGTAAAAGCACCATTTTCAGTTGGAATTAGTATTTTGGTTGCCTGGCGTGTCACTAATGACCGACTCAACAACCTTGTTAACTGCAGGCAGGCTGTGTCTGTAAACACGAAATTCGTTTTGAAAGACGTTAATAATTTTGTTCTTAAAAAAAACTCTAGATGGATATGGATATTTTACGTTGTCAGCATCAGTGTCTAACTCCGAAGCTATATCCCATCCATTTTCTGCGAAAAGAGAGAAGTCACACTTTCTACTATAGGTATAGAATATAAGATAGTACTATAGTAGAGTAGAGTAGAAGAAGAATCAGAATGGGAAGCGCAACTACGCCCTTTTCACTGTCCTCCTCATCCTGTCTTCTTCCCCGAGTTCAATGGAGAAGCAATCTCAGGCGCCGGTTCAACTCCAACCCCTCTTCTTCTTCTTCTTGTGCCTCATTTCAGTCTTTGGTAATCCGCTGCGCTGCGTCATCATCCACTACCGCTGCAGCACCGCTTAAGAAGAAGAGGCATTGGAAACAAGGGGAATACAAAGGCTTCATTCTTCACCCAGATTTCTCAACAACACTTGACCATAATAGCAACAAGGGTGGCGGCAGCAGGAGGAGGACCCCCATCAAGAACATTGCTAAGAAATTGGATAAGAAAAACAGTGCCAGTGCCTGGGTCAACACCGTCACCGAATCCCTCTCTGATTCCATTGATAAGAAACAATGGCTGCGCGCCCTTGAGGTAATTTCCCCTATTCTGATTTTACCCATATTCAGCAGCCCCATAAGTTATACTGCAAGTTTTTGTCTTTTCTCCGAGCCTCAGACTTATGTGTGGATCTGTAAGCTTCTCTGTCTATTGCTGGAATTTTATACCAGGTTCCTCGTATTGTTATTGAAGCAGGTGATGGATTTGCTGCCATTTGGCATTAAAAAACGTGGTCTTTTTCTTTGGTGACGTTGTTTAATTGAGTTTCTCTCTTCTATCTGGCATAAAAATCTGATCTTTTTTAGCTTTTGGGGCAAACATTTCAAGGTGTTTGAGATGTTAAGGGAGCAACCTTTTTATCAGCCCAAAGAAGGGACTTACTTGAAGCTGCTCGTCCTTCTTGGGAGATCTGGTCAACCTGATCGAGCCCGCAAGCTGTTCGATGAAATGCTGGAGGAAGAGCTACAACCAACACCTCAACTCTACACTGCGCTTCTCTCTGCATACTGTAGAAGCAACATGATCGAGGAGGCTTTCTCGGTTCTTAATCATATGGCAACCATTCCTCTTTGTCAACCTGATGTTTACACTTACAGTGTATTGATCAAGGCTTGTATCGACGACTGTCGCTTTGAGATGGTCGAATCTCTCTATCAACAGATGGCTGAAAGACTAATTGCACCTAATACTGTCACTCAGAATATAGTTTTGAATGGTTTTGGTAAGGCAGGGAAGTACGAGCAGATGGAGAGAGTGCTTTCAGGAATGCTTGAGAGCTCCGCGTGCAAGCCTGACGTGTGGACTATGAATATCATTCTCAGTTTGTTTGGGAACAGGGGTCAGATTGAGATGATGGAAAGGTGGTATGAAAAATTCCGGGATTTTGGCATTGAACCCGAAACACGCACTTTTAACATTCTAATAGGTGCTTATGGGAAGAAAAGGATGTATGATAAAATGTCATCTGTGATGGAATATATGCGTAAGCTTGCATTTCCCTGGACAACTTCAACTTACAACAATGTAATCGAGGCGTTTGGTGATGCTGGTGATGCTAAACACATGGAATGGACATTTGATCAGATGCGGGCCGAGGGTATGAAGCCAGATACTAACACATTTTGCTGCTTAATAAAAGGTTACGCCAATGCTGGCCTTTTTCATAAAGTTATCAGCTGTGTTCAGTATGCTGGAAAGTTGGAAATACCAGAGAACACTACCTTCTACAATGCTGTTATATATGCTTGCTCAAAGGCTGAAGATTTGATAGAGATGGAGCGGGTTTTTATGAGAATGAAAGGCAAGCAAATCCATCCCGATTCCATTACTTACTCCCTTGTGATCGATGCCTACAAAAGGGAAGGCATGAATGACAAAGCATATGAGTTGGAGTTGGAGCAAGAAAAAGAGATGATAAGGGTTAGTAGTCATGAAGGTGGCCAAGATATTGAATCAGAACTGATGAGACCATAGTTGATTCTTGATTGGGATTCTGAGTTGTGGACCAATTTCTTCAGTCTACCTCATGGGTTTTTGTGGACGATTGATTATTGCATGGGATGCCAATCTTCTTCGATGGGAAATTAATGTGAACAGAAAAATCTCTACCTCTCACTGCACGATTTCTAGAGCAGTACCAATGTTCAACTGTTTTAGAACATCTGTTGTACATACGAGCACTTATTTTAGTAGCCTGCAGATCATATTTTCTTGAGGTCAACTAGTGTGTTTATTATATATACATTAACCTTGAGAGATGCTGCATTGACTTGATTGTAAGTTTGTAACTGGGAGGGAGGAGGCCATTACAGAAAAAAAGAGGTCTATGTTTGATGTTAGAACTCGACACTAAAGTGATACCATGAGAGGTTCATGCAACATTCATTTGATACGTGCATCTTCCTTTGTAAAAATAAATATGATGCCTAAAGGCTCTAAGCGACTAAGGGTGTGCTATGAACAATCTGACAGCAGAAGAAATGAGAGAGGTAGTTCCATCCTGACAGGTTAGTCCACATTCCAGAGTATTCCCACATTCCATTGGCCTTTTTCATCTAAAATCTTAAAAACTGAGAAGGTAAATCATCAAAGAGAAAAAAAAAAGAAAAAAGAAAGGAAATGAAATCGTGATAAAGTAGTGACAATAAACTGAATAAATTGTAGTCTGGTGCAAGAGATGACATGAATTTTGAAAACATTGTGCACCCTCAGTTACTACTACTATTTAAGTAAAACTAAAAAGGTCAAAAGGGAAGAACAAAAATAGTGGACATAAAAATAAAGAAAGCAAAGGTGAATAATTTGCAATTCGTCTGTTGAATCAGGCTCGAGGCTTATCCCATTTAAGAGGCTTCACCACTTCCCAGGTGAAGTCCGGGTCATCTCGGCCAAAATGCCCATAGGCAGCAGTCTTCAGGAACCTATTGTTACCCCCTCTGTTGAGGTCCAGGTTAATAGCAATCATTCCGGGCCTGAAATCAAAGTTCTCCTTTACAATCTCGAGAATTTCTTTGTCAGGGATCTTTCCAGTTCCATATGTATCCACAAAGACAGACAAGGGTTCTGGGACACCAATGGCGTAAGATACTTGCACAATGCACCTCCTAGCTAGTCCATTGGCAACAATGCTCTTTGCAGCTTGCCTGACAATGTAAGCTCCGCTCCTGTCCACCTTAGTTGGATCCTTTCCAGAGAATGCACCGCCACCATGAGCACCCCATCCTCCATAAGTGTCGATGATGATCTTGCGGCCAGTGAGACCAGCATCGCCATGGGGTCCACCGATGACAAACCGGCCAGAAGGGTTCAGGTGGAAAATAGTCTTCTCATCCAAGTACTTCTCGGAGATCACAGGCTTAATGACATGCTCTTTCAAATCAGCAGCAATCTCATCATTGGTAACGGTCTCGTCATGCTGAGTGGAGATCAAGACAGTATGAACCCTAAGGGGAACCATGGCACCGTGCTCATTGTAATACTCAACTGTAACTTGTGTTTTACCATCTGGTCGAAGCCAAGGGCAAGTTCCATTTTTGCGAACCTCAGTGAGGCGAGCTCCAAGCTTGGTTGCAAGAACATGACTGAGGGGCATCAATTCAGGGGTCTCATCGGTGGCATAACCAAACATGTGTCCCTGATCACCAGCACCAATTTCCTGGGGGCGCTTAGTGAGATGACCGTGGACACCCTGCGCAATATCAGGGCTCTGCTGTTCAATGTTCATGAGAACTTTGCAGTTGTCAGCATCCAAACCGACAGCATCCGATGTGAATCCAATGGAACGGCAGGTGTCGCGCACAACCTTCTCGTAGTCTACTTGACCTTTAGTGGTGATCTCACCAAAGACCATAACCATGTTGGTCTTGGTACAGGTCTCACAAGCGACCTTGCTCTCGGGGTCTTGAGCCAAACAGGCATCAAGAACTGCATCTGAAATCTGGTCACAGAGCTTATCGGGGTGTCCCTCATTGACTGATTCGGAAGTGAACAAGAAGGTCTCCATTTAATTTGAAGCTAAGCTGCAAACAAGAATTTTATGTATTTGAGTAAGATTCTGTCAGAAATGGGAAAAACAGTGCAACTAAACAGAATCATCAAATTGGGATTCCTGTGATAGAAAGCCTTGTTTTAACATACAGAACAGATTAATATAATATTAACCAGAAAAAAAAGAACATATGCCAAAAAAGATCCCGACTTTATCAATGCCATGGAAGTAATACAGGGATCGCTCATGACTGGAACTACAGAACCAAAAACATTGAGAACTGGGAGTGTCACACGAAGCCTTATTTTGACACACACATTTTGACTGAAGATGAATAGTAATGAGCTCCTAGACTTTAGGTAATCAAACCCAATAATCCTCTTGTCCTTGCGTAAGGAATAGATCATCATTAGTGCCTGAAGTAGAACTGAAGCATACAATGAAAACTAACACTGCCATACAATATAAAGAAAGAAAATGCGGTCGTCAAAGATCTTTACTTTACAGAAAACAGAAAGCATTATAAAGGATCCAAGCAAAAATAATTGAAACAAAGCAAGAAAATGAACTGCGCGTACATTTGCAGAGATAACAGACAAGAATCAAAGAACACCGACGAAGAAATGGCATCTAAGAAACAAAAAACAAAAATATGGAAGAAGAAATCAAGTGCAATTATAATAAATTAATAATAAGAGGAAGAAAACAAAGAATCAGATCGGAAGGAACTCCAGAAAACTAATAACGAACAATACAGTATCATGGTTGAAAACTGTACTACAACTAAAGCCAAGCAAAGCCTAACCTCATTTAATCTTGCTACAAACTCACTAAATAGCTAGCAAGCAAGGAGGCCAACTCAATTGCTGACCAAGTTGTAAAGAATCTCATGAAGACAATAATAACAAAGAGGAAGAAGAGATGCAGTGAATTATGAATACCTATGCTCTGCAGTTCCAGTAGAAAGGGAAAGAACAAGAGGAGGGGTGGAGGCGGTGTTGAAAAAAATGCGTGCTTTTTTATATAAAGAAGGGACTGGAGAGAGTTGAGACCGCCTTCACCTTTTCTTCTCTAATTGTTTTTTTTTTTTTTCGGGAATTATCCGTTACTATAAAAATTACTCACTTACAGTCATTTAGGACAGTTTTATCTTTCTTCTTCCTATTCTTCTCCTTTCTTCTTATCCAACCTCAAACCAAAATATAATAACAAGAATAATAACAATAATACAGATACAATAATTAACACTAAATTAAATTGGATTTACATAAACAACAATTATTAATACTACTCATTTAAATTTAATTAAATTTAAAAAATATAAAAAAAGATTAATATTACTCATTTAAAAAAAACTAATTATTGAAAAATGTTAATAAATAACTTAAATGAATATAACACAAAAAAATTAAAAAAATAATAAAAAAATTCTGGTCAGGGGTAGCTGGCCTAAAATCGGCTATCCGTGGAGGCTAGCTGGCTCGAAATCGGGTACCCAATGAGAGGTAGCCGATCCGGAACCAGCTACCCGGGGAGAAGTAGCCCGATAGTCGGTTCTGGATCGACTACCTCTCATTGGGTAGTCGGTTTCGGGCCAGCTGGTCCTCCACGGGTAGCTAATTTTGGGCCGGTTATCCCTGACCATAATTTTTTTTCCTTGTTTTCTAAAATTCTGGGTAAAAAAAAATACTTGAATTGAGGCCGAATTTTTCGATGGTTGATTCCCTTCTTGTGCTATTTTTTTAGACTCTACAGTGTTGTCAATCTGAGTTTGACATTTTGATTTTTTTAGTTTTTTCCTTGAGAGTTGAGGAAAAAGAGGAAACAATTTGATAGTTTGAAGAGAAGAGAAGGAATTTGTAATTGTTAGGGACAAAATTGTTGTAATGAGTGTGAATGAATAATTTTTATAATTGCAAATAACAACGCCCATTCACAATCTTGTCTACATTCATCATCTAATTATTAGTTTTTAATAATTATTAGTTTAAACTACAGAAATTATTAGTTTTTCATATTTTAATATTGTTGATATATCTCCATTTGAGATTTTGATTTACCACCAACCCTCTCTTCTTCTTCTTTATTCCTTTAGTAAATCATACTTACTTGACGAGATTCTTTTGATTTGCCTACACCACAGTTTGAGGATAAAAAAAGGGAACTTGGCACAAAAAAAATGCAAAGAGCATATCTTCTTACTTTACACTTGACAATAGAGAGCAGCAGTGCCGGTGTCGGTGCCAGTGAGGACGCGTTTTCAACGGGTGATTGCTATTTGCCTTTCAAAAACAACGTGGTCGCTCAATCGCAAGTCGAAAAATAAGCCCTTCAGTGGAACAATTTTATTTGGTAGTGATGTTGATGTAGTCATTGCATGCTCAGAATTAAAATGATTATAGAGGTATTCAGAATGAACTTTGAACCTATTTTTGAGGGCTTCGTTAGTGACTAATTTTAGAGGTAATTCATTGTTCAAGATTGGGTTCTTTCCTTCCATTTAACTTCAAAGATGGGCTTTTTTTTTTATTTTTTTTAATCACTGAAAATTTCCAACAAAATGTAAAGTACGGATTGGATCATCGATTTTTGCCTCTTTGCGTTGATGTCTTCTTTGTTTTTGAGGGGGCTGATTGTGTGCTTTGGTGATGTATTATCACGTTTCTCTGAGATTCAGCTGTTCTTCAATATTCTTTTCCTCGTCCCAGTAGCTCCAATGTTCATATTGGCCATAAAACTATGACAATTTCCTCATTGGGGTTTTTAATTCTAGTAACTATCATGCTGCATTTGGTTTCTTTATATCTTCTGAAACTGTTTATAGCTCTCTTATTGCACATATATAAACTACGTTTATTTGATTCATCCACAATTCAATTCCTGTGATTCTACTGCTTGTAGCTAGCCTCCAATTCTTCTTTAGAGACCATCACATATTCCATGAATAGTAACTTCTGCTTCCACAATGCATTTGTCCTTCACCAGAAGACCATTACTTGGAAGATTGAAATAAGCTTGAGAAACGAATCTCGGCCAACCGCAAGCTGGATTTGAGGCACTGAACCAGTAATTTGCTGCATAAACATTGAAACACTCAGCCGATTATTAGTTTGATTCCATTTTTAACCATTTCTCACTTCTAAAAAAAAATGCATTCTAGCCTGGTCTATTTCAAGAAGGACCTAGTCTAACTCTACCTTTGCCAAAGTAATTTTTGGCATTGATTTGGTCTATGATGCGCAATGTGAAGTCCACATATATTTGCGAAGTTGAAGAAAGACTGGTAGGATCAGCTAAAGCCAGATACAAAGATATGTTATTTCCTGTGCCACTGCCTTTTCCTTTAGGATATAACTGGATTTTCCTGCACAGAATCAATGGATTTATATTTCAGGTTGAATAACTTTAGGTTTGAATCTTTCAATTCATAGCTGCTGGTTCTTACCATTTCTGCTCCCCTGCATGAAATGGCTTAGATTCTTCAGGTTTGTCAGTTAAACTAGAGAAACTCTCGATTTTCCAGCTGTGTTTATAGCTTATGGCATCCTTCATCATCATTAGGCTTTCCCCTTTTGTCCTTGTGTTGTTTTCCTTGCATATGTACACTTCCACACCAAACATGCACCCGTCGTTGACAAGATATCCATTGGAAGGATCACTAAATGTTTTTGAAGGCATCAGCCTATCAAAACCCCACTCAGGCTTCAGTTTGTGGAAACGCCTTGCTTTACCTACTTTATCAAAAGTATTGATAGTATTGTTAAGGGAAACGAGTACTGAATACAGGCAGAACTTTATTTTGTTATATTGTTTGGCTCCCTGTTTTATGTACCTTCAAAAGTTAGGTAATTATCCTTGTTCTGATCAAGTAAAAACATCTTGAAAACCGCATGGATTTCCAATCCAGGATGAAAGAAACTTTCTTTGTCGATCATCAGGTACAGGGATAGACTATCTGATGCATTTTTTGCTTTGTTTCCATTAGGGTATATTACCAACTTCCTGAAAACATTGGAAGACACATCATCTAAATTGGAGTTGATGAAGATAAAGGGGAGAAACATTGGCAGGTATATGGTGATCTAGATAGAATGCGCAAACGTACCATTTGTAGCCTCCAGCTTCAAAATTTCCAGAAATGTACTTGTCTACGTTGTTCTTTGCGAGCAATGAGAATGACTGCAGTTTCACAATGTAATGAATGGGTGGTGAATCTGTAGTAGAGGTCAAGATCCCTGCACGAATACATAAAAAATCCCATTCGCGCGCGGCGAAGTTAGCTGCATCGTGTACGGGAATAGGCTTCGAAGAAAAGGCTTTTCATTCCTTGCTGCAAAAGATCAATTAATGAAAGCTTACCATCGTGTTCACTGAAGACAAGGTCTGCCATGGCAAGGAAATGGATGGAATGATGTAGAAAGCGATGAAGGAAATCGCTGCACAATCCATCCATTTATGCAAATCTTCCGCCTCAATGACCGGAGAAGTGGAAGCATCTGTTCTTTTCTTGTTAATTTAATTTGATGACCCAAGCTGATTGTGCAATTTATTCCAAACTCTTGACTTGAGCTAAGATGTCCTCCCAAGTTTTGTTTTGTGAGTAGTCTTAAACTTTAGGGGAAAGCGAGTTTGGCAATTCATCCTCCTTATTTCACTTATCCCAACCCTCATTTCCATCTGTTTTGAACATCGTGAATGCCAAGTTTAAGCTAACCTATGTTTTAGCTAAAATTTGAATAATTTAAATTTTAAGTACGATGATAAGCACCGTAAATGGTAAACGAAATGTGTATTACTAGATGACCATGCAATATCATTTATTTATTTGAACCGCAAGAAAGTCCCTCTATTTTTACTCTTATAAATAGTAGTTACTTTATTAAAGTAGAGGATGATCATATTACCTATATGCAATGGCCAATAACATCAAAATGTTAATATATATTTTGGCACATTGACCTGATCCAGAACACACCAACCAACCAACAAAACCCGGAGCCTGCCTAGCTACATTGTTTTGACTTGATCTGCGGATCAAGCCTCACTCATTTGGGTTCCAGAATCACAATCACAGTCACAAATCAAAAAAGTTAACCACCAGAACACTAGCAGAGAATCATATAGTCACTGTCTTTGTTGCTTTTTTTGGTGTTGAAATAGATATTTTATGGCCTCACTCATTTGGGTTCCAGAATCACAATCACAGTCACAAATCAAAAAAGTTAACCACCAGAACACTAGCAGAGAATCATATAGTCACTGTCTTTGTTGCTTTTTTTGGTGTTGAAATAGATATTTTATGTATGAAGAGGAGTAACTTTTTTTTTTTTTTTTGAAAATGAAGAGGAGTACTGGAAATGGAAGTAATTCAGGATTGGGAACACAAGCATATGGAGAGGCATGGTACTGGGACAAGCGCTATTCACAACACCATGATGATGATGATGATGATGATACAGTTGCTTTTGATTGGTACCAGAAATATCCCTCTTTAGCTCCACTTTTTCACTTATACATTCCTCCACTTGATGGCCAGCTTCACCTCCTTGTTGTTGGCTGTGGCGATTCTGGTCGGACCCTTTTTTCCTATTTTTGTTATTCATCTTGTCTCGTTTTGAGCCCCATTCTTTTTTTATTTGTTTATTTATTTTTAGGTGCATTTGATCTGTCCTTGATCATGTGTTGTATAAGTTGATGGATCAATTGAATGAAACACATGGGTTGGGTTGATTTCATTATCTTCCTTCTGAGATAAGGTGATTTTTATTTCTCCTTCTAAAAAGATACAGGATTTAGCAGTGATCTCAAGCATGCGTCTTTCAGGTGTATTTTAGAAACCAATTTGAATTTGCAAATGATGTTGCTTTAGCAGTCTTTTTTCTTCAGTTTAGGGGGCTCAATTCACATTTATATATCTGGATTAGGAGATATTTAACTAATTAATCTTTCTTTCTTCTGCTGATTTTTTTCAGCCTTGAGTGAAGACATGGTCAACGATGGTTATTGTAACATTTTCAACGTTGATATATCTGCTGTTGTGATTCAAGCAATGCAAAAGAAGTACTCCAGTTGGCCACAACTGAAATGTAAAAGCTCTTTTAAAACCTTTCCTTTTTCTTTCTTTCTAGATGTATAAGAGTCTATGATTCATCATCTTCACTATTTAATCTCATTATTGTGTTTGCTGACTAAATTCTACTGATTTGCCTTGCCTTTCTGCAATTACTAAATGTTGATATGCTCCGCATGATCTTGTCCGATACATCCTTGCCAAAATCGCTTCTCTCTTGTGAATTTTAACTTGTCGTTATATTCCTTGGTTACATGACTTACATCTTAACCAGTTATGCAGATGGATGTCAGGGATATGAGTGCCTTCGAAGCTGGTTCCTTTGATGCTCTTATTGATAAAGGTGCAGTACATCAGTTCCTTTCAAGAATGCTCAGTTCTCAATCAGCTCTAACTTTTCAAGGTCATTAGCTAATATTTTTTCTTTCAATGAACTTCCTCTAGGGACTTTGGACTCCATACTGGTGAGTACAATATGAATGTTGAAGACAGAAATCTAATATTCAAAGATGATCAGTGATGTAAATAACTACGCTCTCATAATGGTCTCCAGTGTGGGGGCGATTCGCAGGAAAATGCTGGCAAGATGCTGAAGGAGGTTGAAAGGTACATGAAAAATCGGTTTTCGCCTTTACTGCCTGACCTTCCACATATCCTTGAGATCGTGTGCATTGAGCTGGCCTTCTTTTTGACTTTTTTTCTTTTGAAAAAATATCTGTTTACGTATTGAAGTAGTTATGACAAAACTGTGATAGGGTCCTAAAGGATGGTGGCATATATTTCCTGGTAAGTTTCTTTCTAACTTTTTCGGAAAATGAGTTTTAGGTCTGGTTCTCCCCATTGACTCGTGATGATTGTTTGTTATTTTAATGCCCTGTAGATTACATATGGAGCTCCAAAGTATCGCCTCAACTTATTGAGAAACTCTTACCCGTGGACAATTAAGCTACATGTAATAGGTCGTCAATTTCATTTCTTCATGTTACTTTCAAGGAATTCCGCAGATGCGCCATTAAGGCTTCTAAAACTTCTCGGACAGTAGTTTCAATACATGACCCTGTTTCCTGCGTACAGATAAATTTTCTTCATCTGAAAGTTCAAAACACAAAGCATCAGATCTGACCTCTCCTGTTCTACTGGATGATAACAGCAGCTCTTTGGATTCTGTTTTGGGGAAAAATCGGGAAGTCCACTATATCTATGTCTGTATGAAGGTTGGTACTCGGTACCAGATACTTTCCTGAGTTTTCTCTTAATATTTTGTCCACTATATCTTGAAGAACTCAGTTAACCGAACAGAAAAAACTCAACAGTGATTAGGGAATCAAATAGAAGACCTCTTTTTATCACGATGATTCTGATATGCAGGATAAGAAGCACATGGCAACCACTTGAAGATGTTGCTTTAAAGTTTTGACATTCTACAGCCATACTTAAGGGTATCTTTAGCAAACAATTGTTCTACTTGATTATTTTTCTGATGTAGTCGTCATCACCCAATGTTGAAGGTGATGATGAAGGTCAACTGTTAACATTTCAAGTTTTGTCCTCTTTTTCAGTGTTGGAATTATTGAAATTCTGAGCAATTCTGACGTCTTAAAACATGATATGAACACAAAGCCAAGCTATTGATTACGGACTTCATTAATTCTATATACACAACTAGCTCGAATATAACTCGTAACTTTCTCCACACCAATTTCTAGGATGACTACAAGTAAGTTCATTATCCCACACCTGCTCATTATAAGTTGTTTTTACTACTTTGTCCTGTTCCTGCCAAGGCTACTGTCCCTTCTCCTTGTCATGTTATGCTGCGATTCCTGCATTTCTGGTAGCTCGAAACTTCGTGTTGTTCCGAAAAGTTTCTTCACCATATCATCCAGCTCGGCTACCTTCCTCTGTAAGTTGGTTTTGTCTGCCTGGAGAGGGAGGAAAATTAAAAGGAGTTGATGCACACCACAAAACTTTTAAAAACTTCAGTGAGATAGTAGTAAAAATGAAACCTTCAACATCTCATTTTGTGCAATCAGCAATTGATCTCTCTCGCGTATTTGCTCTAGGGTTACACGAGTGGCAAGTAGATCTGCCTCTCTTCTATTCACTTCCAATATGCAACTGCCAAATTTAATATTCCAACAATTAACTTGATGAATATAATAAAGGCAGGCATATAGAAAAAAATTGTTTATCCATTGCAGACGCTATTGAAATACGTATTTTGTTTAAGCACAATGGGCATCTGCGATCTATGTAGCTAACTCCACTTAGTTGGAGAAAGGCTTAGCTATTACAACGTTAACACTAGGGACTCACCTTTCTTTTTCCTCAACTAGATCACTTATTTGCATTTGAAGCTTCAGTATTTCTTTTGCCTGCACCCAAAAAAAAAAACAAAAAAGTTTGCCATGAGAAAATCTCTTGTTATAACCTTCCCTCTTTTCCCAAGTTGATGATTTGTGAATCACTGTACCAAAAAGTGTACTAGCATTTAGATAGGTTTTGATAATGTAACATACCATGGCTTTGTGTTGTTGCGCCTGCTGCAAAGCGTCCTCTACTAACTTTTGCAATTGATTTTCAGAAATCAAATCCTGCAAAACACATCAATTCATTCATTTACATGAACCTGAAAGGGCAATTTACGGCAGACTTTTGCCAATGCCTACTAAAATATAAAACTTACCGAGTAGTTAGTTATGTCAAGTTTGACACCTAGTAAGTCCCGGATAACATCATGAGTCATGCTTTCTACTGAAGCCAGCCTAGTGTTTAGCAAACATACCTATTACAGAAGAGACGAAATTGAAAAATCAAGCGAGAGTTGATTCATCAGAAGAAACCAATATAAGTGTTGTCCCCATTTTCCTTACATCTTTCTGCTTGCTACCCACCAATGCCTCGAGTTCTTCTATCCGTAGCTTGGCAGCTGACAACTCCTGGTCTTTCTCCAAATTCATGTGTTGAACCAAATTAGAAATGCATCTAAATGGTGAACTTGAACCTCTTGATTTTGCCGAAGTTTTCTCCAATTTCTCTGTCATTGCTGCTCCGGTTACTACTTTGAATGAATCTGTTGTAACTTCATTCACCATTAACTCTAGGTTCTTGTACTGGGACAGCAGAAGAAATAGATGGGGTCAAAAGCCATGAACTATAAGACCCGAAAGAGATAAAGAAGGAAAGAGCATATTTTTGACACAATTGTGGAGTTGAAGATGGCAAGGCCACAGATACACTAGCCATGCAAGAACCTCAAACATTAGAAAAATTCATTCTTTTTCATCATGGATCTATATTTTCAGACCGCAAATTGGAAACTTACCATCAAGTAGGGATTACTATCAGAAATTTCAAAATTATTGCTACAACAGGACACTAATTCAGACTACGTATTACCTTCCGTTGATACTGTGATGCCTGTGCTTCAGCATGCATAATTAGTTCAGTGACATACTCTTGATATTGCTTGATCTACAAAAGATATCAAGAACAGTTCAGACCCAAATCAACAAAAGACACCATTTACATATACAATGCCGAAAAAAAAAAAGTAGAAAAAAAAAGAAGAATAACTTCATTTGTTTAACCAACAAGCAAATAAATCCTTACCTCTTTAACTAGTTTTTCCTTCTCTTTTTCGAGAATATTTATTTGATTATGTGCCTTACAAAGTTCCATGGATACTTCGTGCAATTTCCTGCATTATAATTGTTCCGTGCAAACAAGTCAGTTCAATATTGCAAAAATCAGAAACTTCCATATCAGAAAACAAGTTTTCCAGACCTCAAAGTTTTGTTCTCGAACAGTTCCCCGCTTGAGCTATGGGAATCTATATTTTCAGTCATGTTCTCAACCATCAGTAATCTCTCTCTCATATCACGAAGTTCCACTTCTGAGGAAATTTTTATTTCACGGTGTCTTTCAACCTCTTTTTCCATTTCATACACCTAAATATTTGAAAACTGAGATTGTTAAGAGTAGCAATATTTTAGCGAAATCAATGTTGTATGGTCATCTGAAATTGGAGTAAAATCAGCCCGAGTGACATTCATGAATAACCTAGTGCAGCCTTATTAAAGAATAACCTGATTTTTCAAGTTAATGAAAACAAAATGATGAGTTCATGTACCTTTTTTTCCAGAACATTGATGGTACTTTCAAGTTCCTCCACTGATCGTTCTAAAATCTTTACTTCCTCTTCCTTTTGCTCGGCATATTCTTTACTAGCTCCTGACTCCTGAGAGAGTTAATCTTTATTCAGCTCATACTTCATTAATACCATCTAGAACTATCAAAACCTGAGTATAAAGATGTACCTGGCGAGCTTCTGAGATAATGGCATCCTTCTCATCTGTCAATGCATACACAAAATCAAGCTTATCTTTTAAGGCTTGAAGTTGGTCAAGAAGTGAATCTCTCTCCATCGTCACCCTTGCCACATCATCTTTGATGTCTTTCACTGACAAGGCCAAACTTTCCTCGGCTGAAGAAGCCATCCGAAGAATTTCATTTGCCAAGTCTTTGATAGTATCCGTTTGTTCTTGTAATTGCTGCTCGGCTTCTGATTTCTTTTGGTAAAGATCTTTCACAAGCTTTCTCAACTCAGCATTCCTGTCAGACAAGACATCCAATTCGCCTCTGACCTGCTCTAAATCAAAATTTGTGGCAGAGAGAGACTTCTCAGTCTCAGTCAAACAGCCTTCAAGCATGGCACACTGAGTACGCACGTTATCAAGCTCGTCTGTTTTCATCTTTAGTTCCTTCTGAACTTGTATCAATGTCACGTACATCTTCACTGCATCATCCTTGGCATCTTTTCTCCTGCTAGTTGATTCTTGCAACAAGCTAAAATCGAAAAGCAAACCTTTTAATAGAGCCTCTTTATGCTCCAATGCTCTCTTTAGTTTCAAATTCTCCATTATCATGTCATCATGAACCACACCATCCTTTGGTTTTGCTGCTGATCTTCCGCATTTTTCAATCCAACATTCTTCCTTAGCAACCTCTGCCCCCTTTTCCCTGCTCTCACTATGCAACACAGCAACTTCTTCTTCAACATCAAGTGAGGAGACCAAAACATCCAAATTTCTGTCTAGTTGGCTTACTTCATTAGATTCTCTTAAGTAGTAGCGATTAGGCAAAAAATAAACAATTCCATTCTCTTTTACCAGCGATGAAATGTCTTCCACTCTTGATCTTAAACTGGAAATGTTGTTCAGTGTCTCCTTCACTGTTAGAATGGCGTCAGAATATGTTGTATTGCAAAGATCTTCCACGTACTGCTGAAATGAACTATCTAAGAGAGACATCAGAGTAGCTATTTCTTTCAGCATGAAATGCATTTGGTCCTGCAGAAGTTCATTTGAGTCCTCCTGCATATAAATAGAGGAACTTTGTTGGGTGATCTCTCCAATTAAGTTACTTTTCTGCAATGCTAAATCACTATTAGCCTGGTTCCAAATAGAAGACAACTTCTTTGCATCTTCATTTGACTGCAGCAATGTGTTCAACATACAATCGGCTTCCTCCATGGTTCCTTGAACTTCCTCAAATTTGGTAAAGAAGCTGTCAGCCTGATAAAGATTCACGAATATATTATTAATAAACAGTATAGGGAGAGGGGGGATTCTAAAACTAGTATGTAATGAGTATTAATATCAATATTTTGAAGTTTGGATGCAATCATGAAATTCTACAACCAGAATTAGATTTTCTTTTCCTTCCCAAAATTGAGCAGATGGATGGAATTACCTTTATATCACGGTGGCCATTTGTTATCTGCATTACCCCGTGATTTTTATCAATAATATTGTTGCCATTGCTAACACATTTTGAATGGGAAATTGCAGTAAACTGAGCATTTATTTTCCCAAAAGCATTACACATTTCTCTGAATTCCTCCCTAAGATAACATAGCAGTGTTCCATCAGAGCTCATGTTTTGGATTGGCATTTGTGAATGTTCCACTTTCTGATATTCAGAAGAATGAAAAGAACTCTCTGCAAACTCCTGGTCAACTGTTTTTCCATCAGATGCAAATGATACGAGTTGCTGTGACCTTGCAGCAATGTCAATTGAAGAATCATAACTTGATGTTGAAAAATCACTAGTCCATCCATCCGATTCTCCAGCATTAACCTTCGTTACACCAGAAATGTACATGATCATTGAATCCAGTCTCTCATTAACTTTCTTGAGTTCATCTCTTATTTGATCCAATGCAAGCTCCTCATTCTCCTCACCCCTAAAAAACCTACACGAATGAACTAATGGATTATTTCTGGCTGTCTGACACTGGAAAAAGCTTCCATAGTTTGCTTTTAGGTTGAGAAACCTTTTTCTTATTTCATGGATACCATTCACAAGATCATGAACCGACCCATAGGATGAAGAAATTGTTTCGGGCACAATTGAACGAACCGATACAAATAGGCTTTCTGCTTCAGGATGACATAATATAGCTTCCAGAAGTTCCAAGCATGCTAACTCAATATCCGCATTTTCATCAGCCAGAGGTGAATTGTCAACATGCTCCCCAAGAACCATACTACCCTGTTTATTTGGATCTCCTCCCTGCTCTGAGAAATTATCTCCAGCATGCCTTTCATAGCCAATCTTCTTCTTCTGAACCTCAGTCAAAGCAATTGTTGCACCTCGCAAAGAATTCAATTTCTGCTCCATTTCCAATACCGTCCTCTGTGCATCTTCCAAACTGCTCTTCAACAGAAGGATACTTTCATCTTTATCAATGCACAACTTCGCAATTCTCTCAACTTGTTCACTGATCTGTATATTATCACAAGGAAATAAACTAGTAATGGTCTCGACCTGCGAAGATGCATCTTTAAGCGATTTTGAACCGTCCAATAAAAAGGTTGTTAGTTCAATGGTTGCCCTTTCCCAATCAGAACATAATGTGTCTAGTTCACTTTCTTTTGCTGCCAAGCAATTTCTTAGACTTCCGTTTTCAACTTCCAGCAAGCGCAATCTCCCTTGTAGTTCAGAATGCAGCAATGCAATCTCATTCTGCAAGTGCAGAATTGTTTTAGTTGTCTCCATCTCAACTTCTGCCTGGACTAATTGATTTTGCTGGTTTTGGAGCAATTCCATAGCGTGATCCTCTTGATATTTGCTATTAAGTAGCTGAGCCATGGTAAGATCTTGAGACAGTTTCTCTAGCTTAGATTGCAAAACCAGTTCACTGGTGTGATTCTCACTAAGCTTGTTTCTCTTTGCCTGGTCCTGGAGCAATAATTCCCTCAAGTTATAGTTCTCTTTTTGAAGCAATTCGAGCTCCTTAATCAAGGTGATTTGTTTCGTTTCCATAGCTTCAATCAAAGACCTTGCATGAATGAGCTCCTTTTGAATATCATTACTACCTCCTTCTGATGGGATATCAGGCACCAATTCAGCTATTGAATCGTCTCTGCGATGAGCAACTTTAACCTGCGAAAGAATTTGGTAATATCAGCACAAAATGGGAAATGAATAAAAAAAATCAGTAATGATGACGAGGTTCTTTCATGCTCATGTCCCAACAAAATTTAAATCGAAGAGGTCATGCCAATGACTTAAAACGTATATCCTAAGTTAATCTTTGAATAGTACCTTTCTGCCTGCACCAGTCGGCAATCGGAGATTATCAAGTACAATCAATTCTTCACATGAATCAATTCCCTCAACAAAGCTACTCAAAGATGATTTTTTGAAGCTGATCATTGAAGGCTGAGAATGATTTTCAGAACTATTGCTTTGATTTAAGAGAAATGACAGCTGGCCCTGCTTGAAAAGGCAATCGACCCAATAATCAAGCTTATGCGAGTAAAGTATAAATATTTTATGCGAGAAAAAGATGGTATAAATATTTTATGCGAGAAAAAGACCGTATGATATGTCATAATTATCAAACCAATTCATACCTTCAGTTCTTGGATTTGCTGTTGCAATGCCATAACATCACCAGAAGCATCTTCGTTAACCTTAGCCTGTAGAAAACAACTGAAGCCACTTAAAGTTTGAAAGATGAGTCAAGAATTTCTAAATGTTATTGTAATCAGAAAGTTGAAATACATTATTCTGAATGAGTTTGGCACGTTGGGCAAATTTTAAGGTGCTCAAGGTCTCATTTGCTGAGCTGCAAGAGGAAAAGTGAAATTTAAATACTTTGAAATTAAAAAAATCTGCAGTAACACATGCTTCACAATATCTTTACCAAAGAGATGGGCTGATGTTCGCAATAATAGTTGTTTTAGAGTTGCCACCTAGTGAATCCTGCATCGAAGAAGCAACTAAACCAAAATATATTCATGCAAAATCAAGTTATAAGCCAAAATAAATAAACTCCTAATATACATCACCTGGAGAAGAAAGGTTAGTCTAGAGTCTCTGTAAGGTACATGTCTGTGTCTCCCTTGCGCTAAATCCACCAGAGACATTATAACCAATCTGCAATATACAAGTTAAGATAGAATTTATGTAAACATGGAGCATGAAAAACACATCCTATGAACATTGTGAAAGTAACAGATGAACAGTGTTCACAGTTGAAACTATCTAGGACATAGTACAGATAAGACCAGCTGAAGAACTGAGAGAAAAGTGATTGAACTAAGTCCGGGTAACTTTTAAAGTGCAGAGGATTTCAACTCAACGTTTCATGCAGTCCAGTAATAAAATAAGCAAAAGCTCAAAATCTCTGAAAAACTGCATGAATGTAACTGGAAATAAAGCAGGGGACATTCGAAGTTCCCTAAAAATCAGGCACAATGGTCCCGTAAATTACCCAAGAGTCGACAATGATCTGTTTATATTTGCTGCTTCTTTCAAACGGTCTCCTTCAGCCCCTGAGCTCTTCTGCCTGGTCCAATCCAGCAACAGATAACTTTGAGAAGCTCACACAAGATGAGACGGTAATGTACAATATATACTTGCATTTTTTTTACCTCTCAGAACCAGCTAGATCAACCAAATTCAACCTCCCAAACCTAAGGTGTGTCATGGAGTCTTTCTCCCAACAACTCTCAATGACGCAAGTAAAAACACTATGGGATCTACTGCTTTCGCTGTTCATATAAGTTGCGGCCATTTTTCTGTTTGCAGAACCCTGAAAAAAGAAAAAGAAAACTTCATCAGGGTAAGACTAGAAAAAGAATATCAGGAACAATGAGAAAAGGGAAAGGCTCACCATTAAGAGTCACACCTGTAAAAGAAGCTTCAGAACATCATCAACTGTACAGACATTGTACTCGGTCAGATTCTCAACGTACACACCTTTCTTTGAATCTTCTCTGAGCTGTAATCGCGCAAAAAAAAGAAAGGAGAATGTCAATACTTGAAAGTAACAGAGAAACGAAAAATTGCGTGACATATGATACGATAAAGTAGATTACTTGAAGATTATTGGATGAAGGCTCAAGAAGGTCAGTGATCTGCTCGTTGTATATCTCCAGAAAAGAACATTTGCAGCTATACTTTAGCCCCTCATTCCTTCCCTTGTACTCCTCCTGTGTACAAAAATAAAAAATAAAAATTAAGTTGCATTAAAAAAAAAGATTAATTTAGTATATCCGTTATTCTTGCATAATGCAACTGTTACATGATAATGAACACAGTCAGAGAGATAAGATCATATTACCTCTCTAATTCTGGAAAACAAGTGTTCGAATATGCGGGGGGTTATCCCGTAGTCCTCATTGAGATTCCCACTCTGTATTGTATGGCCTATATCACCCATCATTGTGTATGTCTTCCCGCTACCAGTCTACCAAAAAGACAAAAGTTTATATTTAAAGGCATAAAGACACAGACGGAAGCAAACACATAAACCCGAACTTAAATTACAAATTATACAGACCTACCTGGCCATACGCAAACATGCAGCTATTGTATCCAGACATACAATTTTCAACCATTGGCAACCCCGCAACAGCAAAAAGATTTTCCTGATTTTAAAATGACGAAAAGAAAAAGACTTTATTTCAGAATATCTTCATATGTTACAGAAGCAGCAGCAACAGATGATAGCAGCACCTGAGAAATAGTTTCACAAGCAATATGGTCGAAGGTGAATCGTGTCTCTGGGTGGCCAAGCCATACCAAGGTTTTAGCATTCTCTTGCCTCAAACATCTTCCATATCCTTGTGAGACCTTTTCTATGTTATTCAATGGTCTTATACGAATCAAAACCTTCATCAAATCAGAAATTCATGAACAAAAGAGAGACGGTAATAGCAAATTTCATTCATTTTGGAAACACTACTAGAAAACAAACAGAAAAAAATGTAAAATAAAATTATTCGGTAAACGAAAAACCTGCACGTTGTGGTCTTTCCAAAAGGAAGGATCCTGCACCAGCTCGAAATGTGGAACATCGACAGCTGTCTCAGCGTTAGCAATTTGCTGCAAGACTCCCCGTGACTTGGAAAAGCTGCTCCGTCCGCCCACACTGGAAAACCTATGGCTCTTGGCCGGAGTACTCTGAGCTGAATTAGTTGGCTCCGCTGGATAATTGACCTTATTGCAAACCCTACCCCATTTGGCGTGATTATTATGCTGAGTGCTGAATTGTTGAGTATCTGATTGCAGCGACGGAGCTGCGGCATTCTTCTCCTTCGATGTCGGAGATTGGATCTGAGATGGATCTGGAATTGAAATCAGCGGGGTCCTCCACGGAGACAGAAGAGGATAACCCGTTTCGTAATTTGAAAAATTCTCCGATGGAGAAGAAGAACCATGGAGGGATTCCTTACTTCCGTTGGCGGATGATGGACTGATAATGCGCAAGGAAGTAGTCGGAGGAAAAAACGAGTCGTCTTTCGACATTTGTTTGGTGATGGTAGTTATGTCAGAGGGAGGGAGCTCGGCGGGGCGTTAATATACGGCCAACGGCGACTAGTGGTGGCCAGCCGAACAAGATTTACGTTAATACTTTGCGCCCGCCCGTTTTCAAAAATTTCAATTTGCTTAGGCTCTGTTTGCTGGGTTTTTTGCTAGTTTTTTAAGAATTAAATATTAACTCCTCCGTCCAAAATCATTACCTAATTAAAATTTTTATTTTTAGTATGAATTGAAATAAAAATTAAAAATTTCAAATTGAACAATAATTTTGAGACGGAAAAAATAGTAATCACTGCTCATTCTATCATATTATTTTTTTAATATTATTAATATAATTTTTTACATTTCCAATTAAAAAACACGCTGAAAAAATCGATTTCCTTTTTCTTAGGCGTTATTTGCTTTGTCCATGACCATCACTACTACCACTAATACTATCTTTGATCTTTCTACGAACCTCATCGTTTACCAACGTGGTTAATCGTTCTTTGTTTATACTGTATTCTCTTTGTCCATAACTATTACCTGATTTGGATCTTTTTGCTTTCTTTTTTTTTTTTTTTAGTATAGGAAAGTTTTTCTAATCTACTCAAACAAGATTTAAGAGAGAGAGAGAGAGAGAGAATTTTACTAAAATTAAAGAAGAGAGGACAAAGTGCTATAATGAAACTAATTATCATATAAATGAAAATTTAATAAGTTAATAATTATCATATTACAGGGAAGATGCTATTTTACATTGTAGTAAATGACTAATGGTACTCCCTCCATTCACAAATAGATATCGCTGGACAGATTTCACAAAATTTAAGGAAGCAATAATTATCTTGTTAAAATACTATAATACCCTTATTTATTCTTAATTCAATTGTACTTCTAAAACAATTCTACATTAAACATCACAACAATTTCTAATGTAAGGGTGATGTTGGAAAAAATTGACAAAATATGCATTGATTTGTGAGAACGACATCTATTTTGGAATATTTGGGTTTTCCTCCAACGACATCTATTTGTGAATGAAAGGAGTATGTTTGTTTCATTTTTTTAGTATGTATTTTTAGGTACTAAATTTTGCTTTGAGAATATAAAAATGTATATTTAAAATGTAAAAAGTTATGATGAGATAGGACAATTATTATTAAAATAATTTGAAAAAACTATCTAAAAAACCAAACAAATGGAGCCTGAATGGACGAATGGGATTGAGAAGAATATATAATTAAGATAAACAAAATTCATAATGACTATAAACGACGTAGTTTATTAGCTTCGTATTCCAGAATCAAGACAAACTGCCGATTATTATCAGGGAAGAAATTGATGTTTGAACTGAGAAAACAAAATTTGGAAAAGGAAAAGAAGCAAAATGACCTCATCGCCGTCTGCCTGACGTCGTCGTACGATACTGTCTAACTGGTGGAGAAAGAGTCCCTGTGCTCCCGCTGCCGCTGTCTTCTCCCCTAGTCAACTAGCCGTGGAAGCTAAAGCTCCTTCCAATTACGGCATTCCATCTGCTCATATTTCGAGCTCAATGATTTTAGCCGGTGAGTTGCATTTCCGTGGAGTGCTTTTTCTGTTATTATTATTATTGTCATCAATTTACGGACAATTTCTTTTCCTGAATCTCTCTGTGGAATTAGTACGCGTCGTGCATTGTGAATTTAGGACTTACCCCCCCAACCCCCAAATTAACGTTATTATTGTTAAATAGTTTGTCTTTACTGATTTTATATACTACTTTTCTTACTTTTCATTTCCTTTTTAATTCCTCAATTTTCAGGATTTGTGATTATGGTTTTTTTTTTTTTTTTATTACAGTTTGAGGATGAGGGATCTGTCATTGGAGAAGGGAAGTAGTTCAAAGCAGAAAGAAGCCCATGGCTATGATGTTGAAATGATAATGCCCAAGGTTGAGGTTGAGGATTTGTCTTACGATGACTCCCCACCTCGTCATACTACGCACTCAATGAGGATTACTTCTGGGGTAATCCAAATCTGTTTTGGTTTTTCTTTTTCTTTTTTAAACTTTTGGCGATCAGGTGTAGCTAGTGATATTGTGGCTCTGTGATCTCGCAGGAAAATGTTGCAAGCTCATCATCCAGCTGCACTTTGAGATCATCCTTTGTAGGGATGGGATTTGCACCATCTCTGGTTGACAGAGCAATTATAGAAAATGGTGTAGTCCTGAAAACTAATTTTCTTGATTTCCAGTTATTCCACAAATGATATTTTGCAATTTTGAGGCACCATAACAATATATACTCTCCTTGTAATTTGAATTTCTTGATACGGGCATTAATTTGAATCAGTACTTATAAACAATCAAAATCTTTCTTTGAAAATAGGGGAAGGCAACGTTGACTTGATATTGGAGACTCTCTTTACATATTCTGTGAGTGACTTCTCTTCTTCATCTGATTATGATCTTTATGCGATCTCTTCCCCCACTCCCCCCACCCGTTGAAACACTTTCCATTAACATGTGTTGAAGGTTGAACTCTGTGAAGCAAAATTCCCTTTGCATAGTTTGAGATTTATATTTTCTGTTGTGCGACTGGACAACATGTGTACCTCAAGCTTAGCTCTTTCCATAATCCATCTTAATACCTTCTGCATTCATCACGTTGGTACTGTTGTTCACAATGGATAGTGAGTGGTTTTCATCTGCTTGGAGAACTCTGTAGGCCCTTGAGAATCAAAATTCTGACCACTCCCTTTCTGTTGGAGGCTTACTTGAAGAGGATAACGGGCTAAAAACAGAAAGTGGTACAAGAAAGGTAATCAACTGCCTCTGAATGTTCTAGAGTTTAGTTTATCCCATAAATGGTTTGCAATTTAAATCAACAGGCAGAATTTGTTCTGCATGACAGTTCTTCGTCTTGATGTTCTAACATTATAGTACCTTTTCTTTTTTTTTTTTTTTTTTTCCTATTTTCATCTCTGATTCTGGTCACCTTCTGCTTTGAAACTGCCCAGGATCTACGTAGCTCCTTCTCATCTGACTCTTTGGATAACCTATTAGATGGAGTTGTAAAAGAGGTAATTGTCATCCCAATAGACGAACGCTGGTCTGTTTTCCTTTTTGTGTGAATTCGTTGCATATTCCAAAAGATTCATGCAGACATGGTCCAATAACTTAATGCTACTGGGGAATGTAGATGACAACTATCTTGTATTTTGTGTTTGGCATTCAAATGTTTTGTATGATCATTCGAAGAGATACCTTACATTTCCATGTACGATTCTGTCATTTGGTACATTTTTCTTATCTGTTGTTGTAGTGTGGGATTGCTTCAAGCCAAGGGGTTGAAAATGTTTTGTGTTTCATGTTGGCTTTGAAATTATCGTTTTGGAATGGACAAGTCAAGTCCCTGTCTATCACTATAAACGTGCCATTTTGTGGGTTAGGTTTGGATTGTGTCACAAATATCCACCCTGCTATGCAGTGACTAAATGTTTGACTGTTCTGTGGGTTTCTGTGCCATCACTTAGCATGCCTTCAATTGTGTAAAATCTAAGGAAGGAATCTGCACTTTCCATTTGTAATTTGAACGTTTACTACATTGCAGGAGCCTGATGAACATAGTATTTTCAGTGAGAAAAGGATATGTTTGATGCGCATGAGTTTCTCTAAAGCTGAAGTGGACTCTGCAATGAACATGCTTGGTATGTGGAAGTTCTCTAGCATTGATTTCCAGCACATTAGATTAACATAACGAGCCGGTTCCTTCTAAACACAAGACAACTTCAGGCCTCATCTTCTAGCTATAGTAGAGATCAGATTTTCCTCTGTGGAACTATCTTGGTTCCTTTACTAATGCTCTTCTTGTTGCATGCAGGTGGTGATGCATCCATAAATGATTTAGTGGACTTCATCTTTGCTGCTCGGATGGCTGACAAGTGTGAGAAGGCTGCTAGTGGTCCAGCTCATAACTGTGCAAAAAATCTCCAGGTTCTCAAACTTTTTCTATTCTATTTATGACTTTTAAAAATTCCTCATTCATTTTCAAAAGTCAGCAATTAGCCTAAACACGATCATTTCAATGTCATATGAATGTACAAAAGTTCAATTGATCTCTCAGAATTAAAATAATGAATGCCAAAATATATACTCTGTTTTATTTTTATTTTTTATTTTTTGACTTTTAAATTACTATAGTAAGCTTGTCGTGACCCTTTAGTTTATTTGTGTATCATAGCACTATTTCTCTTTTATTTTCTGATGACTTTGAACTTGATCTCAGCAATGTAGCACTGAAGCTATATATGTGTGTTATTGTGCTTCTTCTCTTTTATTTTCTGATGTCTTTGAACTTGATCTCAGCAATGTAGCACCGAAGCTTTGTTTGGTACTATGGAGAAGACGCTTATGTTATTTGAAATGGGCTTCACGGAACAGCAAATATCAACAGCTATTGACATATGTGGTGAGTGCAGACTTATTGGCCACTTTTTGCCTGTTCCACCCATGTAATCCCTTGTTCTCTCAAGTCTGATAAAATTGGCCTTTCTTTTATTGTTTACTTGTTTAGGTTCAGAGTTACCCGTATCAGAACTTGCTGCTGCAATCGTGACTGGAGATTATACCTGTATTAAGGTGGAACAGGTAAATCTCCCTCGTCAGTGTGTTTCACGTTAAATCAAAAGAACTGTTTTTGACGGAACTTACTTGAAAGGAAAATTTTTCTGCTCTTACCTTTTCCTTTTCCTTTTTTCCTTTTTTCCTTTGTGCAGTATTACGATCCTTCATCTCCAGTTGCTAATAATGACACTACTGGAACTGGTTCTAAAGTCGCTGATCCACTTTCCATCGAAGCTGGAACTGTTTCTACTGTTGCTGATCCATTTTCTATCAACATTGGAACTGGTTCTACTGTGGCTGATCCATCCGCTATCAAGGCTGAAGATGAGGAATGTAGTAATTTAGATGATACTTTCACTGGGGATGGGGAGTTTGATTTCTTGGAGAAGTTAAAAGGAAAAAGGCCAAAAGGAAATGACAACGATGAGGGACAATCTTTGAAAAGGCCAAAAGAAGAATATGATGACGAATGGGAGGACTTGAGTTGGTTACAAGAGGTTCCGAAAAACTCTATATCAGTTGGGAATAATTTTCAAAAACATAAAGCTCGGAAAAATGTCCATAAAGTGACACCCCAGACCCGAGCAATATTAGGAGGATCAGGAGCGACACGAAAGATGACCTTGTCCAAGTTGTGCAATACTCACAATAAGATGGTGGATGGACCTCCCTACTTCTTTTATGGAAGTGCCTTGGATTTAAACCAAGACTCATGGTGCAAAATATCGCAATTCTTGTGTTCCATTCAACCAGAGCTGGTAAACACAGAACTCTTTTCTGCCATCAGTCGGCAGGAAGGCTACGTCCATAACCTTCCTACTGAGAACAGGTTCCATGTTCTTCCAAAGCCGCCAATGACCATCGAGGAAGCTTTGCCTAGGTCGAGTAAATGGTGGCCTTCTTGGGATACAAGGAAGCACTTGAGTTTCATCAGTTCTGAAACAAAGGAAGTTTTTCTCACATGTGAGAGGATAGGGAGGATGTTAGAGAATTACCGAGGAGTTGCTTTGGTTACGAAGCAGACACAACTTCTCGAACAATTCAAGAAGTTTAATCTCGTCTGGGTTGGGATAAACAAAGTGGCGCCCATACAACCGGAGGATTTAGAGCGGATACTAGGTTACCCGATGCGACATACCCTATATCCCGGTGTTAGTCTTGAGGAAAGGCTCCAATTACTCAAGGATTGCTTTCAAGTGGACACATTGGCCTATCACTTTTCCCCACTTAAATCTCTGTTCTCTCAAGGTTTAACCATTCTCTCAATCTACAGTGGGGTCGGTGGTGTTGAGGTCGCACTTCACAAGCTTGGTCTCAACTTTAAAGTTGTGGTTTCAGTTGAGTCTTCTGAGACCAACCGACGAATATTGAAGCATTGGTGGGAGAAGGAAAACATAAGTGGAGAGTTGATACAGATTGAGAGTATCCAAAACCGTGTGGGGACTGCAAAACTCGAGGATTTGATAAACAAGTATCAAGGATTTGATATTGTCGTAGGTCAAAATCCATCAAACGACTCCGGCGGAATAGATTTTCGGTTGTTCTATGAATTTGTCCGTGCCTTGCAACGAGTTCGAAGTGCCATGAGGAAGACGAAAGAGTAGGACAGTGTGGTAGATTAGAAATTTGTAGACAAATCAACCATGTAAATTTTCTGTTCGGATGAAAATAGTACTACTACTGTTTATACTCTTTCGTTTCAAAACTATTGTCCAGATGAATTTTCATCGTTAGCATATAAATTGAATTAAAAGCGAAATCTCAAATTGGATAATAATTTTGACACGGTGAGAGTATAATTAATTAAGGGATAAGGACAATTGACACTTGAGTTGAGTCCCACAACAATAACAATTATCTCTTGACGTTTTTTATAAAGACAAAAATTTCACTATTTAATGGACAAATTGCCCCTAGACAAATTAAATTACTTTTTGCAGTTCACAAATTACTCACTTACGGTTCGTTTTGAATAATTTTGCCCATGAACTCTTACCTAATTACAAAAACCTATTCAAAATATATTTATCATATAATTTTAATATAATATCTAGTGCATTCTTTATTTGAATATAACAAATAAATTATACTCCCCCTGTCCCAAAATTATTGTCCAGTTTGAGAATTCACTTTTAGTACAATTTGAACTAAAAATGAAAACTCAAATTGGACAATAATTATGGGACGGAGGGAGTAATAATAATAAAAAACTTATTATGCTTAATTTTTGCATTTAATCTATACTAATTATTAAATTAAATTAATTATACTTAATAAATTCAATTAAATTAAAAATTTTATTAAATCAGTAAATATAACACCAAAAATAAAACTAAAGTGAATATAAAAAAATAATGACAATTACACAAAAAAATTTAAAAATTGAAAAAAAAAATTTTGCCCCAGGCCGGTCACCCTGGATAGTACTTTTTTTTTCCAATTTTTTTTAATTTTTATATATATATATTTTTTATCATTAATTTTTTGTATAATGACTTTAGTTTTATATTTTGTGTTATTATTCAATTAATTTAGTTAAATTTATTTATAATTAATTTAATTAGTGTATGTTGTGTTATTTAGTTGTAATTAATTTACTCAAAATATAACAAAAATAACTAATTCATACATAAACAATAATTATTAAAGCCTACAAATTAATACTAACTAAATGCCACATACCTAATTACAAAAACCTACTAAAAATGTATTTATCATATAATTTTAATATAATATCTAGTGCATTCTTTATTTGAATATAAAAAATAAATTATAATAATAATAAAAAACTTATTATACCTAATTTCTCCATTGAATCTATACTAATTATTCAAATAAATTAATTATACCTAATAAATTCAATTAAATTAAAAATATTATTAAATCAGTAAATATAACACACACAAAAAAAATAAAGCTTAAAGTAAATCTAAAAAAATAATAACAACTATATAAAAAAATTTATTAAAAAATTGAATTTTTTTTTTGGTCCAGGGTGGCCGGTCGTCGGGCCGGCCAACTTTTGAAGGTTGGGCGAACCGGGAAGAAGTGGCCACTCGTTGGGTCGGCCAATTCTTCCCGGTTGACCGGTGAGAACTGCATCTGTTGAATTATCGTGATTATTAATTAATTCATGACGACGTACTGCGAAGGCAAAGAAAGTGGCCACCATCACCTAAATCACGTCATTCATCCATCTGCGACATTGCGCTCAACAACCCTGCATTCCGGTCGGATATCACACTTACGATTCTATCATACACAACCCACAACCTCAAATTCCTCATAAAAAATGTCCAACTCTCTACTGTCTCCTCATCCACAATCGCAAATGCAACCGGTAAAATGTGCTTGTTTGCGGTATAGACCACCGCAACAAGTAATTTACCCTTGTATCTACCACGCAAAAAGGTTCCATCGATACAAATGACCGGTGGACATTCAAAAAACGTCGCAACCACTGGTTCAAATGACCAGAAGACGTATTTAAATGTCCTATTTCCCCTGTTCCAACCTTCTCGTCCCTCCTTCCATTACCACTCTACTACAGTCTCAGGATTAGTAAACTTAAGCGCAGTGATATACCTACACAACAACAAGTCATAGTTAAAATATTTCAATACATGTAAAAAAAAACACTAAAAATATTTCAATACACGAATAAACCTTGATATTTACCGTGGAAGTTCTTCGAAATTCGAGGTCCAATTGTCACGGACAGTTTTTCTTCACCATGAATTCGGGTGGTTTGATGCGAAACGGGCTATTTTCGTAGACGGACATGGGACGGAACGGTCCAGAGCCTTGTGGAATTCTCCGGTCAAATCTTGAAGACTCTGGAATTTTCTAGAGAGGCCCGGAACTCTCTAGAAACGAGTGGAACCGTATGGAAGCTACCCGAGTTTGCTAGAACCATGTGGAAGATTCTAGAGACTTGTAGATATTTTGAACTTAGAATATTTTATTGTAGGAATTCTCTAGAATCCCATTATTTTATTATGTACATAGAATTCTCTAGAATTCTTTAGGACTTGGGGGGGTTTGCCTATAAATACCCCATGCCCCCTTCATTTGTAACCATCCAAGCTTTGAGTAGAGTTCTCAAGCATTCCTTAAGCTCTCTTGTGCCTTCATCATTCTTTCACTTTCAACCTTTCTTAAGTTTTCTTTGCCTCCGTTCTTTAAGGTCTTGCCTAGCTTTGCACGCTTTGGGGGTCTTAAGGCTGAGCTAGCACTTGATCGTTAGTTGTTTTGTGCTAGTGCCGCACGGCCGTTACTTTGAAAAAGTAAGCCCGTGACAGTTGGTATCAGAGCCTCGGCTCGATACTTGGTGTGCTACATCGTCTACGCTTCCGTTTGCTAGTTTTCTTTCGTGCATAAGCTATGTCTAACCCTTCGGAGGTTGTTCAAGGGTCGGAGCTTGAGGGGGATCACGTTTCTCGCGAGGTGGGAAGGACCACCCGCAAAGGAAGCCGCAAGGAGAAGTCGGTCGTTAGGGAGCCGATGGTGGAATTGGAGAAACGGCTTGCCAAGCTAGAGCTTCTTGTGGCCGACCACCAAGACCGTTGGGACGAGCACCTGAGGTGGTAGCAGGGGTCGTCGAAGCTCGCATGGAGCGATTCGCAGGGGAATTGCAAGAGGTCATGCAGCAAATGAAGGACGACATGCTAGGGACGCTCAACGAAATGGTGGAACGTTGCAACAAGTCGAAAGAGGAAAGCCTTGCTCGTGTTGCCGCCCTCCAAGACGACGTCAACCGGCTTATGGGGAGCCGGAGACTTCTCGGGCAGAATCGGCGCGTCTTAAGGCACGGCTTGACACCGTGGCCGTGCAAGGGACAACCGGAGCCGTGGGGACGGTTCCAAGGCTTGAAGCGCCCAAGCCGGACGAATACAAGGGCAGCCGTCGCTTGAGGGACGTAGAGAACTTTCTCTACAGCATGGAACGGTACTTTGGGGCTATGAATATCATGGACGACTCGGTAAGACTCTTCCAAGCCTCTCTTTATCTTAAAGATAGTGCCTTATCATGGTGGAAACGTATGATGAAACCCGTGGGGATGGAGACCGGTCTTCACCACGTGGGATGGTTTTAAGGAAGAGTTTAGAAAGTATTTCCTACCCGTGGATGCGGAAGACGAAGCCCGGGCCAAGCTTCGCCGTTTGCACCATAGGGAAGGCCAAATCCGGGAATACGTTAAGGAATTTTCGGACTTGATGCTTGAAATTCCGGATCTCTCGCCCAAGGAGGCGTTCTTTACTTTCATGGACGGTCTCAACCGTTGGGCCAAACTTGAGCTACAACGGAGAGAAGTCCAGGACATCGATCGGGCGTTAAAGGTGGCCGAGTCGCTCGTTGAGTTCCAAAGAAGGATAGCTCCAAGGACAAGGGCAAGAAGGCATTCCAAGGCAAAGGTGGGGAGACAAAGGAAGTCTTCCACACCCGCTAAACCGGCAGCCGACTCTACAAAGCCGTCTTCGAGCAAGGAGACCAAGGGGACAAGCCAAAGAAGTTTCAAGGGTGCTTCTTGTGCGGGGAGCGCACATGGCACGTGATTGCCCGTCTCGTTCGAAGTTGGCGGCATTGGCACAAGGTTTGTGCCAAGAAGAGGAGAACGGGTCGCTTGCATGAAACGGCTAGACGCCGTGCATGCCAAGGCCGAGACACGTCAAGGCCGTCTTTACATGGAGGCATCGTTCGCAAACGGGTCTAGATGGGGCATGCTAGACACGGGGCCGACACGAGTTATCTCACGGAAGAGGTAGCCGGTTCGCTTGGCGTCAAGTGGACACCTAGCAAAGGCCGTTTCAAGGCGTGAACGGCGAATGGACGGGTCTTGTAGGCGAAGCCGGGGATGTGCCTCTTAAAATCGGCAATCGGTCGAGTACGGCTAATTTCTCCATTGCACCTATGGATGATTATGGTCTTGTGTTTGGCATGGAGTTTTAGACCGAGTAAAGCCGATCATCGTGCCTAGCAACGACACGATGGTGATCCTCCAAGGCGAAGCCTTGTGTGGTAAAGTTTAGACGGGAAAATGAGATTAGCCCTTCCCACTGAACAAGGGGCTAAAACGGGGTGAACACACCTTTGCCGCCATGGTGTTTGAGGAGGAACCATGCACAGAGGAGCCGGCAAAGGAGGAACGAATCCCGCCTCCCATAGAGCGAGTCCTTGTTGAGTTCAAGGACGTGATGCCCGACGATTTGCCCAAAGGTCTTCCACCAAGGAGGGAGGTTGATCATGCCATAGAGTTGGTGGACGGGGCGAAACCGATAGCCAAGGTGCCTTATCGTATGCCCCCTAGCGAGCTAGAGGAGCTCAAGGTGCAAATCAAGGAGCTACTTGAATCGGGTCATGCAAGGCCGTCTAAAAGTCCGTGGGGTTCGCCGGCCTTGTTCCAACGCAAGAAAGATGGGACGCTACGTTTGTGCATCGACTATCGGGCGTTAAACAAGCTAACCGTGAAGAACAAGTACCCTATCCCACTTATAGCGGACTTGTTCGACCCAGGCCGCAACAGGCACGGATCTTTTCCAAGCTAGACTTGCGGAAGGGATACTACCAAGTACGCATAGTACCGGTGATGAACCGAAGCGGCCAT